TTTATCATAATCCTGGACAAAGTGTTTATTATAATTATGGATAAAGTGTTTATTATAATCATAGACAAAGTGTTTATCATAATCATAGACAAAGAATTCCTGTTAAAGAACCATAAGTAGAGAAGATTTTCAAAGGTGTAATTTGTTTTCAATAAATGAACCCTGGATCCAAAGGCATGAATTTTACAGATTTGGTAGTTCTATTTATTATAGTCATGCAAACAGTCTACCTGCTAGATGATTATGAATCATTAGGGAAGATTTCATAAGATATGAGGCATTTTCAAAATATGGACAACACAGCCTCAACCCTGAATCCAGTGGCCATACATTTTACAATTTTAGATAGAAGGCAAAGTGTTTATTACAGTCATGGAAAAAAAAGTTTTCCTGCTAAATGTTCATATGTAGAGAAGATTTTCTAAGACGTGCTCAATATAAGAGCCTTTAAGACCTATAGTGCCTGAATATGGACAAAGGTTTCACAATTTTACCAAAAGGTTGAGTATTTATAATAATCATGCATCCTGTTTACCTGCTAGATGTCTATAGATAAGGATGACAATTCTATGAGATTTTATGTATTATCAAAGTCCCACCATAAAGCATGAACCCTGAATCCAGAAGCAATATATTTCACAATTTTGATAAAGGACATTCCTTATTACAATCTTGCCAACAGTTTGACTACTGGATGTCTAGGAGCAGAAAAGAAGATTTTTTTTTAATGCAAATTGGTTTTACGGGGGGGGGGGGATAAAATTACCTCGCACGCTTGTCATCATACACGAACGTCTAAAACGGGGACTGTCTCCAAAATGAATGATGGCGTCCCCATGGTTAAACTATGTTTTCCAATGCATTCCAGTGTTTCACATAGAATATATTTTGTTTTAAGCTTAAGAAGTTGGGGACAAACTTAAGTCAAAAATTCAAATAGATGTATTTTTTAAATAATTCAAACTATTTAAAAAAAATCATTATACGTGTTTGTACTTTGAAAATTATGCTGCAAACTAGAAATTTTTCTGAAATATAAATAAAAGTCTAGATACATGTACCCGGTACATGTTTTCAAAATCTAGATTTTGACTTTAATTTGTTCTCAGCTTTGTGAAAAAGATAAAGAATTAATAATTTCAGGCGCAATAATGACAGAGCTTGGAAAGATAATGAACCAGGATAAATATACTTCTGGAAATATGGAACTGGCATATAAATAAAAGTCTAGATACATGTATATGTTTTCAAAATCTAAATTTTGACTTTAATTTGTTCTAAGTTCAAGGTCATAGGCCAGTTCCATATTTCCATAAGTATATATATATATCCTGGTGCATCATCTTTCCAATCTCATGATTCCTTTTGGTTCCTGGTGGAACATAGGGCCTCAGCAACAGTCCTCCAGCGCACTCTGTTTTGAGCAGTCCTTTTCAGTTGTTCCCAGTTCTGTCCACACTCTCTGATTTCCTCTTCGCATGACCGCCGCCAAGTTGTCCTGGGACTCCCAACCCGACGTTTGCCTTGGGGGGTTCCACTCGAGAGCGTGGCGTGTAATGTCTCCCAATGCTTTTCTGAGGGTATGCCCAATCCACAGCCACTTTCTACGGGCTATTTGCTGAGTGATTGGGTCTTGATTTGTTGCATTCCACAGGCTCTTATTGCTCATCTTTTCTGGCCACCTGATGTTTAGTATGTGGCGCAAACATCTGTTTGTGAAGGTTTGTAATTTGTTGGAGGTGGTGTTGGTGACTCTCCATGTTTTGGATCCATAGAGGAGCACAGACTTAACATTACTGTTATATATACGGAGTTTGATGCATGTGGACAGTGTTGTTGATCTCCACACAGGCATGAGGGGGATGAAGGCGTGTCTCGCTTTATTAATCCTTGCTTTTATGTCTTCATCTGTTCCACCAGTGGCTGAGACAATGCTGCCTAAGTATGTAAAGGTGTCTATGTCTTTCAGGTTGTTCTCCAAGCATGATTGGTGTTTGCTGTTTGTTGTGGAGTCGCGTAGACCTGTCCTTGCTGCTTCTTTGGCAAGCCTATCTGTCTTGAGCTGCATGTGCTCACATTTCTGGGACATAAGACATAGGTCGTCAGCAAAGTCAAGGTCTTCCAAACACTGAGTGAAAGTCCACTGGACTCCCGTCTTGCCATCTCTTGTAGTTTCCCGCATGATCCAGTCCACCACCACTAGGAAAATCATCGGTGACAGTAAACAGCCTTGTCTTACCCCTGTCCGCACCTCAAAGGCTTCTGTAAGCTTACCGTTGTGGATGACTTGGCATGTAGCCTCGTCATACAATTGTTGTATGAGGTTGATGAAGGTAGGTGGTGTTCCATAATGCTGGAGTAGTTTCCAGATGACTTTTCTGTCAACACTATCAAAGGCCTTTTCAAAGTCAATGAAGTTCAGATACAGTGTTGACTGCCACTCTAATGACTGTTCAATTATTATACGGAGAGTTGCGATCTGGTCTGTAAAGCCTGCCTGTTCTGGATGAAGTCGTCCTTCTATGGCATCTTTAAGTCTTTCCAGTATTATTCTCGTCAGGATCTTGCTTGGGACAGAGAGAAGCATGATGCCACGCCAGTTCTTGCATTGTCGCAGGTCTCCTTTCTTGGGGAGCTTAACTAAATATCCTTTTTTCTAGTCAGTTGGTACCTTCCCCTCTAACCAGATCTTCTGCAGGAGAGGTAGTAACATATCTACTGACGTCTTTAGGTCTGCCTTAAGGGCTTCTGGAGGGATTCCATCAGGCCCAGCTGCCTTCCCACGCTTCAGTTTCTTCAGGGTCTTGATTGTCTCAGCCCTTGTGGGAGGGGCGGTGATCACTGCGAGTTCCGAGTCTGCTGATGATATGTTTGGTGTTGTTTCAGGTGTTGGGCGATTTAGGAGTTCTCTGAAGTGCTCTGCCCAACGCTTTCTCTGGTCTTCTTTATTTGTAATAGGGTTGCCTGCCTCATCTTTTACTGGCTTGGTCTGTGGTGGTCTCTTTCCAGCCAGGGTTCTTGTGAATTTGTACATGGTACCGAAGTCTCTTTTCTCTGCTGCTTCCTTAGCTTCTGCAGCTAGTGTGTTATAGAAGTGTCGTTTATCTCTCCTTGCACTTTTCTTTACTTCATTGTTTAGTATAGTATATCTGTTTAAATAATTTAAACTATTTAAAAAATCATTATACGTGTTTGTACTTTGAAAATTATGCAGCAAACTTGAAACTTTTCTTAAATATAAATAAAAGTCTAGATACATGTACATGTTTTCAAAATCTAAATTTTGACTTTAATTTGTTCTCAGTTCAAGGTCATAGGCCAGTTCCATATTTCCATAAGTATATATATCCTGGTACATCATCTTTCCAAGCTCTGTCATTATTGCGCCTGAAATCATTTATTCTTCATCTTTTTCACAAAACTTGAAATTTTTAAATATATCACATGCAGCATAAGAAGCACTGTCACTGAGATATATTCCTACTGACAATATTTATGCAAATTAGGTGGTGGACTTTATTCATCACTTCAAATTTTTACTTTCCGAATTTGTTGAGCATTTGAAGCAAAGTATCGATTCTTCTTGATATTACTGTGTTATATAAGTGCAAGGTTGGTCATTATTAAACTTCTACCCACTTTGCCCTAACAGCTTTAGCTTAATAATTCATCCAGGTAATAAAGTTAACAAGCAGCACATTTATTGGAATTATCGAAACAACTCTGTGCGACTACAGAACTCTCGGTGGGTGTCTCAAACAGAGGTCCTCTCATAGATTCCATCTATTCACTCATTTAGAAAATAAATTTTACACGAGGCATCCAATACTTCAGCGGTAGTATACAAATCAAGATGCCACGTATATACTGAGGTTAGTCAAGGTAGTATTTTCAGTTTTCGGGCCCTTCTTTTCAAAGTCCTGATCAATTATCAAGAAAATACTATCAATCTTGTTTCAGATGCTGCCTGTGATTTGTATTTTCTTGATAACTCTTAGACTCATTGTTTTCATCCATGTTCTTCTGACCAGCCGTAAGCATTAAAGCTACTTTGGAAATGAAACTGCTAAAGGATTTTAATATAATCACACATCCGGAAAATCAGAATCACTTGCAGCATATATAATTTAGTGCACCTCTGAAAATTTAGCCTCAGTCACTATTCCTTAACATAATCAATTTCTCAAAATACAAAATGTATGAAGACTTCTTTTGACAAACTTCCATAAGGAACCACACACGTTCGAGTCCCTTCGCCGCCACGTAAGGAAATTTTCCATCCAAAAAGTGTAAATTTCTATTTATTCAGTCAAATGCAAAAAGAATTTAATTTCGTTGTTGCTGAAATGAAGACAGAGTTCCTATTACGAGGTAAATTTTTAAGCCCCTGTGACAAAGTCCAATTTCCAAACCCAACTGCATATCTACAAAATACCTACAAAAGCCAATAAAATGCAAAGAAAAAGATTTTTGTTACCATTAAATATATGGAACGAATTGTAGTGACATGAAAGTGCAACTGAGGTCTTACAATAAAGCATCCAGACTTAAGAATGTTGGAATGTGAAAAAAGAAAATAAAGGAAACAAGAAATATTGTGTACATGTATCACGTTTTATTCGAATTCCATAGAACTTAATTTTTGCGTAATTTTGTCTACTCCGAAATAGTTCCTGTAAATATTTATGGAGTATAGCTCAATGCTAGTCATTTTGAGGATGAAGGAAATTGCATTTCCAATAAGAATATTTTATAAATGGATTCATTTTTTTATCTTTAAGGGATTTATTTGAATAGCTTAAAGAAAATGGAAAAAAGAGCAATTATGTAATTATACGTATACATTGAGAAAAAAAGAAAGCAATTACTAACATGGTAAACTGAATATAGTGTAAAAAAAATTGTTTTTGATCTGCACAGTTTATGTAAGAAAACAAACACAAAATAGTCAATTTTACAGGAGTACATTACCTTTTATATCTTTTAATATCTCACTGTGAAGGGCGTGCTTAATCTTGTAATCAACCTCTTTGTTATGAAAACAAGAAAATACTGAAAGACTGACATATTATGCACATTTAAACATGGAAAGAATCGAAATTCATTCTCACTCGACAAAATATTTCAGGGAAAAAAGTAAAAAAAAAATCACTGACGGCATCAAACAGTGGCATCTGCGATCGAATGGCGGTCAATCCTTTCTGTGGATGTGTTAATACCTGTAGAGTTTGTATTCTGTGCTTTCACCTTCTCTGACGTGAAATTGGCGTTCACTTGAAACGGGTTCAGATTTACAGGTAGACGTGACGTTTGAACTTTGGTATCAAGTGGGACAATCCGTCTGCGCTTTTTCTGAATAGATATAAACACGATCAGATTCAGGCATCCTCCAATGTTGGTAAAAATAACAACAAAAATGTACACAATGGATGGCACGTCATGTGATATGATTTGCCATATACCGTACACTGTCACCGCCCACCACTGAATTGTAAAAACTGTGATAAACATCGTCATCGTCTTGGCTGCTTGAATATAGGAAGTACTAGACTGCGCCTGCGCACCAATTACACTTCTGATTTGTTGAGCATCTCTTCTTATGTGAAACCACGTGAGTGAGTAGAGTGTTGTGTTGACCAATAAGATAAGGATAAAGGGAATTATTGTCATAAGAAAAGTTGATATTCCTGGTATCACTAGACAGCTGGAAAAAAAAGATTTGTTTAGACTGAATGATTGATTGTATGTTGTTTTACGTTCCGTTCGAGAATTTTTAACTCATATAGAGAGGTCACCATATATCAGTGAAGGGCTTCAAATTTAGACCTTTACTCGGCACTCAGGGCCATTGGGCAATGAGGGATATTTATCATGCCAACGTCTGTCGTGACACGGGGCCTCGTTTTTAAAGGTCTCATCCGGAGGATCCGCAACTTGCACTTCAAAGTGCCGAGCGTTTGGAGAAGGAACAGTTGCTACCTATTTTTTTAAATCGATTTAGGTCAGTCGCGGCCGTGGCTCGAACCTACGACCTTTCGATCACGATTTATTTAGAGAGAACTTGTAAAAGATCCAATATTATTCTTTTTTACCTTTTTTTTAACTGAACACAGTTCATGACGTAAAACTGTCTTTAACATTGCTTTGATAATATGTGCAGAATTGCAGATCGTGGCGGTGGTTCTGTGGGGGCGCGTATGTAGAACGTAAATAAAGTCAACTCTGCATGGCACGCTATAAAAATAAGTCTTAGCTGTTTATTCGAGTAAAGTTCGGCATTAACAGGTAAAATTCATTATTATATATATGTCTTTCGAAAGAAACTTTATAAACCGAAGTTCCTTATCGCTAACAGGCGTTGGCACTCCAAAAGCACTGCCTTATTTGCACCTGATCCCGCCTCTGATGTTTTTGGAGGTCTGTGTTTCCCGATTTGTATTATTTAAATGAACTATGAGCTTGTATACTATCCGTTATCACTGGCGGAATTAGAGGGGAGCCCTCCTCCCCCCCCCCCTTTGTGTCCAAAATATACAGATTTAATAAAATCATTTTTTGTGTGTGTGTGTGGCCTTGGGCCCTTACCCCGACCCAAACTGGTCGCCCACCCCCCCCCCCCCCTTTTCAAGATTCCTGGACCATCCACTGGTTATCTCCATTTTTCATTCTAGAACACTTTGCCTTTAGCTGGTGACGTGTCCATATCAACCTTAAATTACTGTTGCACTTTATAAAGTTAAAAAGTGAACTTCACTGTTACAAAAATGCAACTAACTGATAAAGCAAGTATTTGATTAAAACATTCCGCATCATTAATTGCAACAATTCTAAATGTTAGATTCCCTAAACCATGATGTTTTTTGTTTTATTTTCGGCTTGCATGGAAAACACATATTTAACACTGTTTCACTGTTTAATGAGAAGATTTCAATTAAACAATCAAGATATTAAATTCAAACCTTAAAATTAAAATATCTAAATTTAGATTTCACTTTTATGAAGTTTTGGGTTTATTTCAGGGATCGTTAACCGTGTGTTATTCTGGCACTTTCTGTTTGTTGCTAAGCAATACAGCCGGATACAAAATCACGTGGGAAGAGATTCTGGAGGTTAAAAGCGGAAGTATGAACGTTAGTTATACATAATTAGCACCGGGGAAAAGACAAAAGCGTGCTCAATCAATAACCATAGGCATTGTTCAATGTAGTGGACTTCACGTTTACAAGTCTATGCATTAATTTTAAACAAAATAGTAAAATAGATCAGCTATTCTCGAGTGGGAAGTCTCTATGTGAACATTCATTTTCCTAAAATTAAGGGCACTTAGAAATGTTAGACTTCAGGATCAGGTTTTGCAAATTAATGCCTAGGAAGATCAAAATCATATTTATCTACATCGATTTCCAGTCTAATTCTTTCATTTAACATTTGCAAATGTTAATCACTAGAATGGTACACTGAGCAATATAACTGCTATTACACTGTGAAACCTTCTATAAACCCTTGACTCCATTATAAATTTTGCGATAGTTTTTAGGCTATTCTTAAATTATATTTACAAACAAAATTACATTATATCCATTATGAAATGCTAGTTAATGAAATGGCCCTGTGTCAAATGATATAAAAAATTTCATACATTGATTGTAAAAAAAGCATATAACTTACAAAGCACCTGCCGGTCCAAGCTGCTGGAAGGACAGTGCCACAGTACAGTACAAAGAGGGAACTCCCAATGTAACCGCAAACAGCCTCCAATCCTTGGCCCCAAACTCCATCTGACGCTGGAAGCGAATCAACAGAAACGCATTTATGGCTATAATGACCAAAATCAAATTCTTAGTAGTCACCAAAAGCACCATCAGAAATGCGTAAAATTGGCACAATTCAAGAGGGCGGACATGGTCCCTCTCTGTTACCATGGTAACATGGTCAAACATGTGGATAAAATTAAAACTAGCTTCACACAACGCCAGGTACACCACAAATCGCTCGCTCCTTGGCCAAAGGTAGAAACCTTTCTTGTGAGTCTTAAACGATAGAGCAGTCACGACGAAGGAAGCAAGGAAACTGCACGTCATGCAGACGATGGCGGAAATGTGAAGAGGGTAAAAAGTACCATCATTCAGTCCCAGTAATGTAACGTTGTACAGGGACATCGTCGTAAAGTCGGTCGGATGGCTTCACGAGTACTAATATGTCAACTTTGGACACTTCGTCTGTTAATAGATCATAAAAAGTGACATCACACCTGCTGTGTTTATGAAATCAAACATCACGTTTGCAACACAGTTTCAGACTGTACGCACGAGAGGCACATGGCAACAGGAAATTCTGGTCTGCGATCTGTGACATAATTCCTCGCAGACAATTTTCTAATGAAGCTTAAAATGTCCGCCTCCAGTTATAAATGATGCTGGTTTTGATTAAAATCCCACTTATACTCACACTTATAGATCTCTTCATTCATATGAAAGATAGTTAAAGGTTTCATTATCGCATCTGACAACACATCGTTATCAAATTCTATTCACAATAAATAATTAATGATGCGAAATACCTGTGATAACATTCACCTAACCTGCAATATCAATTGAAGCGCTAATTAATAAACAGCAGTATTTGGACAAAGCCTATGGAATAATTGTGATAAATAAATTACGGTGGAGGTATATGAACTCTTGTCTAATAAATTAGTTCTTTATTACTTTGAGTTCTCCAGACAATAGGACGTAAGCAAAAATAGTACAAAAATCATTTATAGGAGAATATTGTACATAGTGGACGTACGTACGTTAGTACATGTATTTAAAAATATCAATTAATCAATTACTAGATACTTGTATTAACTCTTAGCCCTGTTATAATAAAATATACTTCTCGAGGTTTCACAATGAACTACTGCTGTGACTTATACCTTGATTTTTTGTTTAATTTTTGAAATACTTACTTATCAGCGTAATATAAATGATATGAAATTTTATAATGATTTTCGTCTTCAACACAATGCATACATTAATAACAATTCCTGCAGATCTTGTTCTTCAGTTTTAATGACAGTTTTAATTATGAAAGCAGGAAGATAGTTCAAATATAGATACATGTTTTTGAAAAAAAAAATCAGAATTGCTTTTCTTAGATAAAACCCATTAAGTAGAGATCTATGAAATGTACTTGTCTGCGAGCTTTCAATTTTATCAAACACGTCTTGTTTGTCCTGATTCGAATTCTTTGATGACTTCTAAGGTAGCTGTATTAATTAGGTGAATATTTCAAGCTTCAATATAACCAAGCTCAATTACAGGTATTCATTTCTTCCAATTAAAAGGAAGGCTGATAAGAAATCCTGCAATATAAATTCTTTATATTGGAATTTTCCTTACTTTATTCATTGATTTGCAGTAAAGAGCTTCTGGTGATAACACTGAGGGGTTTTTTATCTAACAAAAAAAAAAACAACAAAAAACAAACAACATGTTATTCGTCACACAAGGCTTAAAAGGTTAAATTCCAGTGAAAAACAAAAAAAAAAAAAATCTTCGACAGGAACAAACTAATTTGTCGTAATAATTGAAGAATTACTCATAAATAAAATACAATAAGGCATTACGTGTACATTTTTTAAAAAAACTTTTTAAAAATACATTTTTACACAAAAATGCACCCATATGGGTGTTAACCGTACAATTGAAATGTGTATTTTTATGAAAGCAAGTCCTCAAAGACGACTATTTATACTTAGCAGCGAATTCGATTTAAGAATACTAGTATTGATAGAATTTTATCTGAGCAAAAATTTATAACTGAACACTCCTACCTACATTATATTCACGAACATTCACTCTCTTTGGTATCGCAGAACTTTACTGAAACTATCAATCTACACGTGTTTCTGAATAACTGGTCAAAAATAATTTGACAACGATAATACTAGTAACAGAAACTAGCATACCGGAATTACCTGTATGTAAAATGTTTATCTTAACCTCTCAAAAAGAGCGATTTTCCTTTAATAACAAGTATGGTCAACACCTAAACATAACTTTTCGTAATTACAATAAATAAAAGTATGTATTTAGAAGACCGAATCTGTTTTTATGGACAGGAGTAAACGCCATTTCCCCAATCTCCATACGATAATGAGGAAGCCCAATATTTTACTGACTAAGTGCCTAGGAACCGCATGGTTGTCAGTTGTTCTCCATTAAATGATAGTTGTATATTTGTATTTATAAATTTGTGTCAAAAGGAGATCAATAGACAAGTATGCGATCATATAAACTGGTGGGGGGGGGGGGGGGGGTAACGTTTCTCTCTCACCAAGCATTGTGTCCTATAACTTATAACTTATTTTGTTATACTTTCATATTAAATAGCCAAATTTGATTGGTTAAAACATCTGTTAAAAAGTACTTTTACCACCAAAACTCCCTCCGGGCGGGTAACAAATTCACTACGTGATTTATTACCTCAGGTAACTTTTTGAATACTAATTAAATTCCGTCACGTGATATGTGCTTCACCAACTGAACTAAGGACTATTAATTGTTCGAACACATCAGTTTATCAGACACTGATTTACATACATCTGTAGGTATAGCTACATGTATGTGTAAGTGACAGACAGTACTGTTAATTTTATTTTGAAACCTTTGTAAATACTGGTGAATCAGATCTTGAAATGTAGTCATTCATGGCGAACCCAAAATGCAGCATTTAAGATTTGCGAGAAAATAGAATAACAAGCTACTGGAGGAAACAATTCTTAGTTTTGAAGAAAGTATATTAAAGAAATTTTTTTCCAGGGCAAAATTAACGGAAAAGAGAATGCGTGTTGTCGTGAAGAACCTGCTGTTTTTCGGAAATAGACCATTCCTCGGCTGCAAATGTGGTAGAAAGTACAGTCCGTACTACATACCCGATTATAAAACAGCAAGGTGCATGTGTCTCTCAGGGTTCATTATTACATGTAGCACGCTGTAGAAGCCAGTTTTTATGTGTGGTTTAACATAAATCCATATTCTTACTGTAATTACAAATTATCAGTCACTAATTAGCTTTGTAAGACGTGATTCAGTTGACTGACAGACTCGGCAATTTTCCGTTGAGCTAGGACAACATCCTTTAATGTCATAATTTAACTTTAAGGTAACTTGAAATCTAATTCCCCATTGACATGAAAGGGTGTTCATTTTTTAACAAAAATTGATCAACTTATAACAATGTATTGTGGTGAATATCTTGTTAATAAATATGCTGAAGGATTTACATTCATTTCCATAACTTCATCACACAGAATGAAAAATTCACAAGAGAGATTTTGAATTTGAATTTTGGACCTAGCATCCAGAATTCTTTGTTCGAATGATTTTAATTATTCACATTTAGATGATCGAAATCCATATGGAAATAAAATCTCAGAATTTCTGAGTCCATAGCGCGAAGATTCAGTGTTAGAGTGTCGGAATTTACATTACAATAATTGAATAAGGAAATAAGTCTGTCGATTCCAGGGTTACAAAGGATCACTAATTTAGTGTACATAAATGGACTAGAGGACTAGGAGTCTGACAAAAAGTGTTTCTTCTTAAACAGAGAATTTATTTGTGATTGATAAGTTTAAGAAAGGAAGATGATTGGGTCTCTATTTTTGAACGGATTTAATAATGGAGAGTAGAAGTTTAACAGTGAACGTAGATTATATATGTTTTAAAATAAAGTATATGTCACTGAAAAAGAAGAGCTTATCAAGACAAAGAATATAAGAAATTACCGATGATGCCAAATAAGAGTGAGCAGGAAAGTGGTATCCCGGTATTGGGTCTGGAGGACGGACGATTCTACTCATACCACGTGACTGCTCTCGTCACTATTGGCGCCAGTCTGTCCTGTGTCATCGCCATATTTTGGGTCTCCTTTAGATCTCATTCCTACAAATCGTTCTTCCTATGGACAGTAAGTGATAGGTTTGTCGTGTACCTGGCGACATGTGATGGACTTTTTAACCTGACACACGTGCTGGACCACGTACAGATGGTAGTCACCAAGTCCCACGTGTATCCAAAAGGTCTTTGTGTTTTTTACGCTTTTTTGATTGTTGTGTTCACCACTGCGCAGGCGCTCTTGGTGCTGGTCATCGCGCTGAACTCCTTTAGTCTTGTTATTCTGGAAAAAACAGTGAAATTTGGGGCATACGATTGGAGACTGCTGATTTTTATGTTTGGAATTCCAACAGCAGAAGCTTCTGTAGCCGCTTTCTTAGGCCAGCTTGGACCTACCGGTTCTTTGTAAGTTCTTAAATTTATTGTATACAACCTTAGAGCATTTTACTAAGTTATTCTATGTTTTGATATCATTGCGTGGTGCCGAGAATTCAATTTGATAAATTTAGTCTCAACCACTGATACAATACTTTTCTAACTTGTAGTAAGTGTAGTAAACAGATAAATGAACATTCTCTTTCATTTTGTTTTACTCTATTGAATATTTGTTTTCTCGTAGCTGCGGTATTCCTGGGAAGATTGCTCTCATGGTGATGGCAACTGTCCCCGTGAGTCTCATTCTGGTGGTCACGTGTTCTATTTACGTTTTCATCTGGTGCCGTGTTCGATGGGAAATCGGTCAGCTTCAGTTGTCCAAACAGTCTCAAAGCTGGCGACATAGTCACAATGCCGCCAAAATAATGACGCTGTTCGTCACGGCGTTTGTGGTACAATGGACGCCGATCTCAGCCAGTGGTATCATATCATTTTTTGGAGATGTTCCTGTGGTGCTGGATTACTTGGTGATAACGTGTACAAACATGGGGGGAGTTTTTAACGGACTGGCGTTTTTCGTTATACAGATCATGCGAAAACGACAAAAAAATCGCGTTGTACAACCACAGGTAGTCTTGCTTAACGCTGAAACTGTTAAACCAAAATAATAAAGTTAACGGCTTTTTTTTATCCCTGCAACTACAAGTGTTGGATAAAACTCTTGGCTGAAAAAAATAGCGACAATCGTGCATTATAGATTTAATTAAAATGTTCAGTAAACATCAAACTAACTTCATATAGGAAGTAAAGAAAAAGTAGAGATTACAATGTTTTGGAGGAGGACTAGTAGAAACTATACCAAACAAATAGAAAAATATCAAGAGACCCATACCTTGATGGTAACCTCTCTCTCAAGCCATGGCCACTTTGACCCCATCCAAATCTTCAACTCTAGGCTGACTCCTGGACCCTGGGGACATAAACTTTAATTTCTTTAGAGGGATTTCTGCTTATTACAATCAAAACAAGCATTCTGAGAGTATTGCATTAACAGCACTAGTCCCCTACCTACAAGTGTAATCTGGTTCCCATTAAAAATTGAAAATGCCGTAATTTCGTCAAAAAATTATTGAAGCGGAATATAATGCAAACTCGATCTATAACTCATCAAGGAAGACTCACATAGCAAACATAGCAAAAATCAGTTCAATATCTGCAAGCATTTAAAAAGTGGGGAAAACTAAAATTGAAAAGGTCGTGATTCCCTCAAAAATCATTAAAGCAGAACAAAATTCAAACTGTAACTTATCAAGATACACTCACGTACCAAAACTCAGCTCAATATCTGACAGCGTTTAGAAAAAGAGCAGAAAACCAAGTGTCTTTCTAAGATGTAATGTATTTTCAATGTATGAACAACTTAGCCCTGTCCTGGAGCCTGAACCATACGCCCAGGGGTATGATTTTCAAAAATTTTGGTAGAGTGGTAATTAAGTGTTTATTTTAGCAGTGATCATGGAAATAGTTGCCTGCTAAATTTCCATGAGAAGAAAAGAATATTTTCAAAACGGTTTAATGTATTAGCAATACATTTCAAACATATCCCCACCCTCTGAACCACGGGGACATGTTTTCTTAGTTTTGGTAGAGGACCTCTTGCTCTTCCTAACCATGCATTCAGTTTGTCTTTAGGTGTGCAGAAGTAGAAGTATTAGAGATTTTCAAAAACTAAACGCATTTTCACTTCATGACCATTCTGGCCCCCGCCTAGAACCCCCCTGCCTTTGAGGACATGAAAAGCACATTTTATGCAGAGGGTCATATGTTCTTCCTAACCATGCATTCAGTTTGTTTTCAATGTGTGCAGGAGTAGAGAAAGAGATTTTTAAAAATTTGGGGCTATTTTAAGCAGTTTTTGTCCAGTCCTAGAGTCACAGGGGTACAATGTTTATGAAAATTGCAATTTATCTTCATCTTACATCTATCATGCTCCATATCAAATTTGAAAAAAAAAAATTAGCCGAGTAACAATTCAGAAAATGTTTAAAAATACTCGATTGTTACAGCTCGACGGACCAGGACCAATCGTAATAGATCACCTACATGGCTCAGGCGACTTAAAAAAGAGCGAAACGCATCGAAAGAAGTATTCTGTACGATTGCATAGGTATTACTGTAGTTTCCTTATTTTTTTGCTGGTACTTATTATCGCGAAATGTCCAATCGCGAGAACAATGATTCGCGAGTGGACGGTTTATCAAGAGATTTTGCAAGTCTTTTCAGCACCATTTTAACACCCTTAAACGAAGAGCGAGTAATTTTATTTCGCGAGTGGTGTTTCTCGCGAAATTACGCGATAATTCCTCGCGTATATTTTATGAATTTATAATATTACATGTATAATGAGTAGTGATAGTCGTTCCGTTTGTTAATAAGAGACCAAACACACTGTTTCTTGGCATTTTGCTGGTACAACACATGATATCGATGTCATTGGGAGACATAATACTTTAACTGGCTTTATTTTAGATGAAAGCTGGAAAGATATTAACTTTGTCATGCAGCATCAATCTAGCTATAGTGCTTCGCGTCTAAGCAATATATTTAAAGTACAAAGAGCAGTGATTTTTTTTTTTATATTTGATTCAGACATTATTTTCGATTTACATATATTGAATTTCGTATCCTCGTGTAAGTTTGATATTTTTACTGAGTCCTTTGGCTTGAGCTACTTTGTGTTTGGACACCCAAAATCTACGATTTCTTTATATTTTAGGAATTTATTATTTATGTCATTTCTATTCAAAATCAGACATATTAATAAATATTTACCCCTTGTACCATTTTCTTTTTGTTTGTGTTATTTGTTCTTAATGAAATATAAAAAAAATTGAAAATAAACCAAAAGTATCTAACGAGACCTTAGCTCTACTGATTTACACTTACACAGATAACAAAAAAGGCACTTAAATTGGACTTAACTCTATATGCATATGGTAACAGTAATAAATAAAAAGTCCTTGTTGAAATCTCTTTGTGTGAAATCAATAAATGGAATAATTTATCTCGGTGTCGTCTAATTGTGTACACAGATTTATTGAAATAAAACAAAAAATGTAGAAGTAGCATTTTTAAAGAATTTCACAGAAAATTTGCATTTTAAGTTAAAATTGAAACTTCATTCGTCAAAATCAGACACCGATAAGCAGAATTAGGTGTCTTAGGGTAGTCTACTTGTGAACCATTGTCTTAGTGAAGTTGGACCACAATCGCAGGAGGAGTAGAGTTTTGTAAAATAAAAAAAAAAAAAAAAAAAAAAAAAAAAAAAAGGGAAATCGTCGTGACTATCGTCAATCTTACATTAATTTCTATTACAAGAATATACTGTGAATAATCCTTACGAAAAAAAATCATATCAAAGAAAGAAATTACAAGGTTATCAAATTTGGATCTTTGTTGTCATAATTTTTTAAAAAAGAACTCCTGGTACATAGAACTATATATCTTATGTACAAAGTTTTATCAAAATCAGATTAAGAGGAGGAGTATCGATTTGAAAGAATTTCACAGAAATTTCCATTTGAGTAACCATGGCAACACCCTTCATCGAAGTCCAAAACCGAAAAAAAAATATTTTCTTAGCATAGTCGGTACGTTTTATGAATCGAGTCAAAATTGTAGCAGGGGTCGCAATTTGAAAAATTCTTTGCAGACAAACAAACAGACATGTAGACTGACGCCTTACTATCGCATAAGCTCTTATATAGTCTGTGACCATTAATTTCAAATTACTGAAAGTTATATAAATTTGCTGTACCCTTATCTTTGAATAAGAGATTTTATGTGTGCTATGACTACTAAACATGGCTAAGAATTGTGCAAGCCATAAACAACATGTATAAGTCAGAAATTGATCACAGGAAAAAAAATTGTCTCGCGTAAGATGATGTTAGAGGTGATGTTCCATGAGGCGTCGTTTTAGTGTTTTTGAGATTTTTTTCATGAAATTAAAATGAACAGGATTCTTATGTCAAAAAGTCGAACTCTTGATATTAAAAAATAATATTTGATATCAAAGAATATTTTTTGGATGTCAATGATTCGATTTTTAGATTTCAGAAAATCTTTTCTAAAGTCAAATATTTAAATTTTCTGACATCAGACAATGATTTCTTGATATCAACAAATCAATTTTTTAATATATTTCATAGATTTTCGGATATATAAAAAAAAATCATTTTCTGGCATCAAAAGAAATCAAAATAGAATTTTTCATATCAAAATTATTTTCTGATAACAAAAAAAAAAAAAAAAAAAAAAAAAAAAAAAAAAAAAAAATTAAGAATTTCTCATATCAAAAAATCGATTTTTTTTAATATCAGAAAATATGTGTAAAACAAAATAGATGTATTCGTATGAATGATCCTGGGGATGTTCCCCCCATCACCTAGGCTTAAATTTAGATCAGTCTGATTAAATGTCGGGAGAAATAGGATAAGTCTTAGTGCCGTTTGATTAAGGACAGTAATAAGTGTAAGTACCATTTGATTGAGGACGGTAATGTATACCGCTTGTATTGGCCAGTAATAAGTTAAAGTACCATTTGATTGAGGACAGTAATAAGTACCGTTTGATTGAGGACGATAATAAGTGTAAGCACCATTTTATATTGAGGATGTTGATAAGTGATTTTCAGTATCTTTTATTTGAGGACGGTAATTAGTGCAAGTATACCGCTTGTATTGGACAGTAGTAAGTTAAAGTACCATTTGATTGAGGAATAAGTGAAAGTGTCGTTTCACTGGGGACGGTAATTTTAGTGTAAGTACCGTTTTATTGAAGACAGTAATAAGTGTAAGTATCGTTCGAGTGAGGACTTAAATAAGGGTAAGTTCTTTTGATTGAGGGTTGTAATAAGTGTTAGTAACGTTTGATTGACGGTAATTAGTGTAAGTATCGTATTACGTGTTATGTATCGTGTGGTTGAGTTCTGTAATAAGAGTTAGTTACGTTTGAGTGAGGACTGTAATAAGTGTAAGAATCGTTTGATTGAAGACGGTATAATAAAAAATCTTTCAACCTTTCAGAATACTTAGGCCTAAGGTCAGGAGATCTTTACCGGGCTATAGTACTTTTCGTTGTCGATATATACCAGCACGCAAAGGTACGTCTTGTAGTACTGGTGCTGGTGCATCGTACATAAATAAACTGAAAAGAAATTTACAGATCAATTATCCGTGAAATATAACAGCAAATGCAAAAGTTAACATTATTAACCTTTTGTTAGCACCGCAGGGATCTGACATTTTTGTCCAAATGGACAAACTAGGTCTAGTTTTCACAGTTACAGTGGAGGATTGCGTTATTATCGGATTTTATTTAATTAATGTTATGCAGTGTGAAATTTATACTGTACCCGAAAGTGTTTTATCATGAAAGTAATTTCAAATGCTAAAATCAAAGATCAAAGTCTGAAATTATCACCATTAAATTTGTTTGACAAGACTAAAAGCTTAAGAAAATTTATTATCATTGATGACCAAAAATTTTTCTTCTTAAAAAATTTAATACAGGGTGTTTCAGCAAATGTATGTTCCGACTTTGCGGTTTTCATAAAGAAGTTTTGAGGTATTTATGAGAAGAAATTTTACAAAATTGAAAAGAATATAACCATACAATTTCATGAACATAAAACTTTAAATAAAACTGGATCCTTTATTCTTAAGACAGGAATTTTTAAAATATGGACATCGGAGGCAGTTTTCAGTTTTACGTCATCTTATTAGGAGTTCCAAATGGCTGTTGAATTTTTTAATCGTAGACAAAGTTTGTTTCTTAAGTCCCATATTGCTCACATTTGGACATGTACATCATTTGAAAATTTTGTTTCCTAGAAATATCCTTCTCGTCTGGCTACTTCTTTATAAAAATCCAAATCACTAAAATGGGAATTTCCATTTGCATACATGTGCGTAGTACTGATATTTTCAATAATTCTTAATTATCTACTCTTGAAAGTGGGCATGGCCCTTCGTTTGAACAAACTTGAATCCCCTTCACCCATAATGCTTGTGCCAAGTTTGGTTGAAATTGGCCAAGAGATTCTGGAGAAGATGAAATTGTGAGATGTTAATGACGACACCGACGAATGTCCAGTTTTGATCAGAATATCTCACTTCGGCATTTATTAGGTAAGGTGAGCTAGAAAGCTTATGTCTTTGAACTGAATTATATAAGTTCAAGAAAACATAAGCGTATTTTTTAAAAAAAATTGTTTTCCTCCTTGATTTGGAACGCGTACATGTGCAATCGCATCATCTCGGGTCTTTCCGTAAGAGGTCGGAAAGGCCCGAGAAGTTGCGATTGCGCGTATGTGATTTGAATTTTGATCGGGTTCGAAATACTGTATAAATTCGAATTATGTACTTCCGTTTCTCATGTAAACAAAAAATGACAGGCATAATTTCACATAAATTTCTGTTTGAATTATTATGGGAGGAACCTGTAGTGGATCATCAAGAAAAGACTTGCCAAAGAAAATTCTAATAATTGGAAATAGTGGCGGAGGTTTGTAAACAACTCTCCGATCCAGGAACTTCATTTATTTTTGAAGTCTTTCATTTGCTTTACTGATACCACCTCGATTTATTTTATTGTGTTTTTCTAAGTTTTCTAAGTTTTTCTAAGTTTCTTTTATACACATGTATCTATATATTAAACTTTGTTATTTACTTAAATTTTCAATAATAAGGACCCTGGGGGCTGAAACTTTTGGAGTAACATCTGATGATGGCAAAGGTGTAAGCTCTCCAGGATCCTAGTTTCTTTTATTTTTGTTTTTGATATCTGCTTTTTCCTAACCTCACAACAATACATATCCTGTCTATGTAGGTAAGGACTGATCCAATCACTAGACAGGATGTGTGTTGGTGAGGAACTTCAATTTTTTTTTTTTTTTAATTTTGGTTAAGCTGTATCTGCTTGAATTTTTAAGTTTCTAAGCCATCAATTTTATTTTTCTATTATTAATACAATTAGTGCTTTTTAATCTGATCCCATGTGTTTAATGTACTGCTTTATCTAATTTGTTATTATGATGATGCTTATTTTTTTTATTTTTGTTCTCAATGCAATCATTTTGCTCTTCAGTTTTCTGTTCTTTTTTTCCTAATTCTTAAATTTGTTTCATCTGCCATGCGTGTGTATATAAGTACATGTGTTTTTTGCATGTTAATTTATGTTGTAAATGTTTTCTCTGTGATATTTTTAGCTGTGATAGTAGGTTTAAGAGCTCTACAGAGCTCATGTTCATTGTTAAACTTTGTAAAAAATGCCGACTTTAAATAAAATTTACTTACTTACTTAACTTTTTAACTCATGAAGCCCTCTGAATTAATCTTTACCATGTCCATTTACTGCAAACGTTTTTTTTTAATGACAGTTTTTAAACAATATTAATAAAAGACACGTCTTTAATCAAATTCTCTCTCTCCCTCTAGCAAAGCACATACCACATACATTACACATTAAATAAAAATACGAATTAAGACAAATCGTAATACATGTATAGTCATGCATACATGTACATGTATACTCGTATTTACTTTAGGTCTATTGCTTACATTAAAACTTCAAAGAAAAAAATATTAATAAATCATATTTTTTATTGAAAGCTATGGATAAAAATTCGGTGTATTTACTTTGCACTTTAAATTTGGTTTCTTGAAAGGATTCCCCTAGTTACAGATTTAATGTCTGCTGTTTATTTTTGCCGAATTTCAGGGAAGACCCTTTTACTGTACAGCTGGGTTCTTGGTACAAATGATCTTGATACAGTTCCGACAGACAGCTTTAATGTGGAGAGGGTCACTTTGGATGGTAAGGTGTACATGATGTGGGACCTGTGTGGGAGGAAGGATTTTAGACTGAAACGACGACAATTCTACCATGGCACAGATGGTAGGAGCTTTATTTTTAGAAAAATGATAATAACACAGAGATGAAGTTGTCTTTAATTATTAATCAATTACTTGGACACTTGCATGCTTTTGGATTTATATAAAGCTGCAAATTATTGAGTTTTTACTTGAAGAAAGAGCATCAAGATTCTCACAAGTTTACAATTCATCACTAGGTGTTGTTTACGTCATCGATACGTCATCAGACATAGAAGATGCCATTGATGACTTAACCAAAGTGGCCGTGGAGCGAGATTTAAATTCCATCCCATTTCTAGTTCTTATCAATAAAAGAAAAGGTAAGTAAACTGTATAAGCCTCTCTTAAATAATTTCTAGGTCAAAATCTTTAGAATTAAAACAATTTTTAAATTCACCTGACTAATTATAAGCAACTCGCATATTATTTCTTCTTTTTGTTTTCATAAATTCTTGGGGATATCTCACAGCAATGCAAGTCTTAGACAGTCATTACTTTATAACATGAATGTAAGTGCAATATTCCCTAATGTGATGTAAGTAATGTACTTTATTTTATTTAGATATGAACAGTGACTTGGTGCTAAAAGTTGAAAGTACACTGAAATATCACCCAGGCTCATCACAAGTAATGGTTGTGAATATAATGAACAAGGAGTCTGTTACTACAGCACTGACTCAGCTGGACAAAATGCTCACATCGTAGTAACTTCTGTGACATTGTGATTGTGATTGTGATGAAACCAGTATTGGCCAACAAGGATTATCATAGATTCTCCACATCGGAAAATTCAATCAAAATCATGCCTGCTTGTCCATCTAAAACACATTTCTGTAAATTCAAATTTCATGGCGTAAAGTTATGATGTGAAAATTATTGTAACAAAATAAGAAACTACAAGTGCTAGAAAATCATGTACGGAAGTTGAATATTTAAAGCATAAATCCTCTGTGGTGTTTGAAGCGGTTGACTGCTAAAATGAGTGTGTGGTGAAACGTGTCCAAGTTAACAATGTGATATCATGATTGTATGCATCACAATGCATAAAATTGACTGTAATCATGACTTAATTAAGTAAAATTTCTAAAAGATGACCAAGAAAGATCATGAATAGTATTAAGCTTAGTGTATTTAAACACAAAGAATTTGACCACTATGTAATCAGTGTGTAAAATAAACATGTGCAGATAATAACCTTTATCAGGCACTGAGTGAGTGCCATATACTTTGAACAGTAAAACAAACTTATAGTGAAGTGCCTGGGGGACGAGCAATTTTGATTCGTTACAAAGTTGAACGTAATTTGCTACATCCATTAAGATTACAATACCTTTTAAAACCAAGGGAATTGAAAATCACTTCATTTTAAGCGTGAATTCATTATAAGTGTGTTCGCTGTAACTGTGTTTTACTGTAATTAAAGTTTAGTCTGATTCAAATAATGCAGCATTTTGATTTAAAATTTACAACACAATCAACACAATCACTATGATATTTGTACCAATGAAGAAGCTTTAAGTGGTTTATGTTTCTTTCTTTTTTTTTCAATAAAGTTTTATTTTATATTTTATTTTAATCCTGTTTTGTCTGATAAAACACAGACCATGTTTTTCACCCATATTTTAAAAGCAGTCAATTTCATCCATTTTGGAAAAGATTTATATTGAAGTCTTTAAAGTCATTGGGAAAATATAGTTAGTTCTGGTAGAAAATGACTACTCTACCTAGGGGAATTAAACTACCTCTATTCAGCTGTGATTTTGGGTCATAAAAAATGTCCATCTATGATTTCTGTGTAAACTGATAAGAGTGGATAGTCTATAGTTATGGAATCATTCCATTGCCAGACACTGTACATACAGAGATGTATCAATAAATTCCTGGCATTACTTGTAACAGGATCATAATCATTATTCGAAACAAAAGGGTACTGTGAATTCCTTATTTTACGCAATTTATTGAAATGACTTGTAGACATCAAATCTCAAGAACATGAATCTGCAATAGGATCTCTCTGTTTTTACAAGCTTTTTAGCAGTCAAAAATATAGAAGATGTATAATTTTCTTTCACGTGTTGCTTCTTGCTAAATTATGTGAAAAATTCCCCCTCACATATAATTAGGAATCTACAGTATTAATTCCCCTCTGTTTATAAAAAATAATTTGAAGCTTAATAAAAAAATTTCAAACCACGAAACATATTCAGTGAGGTACTCGCTGATTTCTTCTACGAAGGATTGTGAACCATCTCTAACAATCCTGATGCATTTGTAAAACATTCTCAGTTATAACTTATCCTATTGGATCTACATCAACTTAAGTACTAAGTTCATCCGTCTTTTTCTAACTGTACAGACAACAATGAAATTGTTCAATGCAGACACAAACTTGTAAGTCAAATGAGGCAATCACAAGATGCTACCCCTTACAATTTTCTGCCTTGTGCGATGTGATAATAAAAACAAGATATAACAACTGAAGAGACATCCACGTCTTTATTGAAATTTTCTTAAAATAAATTTAACCCCAAACACTCTCCTTTTCAAGTGAATCAATTGTTAAGCTCATATGAACACTAAAATTGTTGCCATCTTGTCAAATTGAAGTTGCATTTTACATAAACTGAATTTCTCTGTACATGTATTCATCTGCGTCCTGAAATTCTCACTGTCAATCCACCAGAGTTTCCAGGATTTGGGTTCCGAGGCTGACTCTGCTGACTGGGCATTCTGGGAGGAGCAGGTGCCCCTGACATTGGAATTCTGGGAGTTAACACTGGTTGTTGTGGATACTGTTGGGGAGCGGGAGGCTGGGCTGGAGGGTTATAACTCATATTTTGCTGATAAGCTCCGGTCTGGGGTGGAGGTTGCTGGGGCTGATTGTTATACTGATAGGGTGGGGGCTGGTAGTTTGGGGGGTAGGACCCTGGGGGATAATTCTGAGGATTTGTAATTGGGACGCTGTACGACTGTGCAGGTGCTGTGGTGGCTGGAGCTGGAGGGGGATAAGCCCCATGTGGGGGTACCGTGTACGAGGTTCCCGTTCCAGTTGGGGGTGGCTGATTGTAGGGGGCAGAGGCTGGTGGGGCATATACTGAAGGCTGGGAGTACTGAGTGGGGGGATACTGGCTAGCTGGGGGTGGAAACTGACCCCCTGGGGCAGGTGGTGGAGCTACAGAACTCTGTGGTGGAGGATAGCTCTCGGGGACTGGGGCTGATTTTGCTGCCCCTCCTCCCCCACCCATTAGATTCTGTATAGATTTACTCCCTTCCTGAGACATGAAAGATGATGAGTACATATGAGAGGACATGTATGGGTTATAGGTAGAAAACTCGAGCTTTGAGTTGGGTGGGGCCCCTGAAAGAGGGGGCTGGGGTACACTGGTTGTGGGGGTCTTTGACACACTGTCAGATGATGGTGTGTGTTTAGATGAAGAGGAATGTTTTGTTGGGCGACTGTCTGATGATGATGAATGATGGGAGTCTTGTTTACGTTCCTTTTTTACTGCCTTCTCTGGTGGACCCTCCAATGGAAGGCTCTAAATAGAAATGAAGACACAATCAAATATCACTGTCAAAAAAAATGTATAAAAGAAAATGCTACAATAAATCAACATTTCATTTTATTTTGCAGGTATTAAAAATATTAATGTACAATACTTAGCCATCCAGCATTTGACTACAACTTTAGTGATTGAGTAAATCATTTGGAAGAAAGGATACTAAATTTGGAACATGATACTTTTTTATTTCTTATGGTATGGGTAAATGTGATGTAACTTACAGTGCTGCTGCGTTTGTTTGGAGGAGGTGGTGGTGGGGTGTCCCTCACTTCACTCTTTTTGACTGGTGTTGTAGGAGGAGAATCCTCACGGAGCTGTGACTGAGGGTTGGAGGAGTACAGATCTAGGACACCATGACAGATATCTACAGGAAAAATCAGAAAGCTACAGAGATATCTACAGAAAACAGGACAACTATAGTACAGACACAGAACAGATATCAAACAGAAAGTTACTGAAACAGATATCCAGTCTTCAATACCAAATGTTTATTACTAGTGAAAATGCAAAAAACTGGGAGTTGGGGACATGAAATCCTGGGGTAAATTTTTTTTCTTATACAGTTGAACTTTGGTATCTCAAACATCGATATTCTCAAATACCATGGATCTTTCAAAGTGAGTTAGGAATCTTGGCCACTTTTTCTTACGTATTTTACTCTCAATACTGTACATGTACATAAATTGGAGTATTCAAAATTTAGCACAATCACTGGGTATGGAGTTGTTGGCGTAATCAGCGCTACACATGTCCTTGCTGTGAATTGTATATATATATATATGATTTCTCAGGGGTATTCATAAATTAACACATCTTTGTCTGGGCCAAAGCCGCTAAAATATGAAGCCTGCTTTTTTAAATACACATACAGATCTCAAACTCTCAGAAATCTCGAAATTTTTTCTCTGTAACAATCAAATTCAGATAAAGAAGTTGGATTGTTGTTTGATAACTTATTTTTGAATTTTAACCTTTATCCCCTTCCCTCCCCTTCCTCTAAATCTAAATTTTGAGAGTTATCTCCCAGTACATAATTTTTACAAGATGACTGAATTTCGAATCCCACACATAATGTGCATTAATCTCTAACCTTCCATGAGGTCCACAGTGATATCTTCCACTAGGAACTCCCACCACTTGGTCCGTGTCCCTGGGACACGCCCATGCCAGTCCTGGATGTCAAACTTTGTCAGGCGTGTTGCCAAGTACATTAAGGAGACACTGATAATCTCAGCCTCCCACAGCAAACATAAACATGTACACAGACTGAAAGTATGAAAGAGACATTATGTTAGGCTTTGATGGTATATACAAACATGAACATCAACTGGAAGTAGATAATTATTATGATTTATACATAACTTATCTTTGGCTCCCAAAACAAAATACAGTCAAACCTCTTATCTTGAACTCGATGGGGCCAAGAATAAACTTCGAAATATGTGAGGATCCGAGATATCGAGGGTTAAATACTTAAAGAATAAGTGGTTGGGACTTCCAAATCACTTTGACATATATATGGTATTTGAGATATCAGTGTTCAAGATGCCGAAGTTCAACCGTACAGTGTCAAAACTGTAGGTAGAGAAATTGATAATGGATGAAAACATATACAGTTGAACTTCTGTATCTCGAACATCAATATCTCAAATACTATGAATATGTCAAAGTGAGTTGGATGTCCCATTCACTTTTTATTGCACCTGAGCCAAAGGTTCAAGTGATTCAAGTTAAAACGACCTTTTGGAGAGTGTAAAAACCACAGTATAAGATCAAAATTTTCATGTAAATAGAGAAAGGAAAAAAAATTCATTTATTTTTTTTACTGAACAGGGCCAGTATAACAGTTGATCATTGTGACCCATTGGCCTCTCATTTCTATTTTGAACCTCTGTTTATCTCAAAATTTTTCCAATCAAGATTGAGATAGTAGGGTTTGACTTTACATGTAATAATCTTAGATTTAAGCTTTGAATTAAGTTATTTTTACTACGCTATACTGCTAACTCATAATCAGCTACACCAGCCTGATTTACCTGTCATTGATAAATGTCCAAGCCATCTGCACCAATTTTTGTATCTTTTCTTTATCCCCTGAAAAAAAGAAGCAAATGAACAATGAATGAAATGAAATAGATACAAGAGATCAATGAAGCTTAGTGTTCACCTAAACCGAACTGCTTTACTTTACAAGGAATAGCCAATCAAGCTATTATACAAGCATAAATAATATGCACTATATAACAAAATCGATTGAGATCATGGCAATTGTCTTACTTTTAAGCCAGAGGAAGCAGTTTCTTGGCATATACCGGTACATACATATTTAAATTTTTTTTCTTGCTACAACACTAAATAAGTAATGGGCATGATTTCAAGAATTTATTATTAAAATGTATGATGATGCTTACATTGTACATAATTTTTCAAAATAAGGTTGTTTTTTTTTCATTGAAATGACACAAACAAAAATAACTTAAATATAAGCACACCATCATTAATCTTTTTAGCTATCGATGATATCTAACAATGTATAATGACTCCTTTACCTTTCAGTACTTTAGCAAACTTGAGCAGTATTGAGTAAGGATGCTCCACCTGAAGGTCAAACTTGATGGTCTGCAGTAAAATCCTCTCCATCGTCATTACTTCCTCCTGAAAAGACACATACATGACTATCTAGTGGTATCTTAGGCATAACATACATACAAATTTAATCATAATTATTAAACGAAATCATAATTATAGCACAACTTTGTATTTCCTTACGTTGTATAGTACAAATTCATATACAATTGTGCTAGCTATTACAAATTCAAAAGGTTTTCTCTGCCATAATCTTCACAAATGTGCACTGAAATTCTGTGTAATAAAACCACATCTCAAACATAAGGAAAGTAGAGATATTTTCTATCTACAAAATCTTGTTTTCAGAGACTATAAGAGAGTGGAGATGTGATTGTTCTGGTCGGTTTAGCTTTATATTGGATCCTCCATAAAATTTAATGCACTTCAAATGTAGTAGGTGTTTGATTGTATTTAACTTATTTTTGGATCCTCCCCCAACACAGTAAACATTTTGTCTACAGATGTAGGAGGATTTTGATTGTGTCTACTTACTTTTGGATCCTCCCCAACATATTAAACATTTGATGTCTACAGATGTAGGAGGATTTTCATTGTGTCTACTTACTTTTGGATCCTCCCCAACATATTAAACATTTGATGTCTACAGATGTAGGAGGATTTTCATTGTGTCTACTTACTTTTGGATCCTCCCCCAACATATTAAACATTTGATGTCTACAGATGTAGGAGGATTTTCATTGTGTCTACTTACTTTTGGATCCTCCCCCAACATTTTAAACATTTGATGTCTACAGATGTAGGAGGATTTTCATTGTGTCTACTTACTTTTGGATCCTCCCCAAACACAGTAAAAAGTTGTGGGGACAGCAGAGACTGACAGACTTTGATGATGTCTTTACATTTCTTAGGCGTCTCCTCCACCTTACCAGCCAGAAATAGACAGCAGGCAGCCGTGATCTGTACAGGATACAAAACAAAGAAATCTGACTCTGTGCCAACATTAAATCTGACTCTGTGCTGACACTAAATCCGACTCTGTGTTGATACTGACATTAAATTTGACATCAACCACTGTTTTCAAATCATAGATGTACAAAATTTACTTATTCAAAGCCAAGTTATACAATACATTAGGATTAGGTTTTTATGTGATTTAAATCTGTTTACTGGAACAACAGAACAAAAATTACATTGAAACTTGTGATTTCTTCAAATCTGCTCTGACATCAAGGATAACTATCAAATTCTAATAAAGTTTATTGTAGATAAGATCAAAGTATAAACACATTGTGAATGATTGAAATTGATTTTTAAAAAAAAACAATTTGTCCATTTAAATATTATTATGTTAAACATCAAGGGTGCATCAAGACAAAACTTACATAGCGATGAAACTCCTTGAATGAGTGAAACATGTAAAACCGATGGAAATAGACAACACCAGTGGCACATGTATCATATCTCCTGGTAGAAGTTGAGGAGTTCAAACTGAGTTTTACATGAAATTTAAATCTTGTATACATCAAATTTAAAAAAAATTATAATTGATATGTCCATGTAAACCACAATCTCTGTTCTACATTGGCTCAAAAATGCAAATATAATGGCATTACCCTGTACATATGTATGTTTAAACATGTCATCTATTAATTGAATTTGTCTAGAATAATCTGTCTAAAGACTGGGCCTCATGGGGTCCACAGGACAATATAATTCAATATCAGCCTGCAGTTAATTTATGTTTGTTTGATATTAACATGATAAAGGATACAGCCCCATTTTTGTCCCAGCATCAATGATAAACCTGGCCCCCTCCCTCCTGTAGCGAGCCTCTGTTGCGTGATCAAGCCCATCCTGTATGGAGGGTGTATTTCTGAGTTCTTTTTTCTCAAAGTACCAACAAGGCATCTGGAAAAAGATTTAAGTGCTGTAATAATGAAACTTTTAAAATGTTTTCTTCAAAAAAATAATAAACAAATCAATTGTTAAGTCTTTGGTTTTATCAGTGTTGCCTGTAATGAAAAGTATATATATATATATATGCATATACAGAGATTTGCAAATACATGAATTAAAGCTGACATGAACTCTTAAATATGTGATATTTTCATCCTTGTACGACTTATTTCATTCCCGTACTCCCTTTTCCGCCATATTTCTTTCAGATTTGCTCACTTATTTTACCGGCTATATAAACCCTGATGCCTTTTTTACACTTGAGTGATTTTCTAGCATGGCTGTCGACATGTACACATCTCCGATAGCAAAGTTTTGGAACACGCCATGAACCAAACGAAAACATGTAGGCCTGTACACATCTCCGATAAAGCAGTTTTGGAACATGCAAAATAAAAAAAATCTAACAATCTTACAAAAACTAGGAATTTTATTGAAAACTGGAAAGGAGTATATAAATTTTGAATAATTTAGATGCAATGCATAAAAATCAAAACGGAAAATGCATGTTTGATATACATATATAAAATATATGAACAATAAAGAAGAAAAGGCTACACATGCATTTTTTTCCAAATAACACTACTGTTGAGCTTTATGCATGTTACACGGTATAAGTACATACTATGCAACTTACGCATTCAAGTTATACAAGCATGCATGCCGAGAAAACGCGTCGAACGCTTTTAACTCATCTGCCTGAAATACTTCTATCGCTACAGGGATGTGCACATGTCGAAAGAATTATTTCCTATTTTCCTTTTATTGAAATATGCATCACAGAAGAAATAACTCCATTTGTAACTCAACGGTAAACACATTGTCACGAGCACTTGAACACACGTGGTCCCTGTCGATCAGCATTTTTGGTCAGGGAAAATATCGAAGGTGGAAATGACACTGGTATCTGCCTGATTAGACAATATATTCACGCATATAAAACGTTTCAGAAATCGAACTAACTGTTGTCGGTTCATGTAGTAAATATGTTCATGAATGTGGCTTCATTACATCAAATTTAATACATAAACGACATTCTCGTTACGGATCTTACATCTTTTAAAGAAAATGAAAGGGGGGGGGTGGTGGAATATGTAGAATATATTTTTCAATATATTTTAAACAAACGTCGGATCGTAGCATTGTTTTTGAAAGTAGGAGGGGGCAGGGGGCAGCCAGAGAAAATAATTTCAACTTACCTGAAAAAAAACTTGACAAGCAAAAAAAAAAAAAGGAAAATTGTTGGAACTCAAAAATCCTATTTCGTGGGGGGGGGGGGGGGGGGGGGGGGGGGGGATAGGTTCCAACTTAATTCTTTCAGTACCAAATTTTATTCATACACTAATACACTACTACAAAACCATTATTTGACTATTTGACTATTCTACAACAAAAATGGGGGAGGAGGGAACTGGTAAAAAAACCTTTGGAAAAAAGTGCCCCCCCCCCCCCCCCCCCGTTTCTACGTGCCTGTTACACACACGGGGCAATTTGTTTCTGAAGACAGATTATTTTCAAATCAGGGTCCTTTTATGCTTCTCAAATTATAAGCACGATTGATACAATAACCAACAAGCACAGACATAATTATATGTTAATAAAATATCTACAGTATACTGAAGGTAAGTATTACACTATTAATATATATGAAAGTAATATTGATAATTGAAATAGTTCTACCTTGTACCAAAATGTAAAGTGGGGAGATTCAACAATCCTCGCATTGCAAAAGATATCACGAGGCGATGCAAAAGCACTAATGATTACATTACCTAAGTTTTTTTCACAATTACACATATTTACACGTTCTAGATATTTAAAGAATTTTGTAATGTGACTGAATGATTAAAATATGGTTGCGTGTACGTGTATTTTTTCTTTAAATATTATATAATTAATAGTCAAAGTTTATAGGAAAGGAAAACAACGTGCCCCTGAGAGTGATCCACACTGCCCTCGAAAAAAATCCTTGATCTGCCCTTATGAAGACTATATATAGCATTTCCCATGATTTTTACTACATCGGATTTTATGTGCATTATTACTCTTACATGCATGGATGCTTATACATGAGAGAGAAAGAGAGAGAGAGAGGGGGGGGGTATACATGTACTTGTATGGAAAATGCCAGTGGAATTTCTCCAATCTGGAAAGCCTTCCTATACATGCATATAAAACAGGCACGTAGCACCATTTCTCAAAATGTGTGTTTGTGAGGGGGAGTGGGGGGGGGGGGGTTAAAATGATTGACAAACAAAAGAAAACTTTAGGCACTTAAAAATTGGGGGAAGGGAAGAAGGAAAACAGGCATTTAAAAAATCCGTAGTCAGGAGAGGGACAGTTTCCATTCATACCATCATTTTCGGCAGAAAAATATTTGAGTACAATGTACAATTATGTTGGATGGGGGGGGGGGGGGGATGTAGCCAGTCTTAAAATAAAAAAAAAATTCTTGCAAAATCAACAGTAAAGACAGACCTGTAGAACGTGGTGGTGGATGCCCCCTCCCACTTTTTCCGTTTTATTATTTAGTATGAAATACACACTCAAAGACTGATCCCCTCCACTTTTTGTTGCACCATAGTCAAATCGTGAAAAAGCCCCCCCCCTCCCCCCCCCCAATCACCGCCACAAAACAGGATTTTTGATATTTTTGTAAATTTTATTTTATTTTTACTTATTTCTTTATCATTATTTATAATAATTTTTGTTATTAATTTATTTTTTCAAAGATTTTTCAGGTAAAGTGTCAATTATTTCTTAGATGCTACGTGCCTGAAAGACACTCTGAGAAAAGGGGGTAACCCCCACCCCCACCCCCACCCCTGCTCTACGTGTGTGTATATTTGTTAATTTGTGTTCAGGTTAAATGCTTTCGTGTCGTGTTCTAAATCATTTTCTTACACCAAATTACTCAGTTTAGTTTTAGATAATCAGCAATCAGACTTTTTTTTAAAATGATTTCTTATTTTTTACCCAGTCGCACAAATACTAATTCCCTTTTTCACTTTTGATATTTTCCCTGACCAAAATCTGATCAGCACGGACTAAGTGCATTTGAGTGCTAGGCTGTACGATGACATGACAACGTGTTTACTGTTTTTTGTGGTGCATATTTCAATAAATGGAATACAAGGTGTAAATCACTCGGCATGTGCACATCTTCGAACGGGTACAGTGGTCTATTTCCAGGTATGAATAAGTTTACAGCGTTCGACGTGTTCTCTCGATATGCATCGATTGTATTTGAATGCATATTGACATGCATAGCAAATACGCTAGTTGTTTGTTCCATTCTTACGAAAGATTATTGCAAATTGTTTGTACGAGTTTTACTGTGTATTATTTCAAGTTTATTGTGCACATATTGGTATGCTTTAAAAAACACGCGCAACTATGTTTTTTTTCTTCCAAAATTGCACTTATATTATTCAAAACGATAATTATTCATAATTATCGTTATGACTGTTTTTATCTGTTCTGGTTTTAAAAATGTTTTCATCAATTCATGTGTTCCCTTATACTTCACTATCGGAGATGTGCCAAACCAAAAATTCACTCAAGTGTAATGAGGGCACTGGGGTATATATTGTTACCATAAGACAAGGTATCTGAAAGAAATATGGCGGAATATTTGGTATGAAACAAGTCGTACATTGATGCAAATGTTGCGTTTTTAAGAATTCATGTCAGCTTTAAGGTCCATTATTCTGCACCCTGAGAGGCAAAAGAAATCCTTCTATAAAAAAAAAAAATGTGGTATCTGTCAGGAATGACCAGGTTGGGCACACCCCACCAAATGGTCATTTATCCCCCGTTTGGTGGACAATCTCCCATATCAGAGACGACTTTTACTAACCAAATGGTGGACTTTTTTATTCTATTCCAAATTTTATTAAAATAAAGTAAAAGCGCATTTGCATATATAGGCATTGGGGAATTTTAGTGAACATATTCCTTGCACAATTAAAATAGTTTGGTTGATTTTCCATGTGCAATTTCTCCATAACTTCGTAAAAACGATACCCATAGTTGTCCCTAACAGCCGAACTTCTTGATCAATCGATCAAAAAAAATGTTCATTGTGTCTAGTAGGATAAAAATTCTATTTTATCCATTGGTTTAACTCTTGATTAGTTAACTTTCAATCGCTCTTTGGATCTTTGTCAATATTTATCTCTATAAAATAAACACGAGCTCCTCATTACTTAACTGGTATGGTGGGCACTTATTGCTATAAAGTTAATTTTTTTTAAGACTTGAACATAATATCTTTTTGTTATTTTTCTTTTAGGATGAAGTTCCATATTCCATGTGACCTTTTGTGGTTTAATATGTATATTACTGATGAATTTTGATATATTTGATAAATAATTTTTAATAAAAGATTTACAAAGTGACTTTTACAATTATACTTGTTTTTGTTCCAAGTACATCGTTTTAAAACAATAATTATATCATAATCTAACTTCATTTACTATTTTTATAAATAATAAAGCCATCACGTACAAAATAAAACGAAATAAAGGTGAAAATTTATTTTTCTTTTGATTTCCTAATTGAAAATTAACACAAATGTGCCTCCGTAGTTAAATCCGACTTTTGACCAGGTTAAAAAAAGATCATCGTTTTTATTGGTTTGCATTTTTGATTGGTTGCCCGAAATAGAAAGTTACGAACATGATTGACAGGTGCCGCATCGTTGGATAAGGAGGGAATTTTCGTTTTAAGTAAAAATTGAGAAACGTTGCAATTGTTTACGTACGTGACGTTTTTTGTAAAATTTTTGAACGACTCTGCGCAAAAAATTACACATTGAATTTCCGATTTTTTTCACTCAGAACACCGATAAATATCCAAATTTTATTTCACATGGTTTAAAATTATGCGCCATTTTACGCCATTCTATAGAATTGAACACAACCATTTTTCTGTCCCAAATGGTCAGTAAAAGTCGTCTCCGATAGGGGAGATTGTCCACCAAACGGGGGATAAATGACCATTTGGTGGGGTGTGCCCAACCTGATGACGCTCACCTCTACACAGGTGTCAAATATCCAGCCAAGTCGAATTTCAGCCGAGGTTACCCTTACAATAAGCATGATTTTTTTTTTTAAATATTAAAAAACATATGAGGGGGTATATTAGTGATTTCAATGGGCATTTGGGTGTTTTTAAAGGGCATTTCGGCGGCACGTCGATTTACCCAAATAGACACAAATGGAACCCAAATGGACCCAAATGGAAACAAATGGACCAAAATGGAAATCAAAATGGACCCAAATGGAAATCAAATGGACCCAAATGGAAATCAAAGGGAATATTAAATATATATTATCGTATTATCAAGTTGTTACTTATTTAAAATGATGAAAATAATGAACTTACAAATGGAGAATATTAATTATTCATCTCTAATATTGTATTTTAGAATACGAATTAATTTTCTTTAGTATTCTATATATCGGCAAAATTATTGGGGGGTGGGGGTGGGGGCACAGGCCCGGTCCCCCCCCCCCCCCTTTCCTACAGCCATGAAAACTATATAAACTTTAAAATGAAATACTTCAATTTTGTATTCAATGATATGCAAAAGTTATTACAAATAGAAAAAAGATTAATTCGTATTTTAAAATACAATATTAGAAATGAATAATTAATATTCTCCATTTGCAATTTCATAATTCTCATCATTTTAAATTAGTAACAAATTGAGAATACGATAATATATGTTTAATAATCCATTTGGGTCCATTTCATTTCCATTTGGGTCCATTTGAGTTTCCATTTGGGTCCATTTGGGTTCCATTTGGGTCCATTTGTGTCCATTTGGGTCCATTTGAGTTCCATTTGGGTAAATCGACGCACCCCATTTCGGTGATTCGTGTTACCCAGTACAGAGCATGAAGACCAATCTTTTTAGTATTTCAAAGTTTTATGGAAACTACAAATTATCAATAAACAATATGGTTGTGTATAAGTAAAATTTGATAGCGATATATTACCCTCAGAGCCTCTGAAACAGCCAAGTGTCGATAACTTTCCAAGACAGACTGACAGTGAAGACGAACCACTTCAACGGACGTGACACAATTGATGGTTGTCGTACAAACTTTCTGTGTCTTTTGGAACTTTACTTCGAATCAGAGATATGCTTCAACCTAAAAAAAATGTATATTATAAACTTATCTATATACATATATCATTTTAAAAATATTTGTGAAAAATGGGACAGAACATAATATTACAATGTCGTAAACTTTGCGGAGTAGACCGATTTGAGGTACCTTGAAAAAATATTACGGTGCACCGGTTACCTACAAGCATCACACTCGGCACACCTCGGCCGATTCGTACCTCATGAAGGTGACGGAATCAGCCGAGGTTTGCCGAATGACAAGCATCAGAGTAATAATTTGGTTCTCCCGACTCTGTTTTCTTTAGAACGAGGTAGATATATGTTGACTTAAACGATTTTTCCATTTCAATAATTTTGTTCATGTATTTATCAAAGGCTGTGCAGTTTCCCTATATGGAAGTGTCAAAACCGATGAGTGACGGATGTAAGCTGATACATGCATCATTCAGTCTCCTGTTGTTGATGAAAAAATAAAAATTAGGTGGTTTTCCTCAAATCTTGCAACAGCGAGTTTAGAATTATTTGATCACAATTGTCAGTATCTATTTAATTTTGATTCCTTTAAAGTAAATACATTTATTTACTGTTTTGTACCATATATATGAGGATTTTTCCTATAAAATTTTTTCAGAGGATCATCATGGGTAAAAAGAACAAAAGACAGAAGGAAAGTGGGAAGAGGTCAGCTACCCCAACCGAGGGAAAGGAATTATCAAAACAGCAGAAGAAACAGCTAATGGAACTCGTGACACAGCTATTACAAAGTAAATACTGAGTGAAGATTTGGTTTTCTGTTCATTGATAATTTGTTGAGTATTGGAAATTGGGCCGGACAGGAATTTGTGAAACAGAACATTGGGTTTTTGCTATTGACTTCAGAAATACTCATTTGTTCTTTATGAAACTTGCATAAATATTTTACTACAATGAAATAATTAAGTTTGCACTGAAAGTTTTAACCTCAAATGATTTGTATTTTAATAAATATATTAATTTAATCGACTAAAAATTTCGGACCATTTTAAAATCATTTCCAAATTATTGAAAATAATAATATGCATTTTTTTAATACCTGGGACAGGCCAAACTAGACATGTTTACCCAGGACAAACTGCAAATTTCAAAATAAGATAGCTAATATCGAGAGGATGTTAACTATCCCTTGTCTTTGACATTACCCAATTTAATCCAGGTATGCCTAGGAATCCTCATATAAGCCTTAAGTCCCTTCCTTTGAAAAATTGAAAAAAGAACAATTGCAATGCATGAAAGCATTAAAGGACTTTTATCATAGTTTCAAAATTCACAAAATAAAATGCTATTAACCTTAAAAATTAACATACAAAATGTCTTGTGCATTTAATTAGGGAAAAACCCCCCAGAGAAATTAAGCATTATATTGACTCATTTTAAAGCAGCCAATTTCAAAATGTGGAGTTAATTAGATAGCCAGTCACGTGATGCATTGATGTCATATGCATGTCTTGTCGATCAGCTGAACCTAAGCAAAAATAGAGGCTGCCAAGGAAAAAACAAAATTACAAGAAAAAATAAGGAACTGTTCTGATATGAGTAGTCAATACCATTTACCAAAGTTTAGAATGGAATTTTCTGTGTAACTCTTATATTTTGTGTGCATAATTTCATTTTATTGTGTGTAGGTAATTCACTAAATAAATTCTACTTTCTATTGTTTTGAGGAACTGCAAAATATTTCTGAAAATATTTCAGAATTTTTTCAGTTTATCCTAGGTAAACATATATGGTTTTGGCCTGTCTCAAGTATTATAAAATAAACAAGCATTCTGAGAGTATTGCATTAGCAATACTAGTCCCCTACCGGCAAGTGTAATCTGGTTCCCATTAAGAATTGAAAATGCCATAATTCTGTCAAAAATTAATGAAGCGGGACGAAATGCAAACTTGATCTATAACTAATCAAGGTAAAGCCACATACTAAAAATCAGCTCAATATCTACAAGCATTCAGAAGAAAATTGTGGAAAACCCGTAAAAATTGAAAAGGCCGTATTTCCGTCAAAAATCAATGAAGCGGAACGAAATGCAAACTTGATCTGTAACTCATCGAGATACACTCACATACCAAAAATCAGCTCAATATCTGCAAGCGTTTAGGAAAAAAGTGCGGAAAACCAAGTGGGACAGACTGACAGACAGACAGAGGGACAGACAGACAGACAGATGGACGGACAGACTCAGAGGATACCTATAGTCCCCTCCGGTTTCACCGGTAGGGGACTAATTATTAATAATTCTAATTATCCATATTTATTTTTGCAATGGTCGTAATACTTAAGTATCAAGTCAATGTACAAAGATGAAACAAGAATCCCACTACCCAAGTGCAATTGCCTTTAAAAACACCGATTTGAAAATGATTAAACCGTTTTTACTTTCCATTTTACCAACTGGAAAAATGACAATAATGAATAAGTATTTCTGGAGTAATTAGCAAAAACCCAGTTTTCAGTTCTGAAAATCCTGGTCTGGGTATGGTTTTGCTACCCATTTTTCTAACACTTTATTATGTTCAGATGCTTTACCCACTGGAAGTAAACCCTTTTACAATGACAGTTGTACTGCTCCTTTGCAAGGCAAATTGATATGTAGTTAATCTAAGTTTATTGTTGGCATATATAAATTAAATGACATTTATTTTGGACAATTGCTGGTATGTCATATTTCACAAGACGATATTAATTTGCCCTGCAAAAGAGCATTGATGAGCTTCATAAAATGTGCAGTTTGTGTTTTAGATTCATTTCTCAATCTGGATGAACAAAATAATTTATATAGTCAATCCTGTAGTATTTATTTGTATGGTGATGTTTGATATTTTGTTTTACAGCCTGTATGGTTATGCCTGATGGTCCTAAGGAGTATGAATATTATGTCGAGTTACACAGCATTGTGGAAAAGATACGTGCAGTCCAAGAAGGTATGTAGTTTAAACAATATTTCATCAGAAAAATGTAATTGGATTGGGTCATAGGCAATGCCTATAAATACCCTCTCCATATAAAAAGGTATCCACTTACAGAATGAACTGAATATATCTAATATATATATTATAATTAGAGCAAAGAAATACAAATAAATGCAGTAGGTACATGTATTTATGAACATGCTGAAAAGTATAATATTTTATTTTTGTCCAATTAAACTGACAGTTTACCTCCATAATCAAATTTCACGAGAAATGATTTTGGTTGCAGATATTTTTTCCTACATAAACTTATTTATTTTCAGTCATGTCATTTGTTTTTAGCTCACCTGAGCTGAAAGCTCAAGTGAGCTTTTCTGATCACATTTTGTCTGTAGTCCGTCTGTCCGTCTGTCTGTAAACTTTTCACATTTTCGACTTCTTCTCCAGAACCACGGGGCCAATTTCAACCAAACTTGCCACAAAGCATCCTTGGGTGAAGGGGATTCAAGTTTGTTCAAATGAAGGGCCACGCCCTCTTTCAAGGGGAGATAATTAAGAATTAGTGAAAAATGAATAGCATCTTTAAAAAATCTTCTTCTCCAGAACCACAGGGCCAGGAAAGATGAAACTCATATGGAAGCATTCCCAGGTAATGTAGATTCAAGTTTGTTCAAATCATGACCCCCGGGGGTAGGGCGGGGCCACAATGGAGGATCAAAGTTTTACATAGAAATATATAGGAAAAATCTTTAAAAATATTCTTCTCAAGAACAGTAAAGCCATGAAGAGTCATATTTATATGGATGCATCCTCAGGAAGTGTAGATTCAAGTTTGTTCAAATCATGACCCCCGGGGGTAGGGCGGGGCCACAATGGAGGATCAAAGTTTTACATAGAAATATATAGGAAAAATCTTTAAAAATCTTCTTCTCAAGAACAGTAAAGCCATGAAGAGTCATATTTATATGGAAGCATCCCCAGGTAGTATAGATTCAAGTTTGTTCAAATCATGACCCCCGGGGGTAGGGCGGGGCCACAATGGAGGATCAAAATTTTACATAGAAATATATAGGAAAAATCTTTAAAAATCTTCTTCTCAAGAACAGTAAAGCCATGAAGAGTCATATTTATATGGAAGCATCCTCAGGAAGTGTAGATTCAATTTTGTTCAAATCATGACCCCTGGGGGTAGGGCGGGGCCACAATGGAGGATCAAAATTTTACATAGAAATATATAGGAAAAATCTTTAAAAATCTTCTTCTCAAGAACAGTAAAGCCATGAAGAGTCATATTTATATGGAAGCATCCTCAGGTAGTGTAGATTCAAGTTTGTTCAAATCAAGACCCCCGGGGGTAGGGCGGGGCCACAATGGAGGATCCAAATTTTACTTAGAAATATATAGGAAAAATCTTTAAAAATCTTCTTTTCAAGAACAGTAAAGCCCTGAAGAGTCATATTTATATGGAAGCATCCTCAGGAAGTGTAGATTCAAGTTTGTTCAAATCATGGCTCCCGGGGGTAGGGCGGGGCCACAATGAAGGAAAGTTTTACATAGAAATATATAGGAAAAATCTTCTTCTCAAGAACAGTAAAGCCATGAAGAGTCAAATTTATATGGAAGCATCCTCAGGTAGTGTAGATTCAATTTTGTTCAAATGATGACCCCGGGGGTAGGGTGGGGCCCAATGGGGGATCGAAAGTTTTACATAAGAACATATAGAAAAAAAATTTCTTCTCAAGAACAGAAAAGCTATGTTAGTCTTATTGATATGGAAGCATCCTCGGGTAATGTAGATTCAAGTTTGTTCAAATGATGACCCCTGAGATGGGGAGGAGCTACAATGGGGGATCAAATTTTTACAAAGGAATAAATGGGAAAATTCTTTTAAAATCTTCTCAAGTACAACAAATTCATTTGTTATATTGAAATGAAAGCATCATCAGGTAGTTTAAAATTCAAGCCCCCCCCCCCCCCCCCAGTTCATTACTGAACTGATTTGTGCCTTAGTCTAGCCAGTGTGCTCAGGTGAGCGATGTGGCCCATGGGCCTCTTGTTGCACTCACTTCTCAAACTTCCCTCTCAGTTGTTCTGTATCAAGTATTTGTTGTAATTATTAAACCTCATTTTATGCAGAGATGCAAGAAAATGTATACATATTTTTTACATCAATGATACTTTTATCATACCCATGATTACATAAAATATAAACATCATTGATTTGTTTACAAATTGGTTTTCATTGCAGATATTTTATTTTCTTCACTTGTCTGTTTCTATTTTGAGCAACGAACAGATTGTCATTTGTATCTGTACACAGTCCCCGGGGCTCACTCAGTCCACAGTCTATGTAACGGAGGAACTGTCCATCTTGGTCTATGATGTGGACACAGTCATTGTTTTTATCAGCTGTAAGGATGTGACTCTGACTGTCTGTGGTGATTCCTCGTGGACTGAATGGTTCGTTCTTTGGAGCAGGAGTATGTCCAGTGTACCAGAATCTCAGTTTCCCGGCCTGATTGACCACCACTACTGCTTTAGCTCCATTGTCAGACACACAGATATCCAGGTTCCTGTTCTCAGTAATGTATCTATTATAACGACCAGATGAATAGAGAGGTTTACCTTTATCATCAAACTGAATGGTTTGTTTCTCTCTGGAGCCAGAGTAACGGACAACTTTTGTTTGTTTGTTATCATCACTGTCCATGATAACCAGGAGGTCACCAGAGGAGGTACTACAGACACCCCAAGGTATCCAGTTCTGTAGTCTGATCACCTCCTCTATCTTCTCATTCTTCACAATGTTCACAGTTCTATCTCTGTAATCAGTATAAACTAGATCTCCACTTTTTGTCACTGCTATGTCATATGGTATGTACCCTGACTTGGTTCTGATTGACTTGAGTAGTGATCCCTGATTGATGCTGTAGAGTTCCATGGTGTTGTCATCTCCACTTGTCCAGATTTCTTCATCACTCAGACAGGCCACTTTGTAAAGTTCTCCATACCCAGTGTCTATGGTGGTGACAGTCTCTGGTTCATCAAGCAGTTGTTTGACTGGAGGAGAGGATCCAGTGTTTGGTGATTTCTGTGTTGTCTTCATTTTATAGCCATGTTCTTTTAAAGTAGATGTAACAGATGACAATGTTCCAAATACTGCGGACAATTGTTCAGCAGGGAGTTTCTTCAAATTAAATGTTGGTGAAGAAACCATGATTTTAGGTGGAATCTTTCTGTATTCATCAATTCCAATGCTAACACCAAATACTACAGAAATGTCATAGGAATTTAAGGAAATGTCGATTGCCTCAGTTACATCCTTGATGTCAGACATTATCTTGTTTATTTCATCCAGATGTTTCTGTAAAGTTTGTAACTGTGTGTTTTTCATCTCATCAACTTCAGCTTTAAATTTCTTGACAAGTTTGTCAATTTCTCTGTGCCAGTCCTCTCCATGTTTTGTTATGGCTGTTGAGAGATCTCCATATTCCTTTTCTAACTGACTCATTCTGTTTTGTACATCAGAGGCAATGTCCTGGTAGATTGGGTAAATTGTCTCTTTTAGTTCATTTCTTTTCAGGATAATGTTTTCTTTCTTTTTATCAAGGACTTGCAAAATCTTAATGAGTTTATGACCTAGATGTTGATGGGATGCAATACAAGTGTCACAGACAGGAATGTCACATTGACTACAGTACATTGTGCATCGTTCTTTGTTATGAGATTTACATCCAGGGTATTGAGGAGTTGATTTTCGAAGCTTAAATGGGACAATTTCATGTTTTTTGGATTCATCAGATATCATGTGTTCTCCTACACAGGCCTTACACAGGTTGACAAGACATATATCACAGTGCATCTGTACCACAGCGATCTCACACAGGTCACATCGCATCACATCCTGGGCACTGGTACGGGGCTCCATATTTGAAAGTTCTGAAATATTGATCAATATTGGTTAAGTTGCTCTCAATTACAGAGCAAACAAAGGAAGAAAAGATTACCCGGTACTTAAAACTTAACTCCATTAGTGGTTCAAAATTCCTCAAGCCTTATGTCCAGGACTTGGTAAATTCGGTTTTGGACTTGGTATTAAGACTTAATGGAAGTCTGAGGACTTACCAATGTTTATTAATAATTTTAAAAACTCCAGAAATATAGGTCATTAATTTTCAAAAAGTATGAAAGTCTCTTAATTATTTCTTAAAATGCTTAATTTTGAGTGCAGTAGTTTGAGTGTCCTCATATAAAAATTTGAGGTATTCTTGATTAAATATCTGTAGAAAGGCTTTGTGCAGTAATTTAAAGACAATAATATGGGTTTATCAGTGTGATCAACTAAGTCATATGTGACTTCACAACACAATTGTTTTTTAAAATATATAGCTGGGAGAAGCTTGTTTGGAAATTATATGTATTTATATTAACTAGTAGGTATTCCAAAAATTAAAAGCAATTCAAGCTATAGCATGCAGTGTGATCAACATGGTAATAGGATATGATTTGAGTACATTTAAAGATTTAGTCAACCCTTACATAGCTGTATAATTTCACAGTATAAGTAGGTTTTTGGATCATTTTCATTAGTCTTTGTTTTGTTAATACAATTATTTGTATCACTTAATGACACCTTTCCCTAAGTAGAATGTCAGAAGTCATTATTGGATGAATATCCAAAAAATATTACCTGCTTTTAGTCACAGTAATGGTGGATTTCCTGTTGGTGACCCGGCCGTCTCTGTTTACTCTGATCATGTGAGACACATACCTGTGTTATCTACCTGTCAGGTGCAGTCAGGTGTTTCATATTCTTCCCTGTTTAAATTCGCAAAAGGATTTTTTTTATTAAAAAATCAGAACAAGGTGTGCCTCTTTATACCAGTATTCTGTTTCATTTGTAAAAGAATTAAAAAGACTTTAAAAAAGTTTATTATGCATCTATAAATTAGTGAATAGTGAAAACAAAAGACCAACTCAGTTATTTGTTATCATGTCAAGGATAACCTAGCAGTACTCAAGTACTCTATAAAAGGTCCAAGTATGAAATCAGTATTTGAGTACTGTACATGACAAATAAAACCATGCAATATTTCTTCATTGTTTACATTATTTGTCAAGCACATTCTACTTTCAGAGGTCATCATACCATTATCTGACATTCTAGAGTAGACCCTACCATATTTTGACAACAATTAGAGTCATTATCTCTTCTGTCAGTGGCAGTACATTGTTTTGTTTACATCAAGATTGGAAATCACAGTTCAAATTAATTGAATGAAATATAACATGGTTTTTTTTATGAGTTTGTATCAAACATTCCTAAGACTGGGAATATTTCAGATATCCTGGCAATTTGAAGTCTTCAACATGTCAACTGTGTGAAGCTGAATTTATATGGGAGGGAAAAATAATATGTTAAATCATTAATGTTTCAAGCATTGTAAGTGAAGCCTGCACCTCTGGCTTGTGCACCATGTGTAAATCTATACCAGGGCCTAATATTCCTTACATGCTGGTCTGGTAAAAGGACCCTGTCCCAATTGAAAATTGACCCTTAATTTTTTTTTTTCCAAATTAAATGAAGGTAAAAATTCCCAAATGACAAGCTGTTTAAATTGATAGAAAACTAAGTTACTAGAAAAATACAATGTGAGTTTTCTTACTTTATAATAGATAACATTCATGGAGGTGAGCTTTGTATTCTTTGATTATACCTATGTTTGTAAATTGCAGCAAAAAAATAATGTAAGGAACCTTAAGTTTAATAGGAATATTGATGATCTTTATTTTTCCAGAAAAAATTAAAGCACAGAAAAAAATAACCTGGTAGGGGCAAATTTGATCTGACAGTCAGAATAAGTGATGTAAATTTTCTAAATTTATTGTTGACAATTTATGTTAAAGGTCTGAGTTGTCCGCCATTAGACAGAGAGAAAGCTATCCCAGAATTCCTTGAATGGCTGAAGAAACACAATGTAGACACCAGTGCTGTGGAAATCACTGGTTTTCCTGACTGTGGGTATGGACTGCAGGCCACTAAAGACCTCAATGTAAGCCAATATTATTGACAGTTTACCATTAATAAACAAGCATTCTGAGAGTATTGCCTTAGCAATACTAGTCCCCTACCGGCAAGTGTAATCTGGTTGCCATCAAAATTTGAAAATGCCATGTAAAGTCATGTATCAAAAATCAGCTCAATATTTGCAAGCGTTTAGAAAAAAAATTGCGGAAAACCCTTAAAAATTAAATAGGTCGTAATTCCATCAAAATTCATTGAGGGGGAACAAAATGCAAACTTGATCTGTAATTTAAGATGCAATCACATACCTAAAAATCAGCTCAATATCTGAAGGCGTTTAGAAAAAAAGTGCAGAAAACCAAGTGGGACAGACTGACAGACAAACAGAGGAACAAACAGACAGACTCAGAAGAAACCAATAGTCTCCTCTGGTTTAACCAGTAGGGGACTGATAAGAATTACAAAACTCACTGATATTATGTGCCATGGAAATCAGTACTCGGTAGCGTAGGTTGGAGTCCTATAGTTCTGTCTGCAGGACTGAAGAACTTTGAAGAAGTCCATGAATCAAAATTGACCTCAGTGCATCAGTTTTTTCGATGAACAATATTATGCAAATAAGAAAGTGCACTAGAAACACAGCTACTTAAAATTCTTGCCTCCAGGCCCTGGACCTTTGATGGATCTTGGTTAGGAAGTAAATATGCAATGCATTAAATTGTGGAAACACTTCTGATGACATTTATAACATTAATCTATTTGCATGATTTCATCAGGCAATGAAGATCTGATAAGGAAATCAAAAGATACCTCATCTAAAGATAGAATTTTGGTGTTTGTGTAGTGACCTCAGGTTGATTTCAGTTTGAAGTAATTTTTTTTATTGTAGGAGTCTGACCCATTCCTGACAATTCCCAGAAAGATAATGATGACCACCGGAACAGCCAAAGAATCTCTGCTAGGTAATATTGTCATAGTTTGTGTAGTTATTAATCATTATGCATTGTTAATTGATAATATGTGTTCATATACCTTCATAAATAACAAAAGTGCTTAAGTTACTCAGGTGAGAATTGTGGTCCATGGGCCTCTAGTTTACTGTTGCAATGAAAATATACTTTAATTAAGCACATCGATCATGTCCTATGGACATATTTCTAATTTCATTATGAATTGAACTTGCTAAAAAATTTGCATTCTCTGAAGGAATCAGTATGCTATGAGGTTGTCATTCAAATTTATCATTAAGACATACTGTAAACATATTTTTTTCCACAATTTCTGGTCAATCTGCAAGTAGAAAATTATCCAGATTTCTTGAGTTGTTATTGAATGAATTTTATAGTATTAAATCCAGACCCTAAAAAGGGCATGGTAATCCAATAATCAAAAGGGCACTTTACGCCACAACAAGTTTTCATGAGGGCACTTTTTTAATGTCTTTGAAATTATAAATATTTTCTTTATCATGTTTATATACTTAAATTATTATTTAATACTGAAATCTTTAGTTATACAAGTATCTAAAAGAAAAATTTATAAATCTGTCGGCTTAATTCATTTAATACACACTGAGAGGGCAATTGTTGCCCAAATTTAAATTCAATTTTTTTAATCAAGAAATCAGTATGGTTATCAAGGTTATGCTTAAATGTTAATCTTTTTGTCACTTGCTCAAGAATTATTTTAGTTTGGGGTATGAATTTTTTTCCTTGTTTTAATATTGTTATTTGTGTATGAGGTAAATAACATTTTAATTTACAAATTAATCTATCTTTGACATTGGGCTAATTCTTGCATAATCAATGCAATCAAATGATATTTTCTCGTGTTATCTCTTATACCCTGACAGCCTGAGGCATGTTACCTGGCCAGGTGGCCGTGTGCGTTCAAGCGAGAAGTGATTTCCTGTCCTGAATTTACACCTTTGGTGCATTAAATAAACAAATTAAGGGGCTAATCAGCATGCACTGAATAAACAAAGCTGCTAGTCCATCTTGCCTCTGCTAGGCATATTTATTTATTTTTGCAAGGAAAAAAGGGCATGGCATTGGAAAAAAGGGCATGGCACCGAGAGAAAAGGGCCTGGCGCCGCGCCATGCTAGTTTGCTTTAGATTTAACACTAATTTTAAGTACATTTATATGGAAAAATTGTGACCCTGTACATATATGTAGTGAAAACTATTTCCATGTGGTAAAATGTATCTCAAAAGTAGTTTGACAAGAGTCAAACACCAATTACTGAAGATCGCTATATTTTCGCAACACCTTATTTTCACAAGATAGCTATCTGGTATTTATATTATAATAAAATATATGGAGATAACGAACAATATTCAAGCTCAAAAGTCCATTAAACAATACAAATTTTGGAGCAGAGCAAAGACAGACCTCTAAAACATCAGAGGTGGGGTGGGATCAGGTGCACTGGAGGAGTGAGCATCCCTTGCTGACTGGTCACACCTGCCGTGTGCTCCTTGTCACGATCAGGAAATAACAGAAAAATCCGTCGACAATTCAAATTGTAAATAATGGCGTAACAATTAGTATGAAAAACGTCAGTCAGCATTTGACTTAATGATAAATTGTATTTGCTGACAAGGTCATTGTATTGACTATAGAACTTATGAAATGAGGACTTTAAATGAGACTGTTGATATTCTTGTTCATCAACTTGTTTGTCAATAACTTACCTTGTTTTAGAAATTGTTCATATGTAGGTCATGCTCTTGGTGTATTGAATCAACTGAGAGATATAAATCCTGTATGCAGGTGATAAAGGTATATTGCTGCATAAGTAAGGGAAGTTGATGATTGAAAATTTAAAGTCATCATGTTTATCATAAAGCTTGGTTGTTAGATTACCATTAACATCTTTTTCTAATAAAATATCCAAATATAAAACATATGTGTCAGACTCTGTGGTATCTTTTATTTCAAGTTCACCTGGATATATCGTATCGACATAAGAATGGAAATAACCATTGTTAATTGACAATATGTCATCAATATATCTAAATGTCGAGTTGAAGGCCACTGCAAGTGTTTTCTTCTTTTCATGTATAAGATTTTGAACAAATTCATATCATATGAATACAAAAATAGGTCTGCTAATAACGGGGCACAGTTGGTACCCATGGAAATTCCAGTAGATTGTTGGAAGACCTGGTCTCCAAAAACCACATAGATATTGTCAATCAGAAACTCAAGCATCTTTTTAATATCAGCTTAAGAGTTTTGTGTGTACAATCAGAGTGTTTTTTAACAAAATAATTTTGCAAATGACCAATAACAAAGTAAGTAAATTTACGAGTTCAATTTTTATTGCAAAAGCAGCTGTCAGTGATATCAAAAAGCCTGGACAAAATTATAATGAATAAAATAATTATTAAAAAAAATAAATAAAATAATTATTAAAAAAAATAAATAAAATAAGTATTAAAAAATTAAATAAAATAGGTACCGGTATTAAAAAAATAAATAATAAAAAAAAAAATATAAGAACAAATATAAAAAATAAGCAAGACAAAATTTTCGCAAGCTTTTGTGATTATTGTATATAACCTTAATGGTACAAATAAATGCGAAAATGAAATTTTCGTGAGTAGAAAGACAAATAAGTTCTCACAAATAAAAAGTGATTTACAGTACATTACCATGGATTCCTGACAAGACATGGGGTGAGAGAGAGAGAGGTAGCAAGTGGATTCATATAACTATTTATTAACTGTTGTAAGTCCTTTAATTGAGGAAGATAAGATCCTATAAGCCATGCCTAGTGTTGTGTTTATTAACTGTTGTAGGTCCTCTAATTGAAGAAGATAAGATCCTACAAGCCATGCCTAGTGTTGTACTGGCCCTCCATGTTCTTTGTGAGAGGCGGCGAGCAGACTCTTTCTGGAAACCGTACATTGGTATCCTTTAAACTTACAGGAATTGACTTTATTGAATCAACATATAGTCCCAGGATCATGAAGCATCTTAAACTTAACTTAAACTATGATGGTGACAAAATTATGTAAAAGTCAAGCAGTCCAAGATGAAAATGCTTTACAACTTTGCATTATCAAACTGCTGTCATAGGCAGATTCAAAAATTTTAAACATTTTATAGATAATCAGACATATTGTGATCAAGTTCAATGATATAAAATGAGTACATTTAGACAACCTTGACCTTTGACCTAGATGTTCTTCCTAATGAGTACACGACCCCTCTGTACTTCCTGCCTGATGATTTACTTCACCTGAAAGGCTCACCTGCACAGAGTGAGTTCGTTGTTTATTGTATCTTTTTTTGATGAACAAGACAACATTAAGCAATTCAATTTCTTTTAAAGTTTTTTAAAATGTAGTTATCTTGTTGTTAGGGGGTCATTGGACTGATTGAAGTAACAAATACAATAATATATCATATGTCACTCAGTTTTACTGTTGAATTTATGCAATCACGTGACGGTGTGATCCGACGTTCCGGATCAACACACTGTGGTTTTCTGAATCCATATCACCCTTCTCTAAAACTGATGATGTAGAACACAGATAAATGATTTTTTTTATTCTCCCGCATCAAAAAGTTCATTGACAAAATGGTTTATTTAATGGATAAAAGTTATGTAATTGATCCAAAAAATTTCCTTTTATTAAATTTTGTTAGTTGTAAAGGGGTATATAAAAAATTTATCATTATAACAGTAACTTGATCCAAAAAGACGTATCACGTCTTGTTGACAGGCGCGTCTCGTTTGATCTAATGATCTGCGCCTGTCAACTTGACGTGATATGGCTCTTCGGATCAAGTAACTGTTATAATTATATATAAAGATCGGTTCTGTAAATACATGCCTTACATGTATCTTACATATTACAATAGATTAAAATACAATGTTTATATTTAGGTGACTGTATAAAACAATTCCGCAACATAGCCCGCCAGTATGCCTGCTTTTACCGAGTATTTCAGGTGAGTATGATGGACACATGTCATTGTTTAGAAATGTAGTTTGTAATGTATTTCAGAGGTGAATATTAATCATTTATGATACATCAGTTGTTGGTGTTCGTAACTGTATATGAATGCATTGTCCAGGATTTGACAGTGGTATGTTATTGTCGATTCAGTGACAGACTTTGTTTCTTTACAGACCAGTCAGAATGCAGACAAGCTTCCAATTAAAGACTGTTTTACATTTGATGACTACAGGTTATGTATAGATTATATACCAGATTTACCTAAAAATTATGTCTGTGTATGTATATGGTTACTAATGACACCATATTACAATATGCATTGAGTTTGTAAATCTTGGGGGTAAGAAGGAAAAATGATGAAAATTACCCCACCAACATGCAATGTAGCGATTCCATAGAATATCAGGAACTGTCCAAATATTATATACAGGGACTGGTACTAAGTTTTATGTATTCGTAATTTTACAAAGGCAAGATTGGCACATTGTGCAGAAATAATTTAAATTTGTACTCTTTGAGTAAAGATGAAAAATGTATAATGTCTGCTTTCCAAGCAGATGTAAATCTAGAAGAATAGCAAAACTTCTGAAAGATGCATCTTTGTTTCATCACAACAGTTGAAAATGGTGGGAGATGAACTTCATTTTTGTCTCACTTGTAGATGGGCAGTTTCTACCGTGATGACAAGACAGAACCAAATTCCAACACCAGATGGCGGTAAAATCACATTTGCTCTAATTCCAATGTGGGACATGTGCAATCATTGTAACGGCACGGTGAGTGATCTCTACACATGTTCATTTACCGTGGAATATTCTGTCACAAGTTTTGGATCAAGGACAGAGTTAATTACTATGTATGTTTTAGATGTTGGAACAAGCAGGAAAATGAACCAATAAACAAGTACAAGTAAACTTCGTTATCTCGGCATCGACGGGACCATCGGAAAATGTCGAGATATCCGAGGTGTCGAGATATCAGAGTTGAGACTTGACGTCCAACGCAGTACAGTAAAGGTGCCAAATGGAAATAACGGCGAATTTTTTAGATAGAAAATACATTCTTTACAAGGATGGGCGTTTCTTTTTAGGACTTTACTATAATCGGACAAATGCAATGTGGTTGAAAACTACATGTTGAGGACGATTATATTTCTTATTTAGACTTGTCACATGATGTGGCAGTCACGTGATTTTAGCAAATATACCTGAAGTATTGAGGTCATCTATAAATTCTAATATTGCAAGGGCATAACCAAGTTAAAAATCTAAGTTTAACATATAATTATTTTCAACACTCTTTGTAGTTTGTGAAAAGTGCTGCGAACCTATATAGATTCTAATATCTAATTGCTTAAATTACATTTGTTAGACCGTATGTTGAATATTTTGCTGGTCAAGTACATTAAATATAGATATAATTAATTCATTTGCAAGATTTCAACAGGTTCGCAGCACTTTTCAAATATCTTCATACTTCTTGAGTTTATGTGTAAAAGCTTGTCATAATTCATTGAGGGTATGCCCTTGCAATATATCGATTTTTTACGACCCTTTTATTACCCTTCAATGAATCTGGATACAAATATACGACAATATCGCTTGTCTAGGGAATGTACGGGAAGAATATGAATAAAATCATAAAATAGACATCGCAGCCAAGTTAATGGCCTCATATATATCTACAATTTATATTTTATTTAATTACAAAATACATTTTTCATTGTATAAATATAACTTGATCCGCCTCCCACTGCATACAAACTGCGTCAAATTTTACGATATGACGTCACATTGACAAGTGCATTGCGATCAGTGAATTGTTTATATATTGATGTGGGGGATTTAACCAACGACAATAATGCATGCACCACTTAGTATTGATGTAGTTTAAAGCTATTCAACAGTTTAAAATACCAAATCATTTCATTTTGTGGTAATTTGATGAACTTATACTTTTGTGTGATGTCATAGTAAACATTTCCCGTATAAATTAGGCCCCGCCTCCTTACTGCAGCCTTAACTGTGCTGCGAAGATTTCACTGCATAGCAAAACGGACAAACTTATTATATGTACATGACTTCAATACAGACTAGTACTGTAGCTCAACATATTTCAGAATTCCCTCTATTTTTATTAAAAATCTAAAAAGTTATTTTAAAAATCTTGTTTATAAAACGTGTTCTTTATCGAAATCTTTCTAAATTCACAAAGTTTCAGCACAAAGTTACAGCATTCGCGTATAACCTGCCTTTTTGTCAGAACAGGATACGAAATGCACTCTATCAAGTTCGAACCGTATAAAGTTGACATCCGATATAAGGGAAAAAAAATAAATGCGGATTATTTTTTTCTTATTTAATTCAGGAAGAATGTACATTAAAATATTAATAATTATTTAAGAGATTTGTGTATCTAAACTAAGGTAGTGATGTTACAGATGCATGAATTACGGCTGATTCGGTTAATCGGGTCGTAAATTGGATTGTTTCCTGTTGAATACATATCATTAAAACATCTTTTAATTCCTTAGTTTGAATTATTCAGTGTGTTTGTTATTCATTGTAATTTAGTTACCTTTTCAAATTTAAAAGTTATGTTAGGTTTCGATATAAATAACCGTCTGTACATTTGCGCAGAATCGTGTAGATTAAGCAATGATATTACCCAAGCTGAACATTAAGCAATTAACTTCTCAAAGACGCCGAGGGGACCTGGGATTCACCTGCAAACACAGTCTATAGTAAGAATTCGTGCAGTCAAAACTTGGGTGTGAAAGGGGTGTGAAATTTTGATGACGCCGAGTTACCCGGAGTCGTCCGTGCTTGACGAGCGACCCTATCTGACAAACAGTTAGGTTCAGTAGAGGAGAAAATTGCCGATGTCGACATATACCAGGTAAATTTTGCTCTTGGGACTGTGATAATACATCGAGATAACCCGGGTTGTCGACATTACCGAGGTCGACATATCAGAGTTTTTGAAAATCATTTATATAGTAAATACTGCCGGGACCGCGGAAGGACGTCGACATATCCCAGGTTGTCAACATATCCGATGTTGAGATACCGAAGTTTACCTGTGTCATAAAACATGATAAGCACATCAAGGAAAACATATTTGAATTTTAGAACACATGTACCAAATCATTTTTATCAGTAGTGGTCACATAACACATTATGATCTATTTGTTTACAGATCACTACGGACTACAATCTGGACAAGGACTGTAGCGAGTGTTTTGCTCTGAGGAATTTCAAGGCTAAGGAACAGGTGCCTCATACAAATAGCTATAAATTGTTTTTATTTAGAAACTTAGCAAATATCAGAGGGAAAAAAAAGAGTTATGATTTTGTTCATAAGTTTTACTTTCAGTAATAAAGTGGTAAAGATACATGTATAAATTATATTAACAACTTTCATAAGTTATGACAGGAATAAAGTAAATTCTGATTCCTTGATAATGAAGCTTTTACCCGAATCCTTACGCATGTGAGTTAAGGCTAGGTATAGGCGTTTCTATGCAAATGAGCTAATAAAAACGCATAAGAGGTATATTTATTATTCAGAGAAAGTGTTGATTTTTTTTTCTTATGCATACTTAGTACCCAGGATATGTTATAGCCAGTACACATTATGACGTCATATTATGTCGTCACTGATCTTACCTACTGGAGGTAATAAAACACATCAACAAAACACCTCGGCGCAAGGGATTACCCTATTTATTTTTACATAAAAATTGTATAATGGTAAAAGAATATTCTATAGATTAATAAAACTGCTGCACAAATCCTAGGCATTTTCTCATTTGATCGGAATGTGAGGAAACTTATACTGGACTGTACATTTTTACCCTTATTCAACTTAAAACATTACAAATAGAAATTATACAACTGAGCTGCTGATATTTGTGCAGCAATACCAGCAAACTTTGGAATATTTTGCTTCTAAATATGCCTTGTTTCAGTTAAATAAAGTAGAGCATGCCCTTGCGCCGAAGCATTTTTCTTGATATACATTATAATCTTGTATAGTACAGAACAATGACGTCATAATATTACGTCATAATGTGTACTGGCTATCTCATGTCATGGGTACCAAGTATGTATTAGACAATAAGTTTTAACGTTGTCTGTATAATAGATATAGTACTTTGGCATATTAATTACATTATTTGCATAAAAATGCCTATATCTAGCCTTAACTCACCTGCGTAAAAGGGGTTACATAATTTTCAATCTTTTGTAATCTTTCCTATCAGGTATTTATCTTTTATGGAGCAAGATCGAATGCGGAACTTTTAATCCACAATGGATTTGTTTATCCAGAGAATGAGTTGGATAGAGTAGCTGTTAGGCTAGGTAGGTTATTAGAATCAAAATAATTAGATTGATTGATTGTAATTCATAAGTTTATTACAATTTTGCAAATTAAATTGTTTGTCACATTACAGGCATAAGTAAAGGGGATCCACTTTATGAACAGAAAAATGAGCTGTTGAAAAAACTAGGATTAGCTGTGTGAGTATGGTGTCATCATTTACATGTACACCCTATTTTATTCAGTACATAAATATACACTAAATGGATGCAGGCAGCACTCTGTCTAAGCATTTTGTATAGCCTCTTTCAGAATCAGTTGAATTTGACAAGATATCGTAAAACTGAATAGTATTAATCTGGCCACTAAACACATTTTTAGCTTACCTGAGCTGAAGGTTCAAGTAAGCTTTTCTGATCGAAATTTTTCTATTGTCTGTCGTCGTCATGGTTGTCGGGAACTTTTCACATTTTCATCTTCTTCTCAAGAACCACTGGGCCAATTTCAACCACACTTGCCACAAAGTATCCTTGAATAAAGGGGATTCAAGTTTTCAAATGAAGGGCCACGCCTTCTTCCAAGGGGAGATAATTATGATTTCATGGAAAATTAATGGCATCATTTAAAAATCTTCTTCTCAAGAACCACTGTGCTTGAAAACATGAAACTTATGTGGAATCATTGTGAGGTAGTGTAGATTCAAATTTGTTTGGAGATAGGGTGGGGCCACAGTCAAAGTTCAAACTTGTAGGGAAAAAAGCCACAGTTAATCAAAGAAATATGTAAGCATCCTTAGTTAGTGTAGATTCAATTTTGTTCAAATCATGACCCCCCCTCCCCCCTTCCGTTTTAGGGGTAGATCGGGACCACTTATGCATTTAAGCTTTCAATACTGAACTGATTTTTGCCTTTTTCCTAGCTTCAATTTCTTAGGCCTCTTGTTTTTACATTAAATACTTCCCTTTTTAACAGATTGAGGAATTTTTACATCCACTCTGGAATGATTCCTGTAGATCCCCAGCTGATGGCTTTTCTAAGAGTTTTCTGTATGTCAGAGGGTAAGTTTGTTCTGAACTAGGTTAGACAACTCCTGGTTATTGATCTCATGCTATATGAGCTAAGATAACTCCTGTCTTTGAATCTATAGTTACTTATCAAATTTTTAATCATGGACAAGAAATTCATTTTGAGATCAAGCATTATTTAGGTTTTGGAATCTGTGTCCTGTTGTTTTTGATGATTTTTCTAACTAACAAACGGATTACTTTGATACTCCTTCAAAAATCATTAAGAGTTTGACATGCGTAAAGATATATTTTATATATTGTTTACTCCAATAGAAAACCTGAAGAAATTGAATTCTAAGGAGCTTACAGAAGAGGACGCAGAGAAGATTGGAGATATAGACATCCCAGTGTCAGCTGAGAATGAAGAAAAAGTATGGGCGTTCCTCGAGACACGGACAGCTCTCTTACTACGGGCGTATGACACTTCAGAGGAGGTGGGTTTTCATTATTTTCTTTGAAAAACTACACTTAAAAGTGATTTACAAACTACAACTAAAAAGCACTAACACATAATATTCTGATAAAGTGTAATAGACAATCAGAAAAGAGAAAAGTTGTACATTGTGTAAAGGTTCAGAGCTGGATTGAATTTTGTTTCTATTTTTAGGAGGATGAGGAGCTACTACAGAAAAAAGATATGAATATTCATGAGAGACTAGCTGTGCAATTACGATTGTGTGAGAAAAGAATATTGAAGGCAGCACAAGTGTATGCTGGAGACCGGAAAAAATCTCTGAAGGGAGATAACTCTGACACAGCAGCAGCATAGATCAAATAATTCAGCATTAAACATGGGGAAAAACTGTATGATTTAAACTTTTTAGGATCATTTAATAAATGATCAATTGTATTTGATAAGAGTTTGATACTTTTTTTTTTACAAAGCATTTTTTTCTGAGCCATTTAATTTTCAAGCATGACAAAAATTTCACAAGAGTCAGACAAGCAGGGGGAAACTTCTTGTCAATGATTAATTTCTTAGATAATGTTAACAGTTTTTTTTTAATTTGAAATTTTCTTACAATGATGAATTAGTGTTCAATATAGTAGGTCATGTTTATAAATGTTTATTTATTACAATGCAGAGGAATGCATTCAAGAGGAGGTAACTCTTACCCATTCAGGACACATGTCTTTTTACATTGATGTTTATGTCAGAGAGGAAATGTTAATGATCAATAAATTATTTCAATCTTTTAAGAGCCTTAATGTTGTGTCTCAGATTTAGCACTGTAATGTTGAATATTTGTTGGAATATGTCTAAGTGTGACAATGATGACATCTTTAAAATAATTTGTCTCATTGGTGAATTAATTTCTTATATGTATACCAATGGAGTATACATACAAGAGTTAAAAAAGGCTTAAGAAGGAGTACTAATTTGATGTACGTCATACATGGGGGTCTCATCATTTTGAAAAAGTAGGAAAATTAACAATTTTCTTAACAGTTGATAAATCCCTACCCCTACATTGAACTTAATAATGCATACCTCGCAGGAACTATAATCAAATACAATGTTGATGTCAATTGCAAACAGTTTCTGAAAAATTAGACATTTTCAAAGAATCGCATCTTTTAGATTGACCATTACAGTTTTTTTTTTTTTTGAAAGAATGAAATTTAAGTGTATAATATGTTACAGTATATATCAGACATTTTTCACATTCAAAGAGTTTATAATGTGGTATATTTTAATAAATATTGGAGGTATTCACTGAATAAAGATTTTCGACTGTTATTTTATTGTTTTTGAAAACAATAATAACAATTTCTGGTTATTATAACTGCTGACAATACATTTGCTTTATAAGAGTTAAAGTTACATTTATATTTTTACAACAATTCACTTTGAGATTTAAATATTCCTATCACTACTTCATTTGACGTGAGCTTCAGTTTGAGGTTGTTTGCAACTCTACAAAGTTCCCAAGATTTAATCTGTAAAGAAAGTTCTGAGAAAGCAGAAATATATAATTCAGTTATGTTATTTACTGTAATCATCAATTATGTGACTCTAATTTGGCATCAGGATTTCATTGCAGGTATTTGATTTTCTTCACTTGGCTTTTTTTGTACTGAGCAACAAACAGATTGTCATTGCTATCTATACACAATCCATAGGGATATTTCAGTCCACAGTTTATATAACGGATGAACTGTCCATCCTGGTCTATGATGTGGACACAGTCATTGTTATAATCAGCTGTAAGGATGTGACTCTGACTGTCTGTGGTGATTCCTACCGGATGGAAAGGTTTGTTCTTTGGAGCAGGAGTATGTCCAGTGTACCTGAATCTCAGCTTCCCGGCCTGACTGACCACAACTATTGCTCCAGCTATGTAGTCAGCCACACAGATATCCAGGTTCCTGTTCTCAGAAATGTATTTAGTGTTATTGGTGAATGAATAAAATGGTAAGCCCTTAAAATCAAACTGAATGGTTTGTTTCTCTGTGGAGTCAGAGTAACGGACAACTTTGGACTGAGTGAAGTCATCGTTTTCCATTGAGACGAGGAGATCACCAGAGGAGGTACCACAAATACCACGAGGACTCCACTTCTGAAGTCTGATCACCTCTTCTATCTCTCCATTCTTCAAAACATTCACCGAATTATCACTGCAGTCGGCATAAACGAGCTCTTCACTGTCTGTCACTGCTATATCTGTCGGTGTGTTGCCTGACTTGGTTGTTATTTTAGTAAGTAGTGATCCCCGATTGATGCTGAAGAGTTTCATTGTTTTGCCGTATCCACTTGTCCAGATTTCTTCGTCATTCTGACAGGCTACGTTGCAGAGGTCCACATATCCCGAGTCAATGGTGGTGACGATCTCTGGTTCATCAAGCAGCTTTCTGACTTTTATGGGCTTCTGCATCTTCTTCAAGCTGTAGCCGTGTTCCTCTGATGTTGATGGAATAGACGACAATGTACCGAATAATTCCTCGTGGAACTTCTTCATATTGAATTTTGGCAAAGAAACAATGATTTTGTGTGGGACTGTCCTGTAGTCTTCAATTCTAAAGACAGCGTCGAGAACCACAGATGAATCATCAGAGTCCAAGGTGGCTTGGATTGAGTTTATTTCATCCTTGATGTCAGAAATCTTCTTGTTAACGTCATCCAAATGTTTCTGCAGGATTTGTAATTGCATATTTTTCAATTCATCAGCTTCAGTCTGCAGTTTATTCATGAGTTTATCAATTTCTCTGTGCCACTCTTCTCCATGTTTTTTTATGGCTGTTGAGAGATCTCCATATTCCTTTTCTAACTGACTCATTCTGTTTTGTACATCAGAGGCAATGTGCTGGTAGGTTGGGAAAATGGATTCATTCAATTCCCTTTTTTCTTCAATCATCTTTTCTTTCTTTTCCTTTAGAAACTGTGCAGTTTGTAGTAATTTATGACCTAGATGTTGATCAGATGCAATGCAAGTGATGCAGACAGGAATGTCACATTTTGTACAGTACATTTCACATCGTTTTTTCTTGTGAGCTGTACACACAGGAGAGAGGGAGAGGGATTTTCTCGCCTGGAATTTGACAATTTTGTGATCAATGGATTCATCAGTTGAAACATGTTCTCCCACACAGACTTTGCATAAGTTGACGATACAGGTATCGCAATGAACGTGTACCTCAGCAGTTTTACACAGATCACATCGAGTCACATCACCGGTGTGGGGATCCATTCTGAAAAAATGTAATGAAATATGGATAATTTAAGATGAGGTATTCATTGATAAACTACAGGGGGAATGTGGGAGTCCAGCTATTGGGTTTGTTTTCGATGTCATTTCCTGACAAACTTGGCATTGAAACAAACTTCGGTAAAACAAATTTAAAGCGTGTCTGAGCTTGAAAAATAATAATACGATATTGAGTGTAAATATACATGATTTATGTTACTTACGTTCAAACCGATTTCGAGCTTGAATAACCTCTTGTTTCTATAGTTAAATTGACTTTAAATTTGTCTGTTATTTAAATGTGGAGTCGGTAAATAAATCGGTTATTGTTTTAAATTTCTAATATCTATGAAACGTGATTGATTTAAGTTGTGAAATTTACAGGAAAGTCCTATCTTTATATAAAGTAATAAAACAAATAGAAAGATCTTTTTAATTTTGGTTACCTGAACTTATAAAAAAATACGCCATATATGACTTTAAATGAAGGCATCATAGAGAAATCCAAGAGCACTTTCAGTTTTATATTTCATACACCCCCCCCCCCCCCCCACCACCACCACCACCACGACCACGGCCAACGAAATAATTATATATGAATTTACTGAGACATAAAATTTTAGAGATTGCAGCTTCAATTCATAAAGCATATGTATACAATTTTTTTTCTTTTTCTAATTTCTTAGAGGGGGTCTGTTTTCCGGAGAAGGTGGGAATGGGGTGTCAAAGCCATTTTTAAACTTTCTAATTTTGTAAATTTTGGAAAACTTATTAAAAATCATAGAGGTTGGGTTTTGACCCTTTCGCGCCTCCACCTGCTGGATCTGTTCATGCATCGCCAGTTTTATTATTTAAAAAAAGTATTTGTAACAATACGCTAGATTATTAAAATTGTATAAATTTAATTAATTTTTTTTAACATACTTGCCAAATTTATAATGGATACAGATTTAAAATCATTATTACATTACACGTAAATTTATAACAATTACACTATTCTCTGATTTTAATCATGCATTTAAAAAGAAAAAAAAAACGACAAAGACAGCCCTTTAAAAGACATAGAAGAAATGCATTCAGACTGCATACGTGCAGCTGTCTATAATCACTATTCATCTACCTTAGATTGGTGTAAATATACAAATAAGTAATTGTGAATTACCTGCTTTGGTTGCGGGTGTCCGCCCTGCCGACCAGATCCTTCCAGAGTATTCTACGTGTTCTACGCACTCTGATCCCTTGACACAAACACAGATGATATCGACTTTACGTGCAGTCAAGTGTTTCCTCTTCATAACTATATTTAGCAAGATTAAAAAAAAGGTTTTTAATATTTTATTATCGTTTCTCTATTCTTTATTTCAACAAATTAGGAAAGCCAAACAGGCATGTAAAACGAATTGGGGGGGGGGGGGGTTGCAGAAAAAGAGTCTTTTATTGTGTATGGAATTTTTATTCTAACATCGACTGCCTCCCTTTTTTGTGAAGTACCCTCGATTCCACGTAATTGTTTGGGTTGAAAAATGACCCCTCAATGCATAACTTTTTTTTACGAAAGTACAAATACAAATATTTATTGGCGCAAACACAATTACAATAATTGGCAAAGGCACAACACATTATAAGAATCATCAATTGTTCATACATAAATAAATAATATTCTAGTATAGAAAGTAAGGCTATACATGTACATGTACATGTGACGTCTCCTTTTATCCCTGTCATCTTATTACAGATAACATGTACGAATATAAGATGTACATGTACTAACAACTCCATTTTAGAATTCCACATTTAAGACTACTACAAACAAACTTATTTTTTAAAAATAATGAAAATAGATAATAGCACTATACTAGATTTTTGTTTATTAAAGTAAAATGAATAAGCTTATAACAACCACACAAAGTTTAAATTTTTTTTTCGAGATTTCTCAGTAGTGTCCTAAACAGTGAATAAAAAAAAAATATAAGGGGAACGACAAGAAGTGAGAATTTTGTATATATTATAGAAAATTTACAGTTTGTTAATATCTTAGGAATTTGATATTTGGATCATTTATGTATAGCCAGAATAAATTAAAATAAATTGAAATGTAATCAGTATACCAATGCATCCAATATATATTTTTTGTTTGTAGCACATGGCCGTTGGAAACGGGGGGGGGGAGGGGGTTCCACCCCATAAATTTGCCGATCAAATACTATAGAAATCAAAGCTACTTTATAGATGTGCCCCTCACTAATTACGTCTGATGACCTTGGTAGTGGCCACCCAATCTGAAAACGTTTGTCCCCCCCCCCTCCCCCACTAAAATTGCTTCTTATGGATCCTGTAACAGATGCCCTTAACTAAAATATTGTAATGCAATACTATATTAATAAGTTTAAAAAATATTTCTTCCGTGCATTACGCGGGATATAATCAAATTATTTAGAAAATGAAGTGTAATTGTAAATAATCTCAAAATTTCAGTATATAGCTAGTATTCTTCCTAACCCTCCCGAGGAATATTTCAAACAAATCATGGAATAATTTATAATTTTATTTGGAATGCTAAAGATAGGGTAAAAAGGAATACCCTTATAGGAAAAGAGGAGGAGGGTGGTATTAATATCTTTGATGTTGAAACAAAGTTCCTCTCTGCAAAAGCCTCTTGGATTCCAAGAATTCTTAAATCCAACAATAGTTTAGTATCTTCTATAAAAAATATTCTTAGTAAAGAAAAATTAACTCTTGACTACTTACTCAAAACAAATCTGCAAGATATTAAAGATTATCCTTCCTTGTTTCTACAAAGTAGCACTGTGTGCATTCAATAAATGCAAAAAGCAAAACGATATGAAAAAAATGTCCGCAGATGAGTTCCTGTCATTACCTATTTGGAAAAACACATTATTTATGTATAAAAACAAGCCACGATTTTTATCAAACTGGATAAAATCAGGTGTGTTATACACAAAAGATCTTTTTGATATAAATGGACGATTACAAGGTATTTCATACTTTTTAGAAAAAATTTTAAATAACAGAAATATATTCTGTGAATATTTCATAATGAAATCAGTGTTTAACAAGTATTCTAAGATTTTTGAATGTAGAAAAGCTCAGCATGTCAACATTAAAAACTATCACTTTGCTTTATTTTATGGAGATATTTATTGTAATTTTGAGAGTCAGAAATCCTCCTTTTTCTACAACATATTGAGTGCAAAGAGATTTCACCAACCTCTAACAGTAAAATTCTGGACTGACATATTTGATATTCCTAGATCAATATGGCCACAAATTTTTCATATGAAAATTACCAAATGTTTGATAGACAAATTGCTGATTTTAATTATAAATTGTTACATAAACTGCTAAATAATAATCTGAATGTTAGTAAATGGAATACTGATGTGCATAGATTTTGTCACAAGTGTGGTGAAAGAGAAAATCTTTTATATAAGTGTAATGATTCTTCGAATATATGGAAAAAAGTAAGTGAATCATTGAAGTTCAATATTAGCTGGAAAAATATAGTAATTGTTTTTTTTTTTTTAAGAAACCCAGTTATCTGAAATGTTGAACATACTAATTTCTTATATAGCTCTGAAAATATTTAAATATAAAATGAAATGTCATGTAAATTGTGAACCTTGTATTACCGAAAATTTGATAAAATTTGTAAAGAGCAATTTATTGATGTACTATAATATTATAAAAATGTCATATAAAAATTTCAAACTAGCTGAAATGTGTATAAATGTTGAAAGAAATATATAATTCTTGGTTAATAGAGTATTTTTTTCTTCAGATCAGCAACATTTTAAGAATACTGTAGGCATTCGGGATACATTATCTTAGTCTGAACTATGAAAACGTTCACATATGGGCTATATTCATTACCAAAAATTTTGAAAACTGGTCGGTTATCATTACCGCTTTTTTTCATTTCCGAAAGAATATAATACACGTATAACATGTATACCATTACTGAAAAAAATTATGCGTATAAATATCAGACTTTGAAGTATTATTATGCAGAAATTAGGCAAAAAAGTTATCTACTGCATCATCCAAATATAGTAGTGACTGTTAAACTTTTTCGAAGCCTAGTTACTCCGGCATGGGTACAAGTAACCTCAATTAACTGATTTATGAATTCATATGTTGACGATTAAAAGCGTGTTAATCAGTTTTAAATCTATACTAATTTGCTATAGTTATTTTCCCTTTAGAGGCAACCTCCCCCCCCCCCCCCCCCCCACACACACACACTTTTTGATGTTTTAAGGTCGAGCACTGGCAAATTTCAGGATTCGGACAGTATATCTCCCCCCCCCCTTTTTTTTTTTTGCTTGTCAGTTTTGGGGGAAGTCCCCCCCCCCCCCCCCAACTTTTGAAACCGTTGCTACGGGCCTGCAACCTGGCTGATTGAAGAGGTTTCGGAAACGCTTTGCATTGGCTAAATTAAATTTCGGTAATGATATATAAATACACTGTACGTATATACATGCATTTTCAGTAATAAAAAGACGAAAGTGCATTATCGATTTTTAATGAAAAACTGCGACATATTGATTTTCTTTTTAAAAAAAATTCTCTTAATTCATTGTTTTTGATTAAAAGTTCGTCAGGGGCATAATTTCTAAGTTAACACTACGAAAATCCGCAACAGATGCGAAGAGGAAACCGAACAGACTTTTAAAAGGTATGATCTACCCACATCTCACCTCGACGTCACGCCGTTTCTGTCTGGATTAGTCATGTGACTCTTTCGACGCTTTTCATACCTGTGTGGTGACACACTTATTACGGGGTCAACAGGAAGTAAGACTAATTTGAAACGGGCAATGACTGTTGGGAACAATAAAAACTATTTCGTAGGTGTAGGATAGGTAAGAAAATCCAACGGCAGACTTCTAAAGAAAGAAAGTGCATTTTACCTGCACGATACCTGGATTACAGGTGTGAAAATTGAAATGTGACCATGACAAGGTAATAAACAGTAAAAATGGCGACTGTTTACAATTTGAAATGGAGCCTTACCGTTGGAATAATTTTTTTGACAATTTCTCTGGCCTTAGGCCAGGCCCCAATCACACCCCCACCGGTGGGACCAAAGCCAGTCGTTGCGAATGGAATCGTTTACAATTTAGTTTATCTACATATGGCACCAGAAATATGCAAGGATCCCTATGTTCTAGAGAAAGTGAATTTTCAGTTTGGAGTTGTCATCAAGGAAGGCGAGAAAAAAGCTATTTTGAAAGCTGGTAGTCCCCACAAGATGGGAGGGAATATTGAGCTGGAGCCAAAGAGCTGTCTGTGGATAGAGCCTGGGACTGTATTCCATTTCGGCCCCGGATACGGCATGATCATCAACGGAACACTAATAGCAAGAGTAAGAATCAGTGCATAGTGACGAAAGTTAATTAGATTTTCTTATGATGTTTTCAAAATTAACTGCTGCCAAGAAAGAATGATTCCAGATTAATTTTTTCATTTCCTATTTAGCATTTAAGCCAATTTAGGATATTACTGACAATCTTAAACTTGATTTAAACAATGACAGTGTTTTCCGTTTTATTATTTTAGGGCAGTGATGAGGACGGTGGTAGGATTGTGATGACGAGAGATCCAGACAAGATCGATGCCTCCGAGTCGGCGTTTCCTGACGATGCCAGATTGGTGGATGGAAACACAACAAGGGACGGACAACTACAGCTATCTTATCGCGGGCGATGGAGGGGAATCTGTACAAACTATGTAAAGTAAGTTTTACGTGAGATTAAGTGCTGTGGAGAAGTCTAGAATGCAATTAAATGTAATATATCTGGATTTTATAATGATTATATTAAAATCTTAAGAGAGGATATGATAGACTGATATTGCTACAGTCAAGCTTCTTTATCTCAAACAAGATGGAATCAAGAAAAATCTTTGAGAGTTTGAGTTACTGAATTTAAAATATCTAGAGAAAAGTGAAAGGGGGTTTCCTACTCACAGTGTCACTTGTTGAGATGACAACATTTTAGAGATATCGAATTTCAAATGTATGTGATGAAAGTCTGGTATCCAAGTTATACTGTACAGAGGGATCAGTAATTAACAATATAATGAAATTCAGATTATTTTGCATAGAATAGCATATGTGTATAAACTGTCTATTGGAATTCTTATATTTGATTTAGTATTCAAACTTTGTATAGTAAGTTATGATTCCTATATTTTCTATGTACATGTCAAAGAGAAAAGATTCTAAACCCAGTAATGTGTAAGTCTGACACCTGTGTCATATATTTAGCAAGGGGTGTGTCCCAAAATTTGTAACATCAGTCTAATTCCTAAGCTGTTCTTTAGGGAGGAACCATTATCTCATGCGGATGAATATATACTTCAGCTACTCTTTATTATAACAAAATATACATGTATTAGTGTACGTCACTTTAATGGGAATTTTTTTATATAATACTATTCTAGGAAAATTGCGTTTTTCTTGTGTCAACCATAACTCTTTCATTGCTTTATCCATAACTATTGTAATTAATTTTTCTGAATTATAGTTATACCAAAATTGATGCCAATGTAACTTGCCGTCATCTGGGATTCTTGTGGGGAAATTTTACATATCACTCCTTTTCTCGGAACAAGACGGACTACATGCTGTTTGAGCGACCAAACTGTATCGGTACAGAGAACAGTCTGTTTGATTGTCCTGGCAAATCTAATATCCGAGTCGGTGCCAATATCTGTGGTGAGGAACTGTATTAGAACTACTCTTTTATTATGTATATATAGCATCAAACTATCTCTTTTCATCATTGAGCAAAAAATTTAAATCTTAAAGAATTTCATGTGGGGAAAACATTTCTTTATACCAACTTGAAGGTAAAAGTTACTGTTTAAAATGGATTTGTGGGTAGAATATTAGAACACTTCAATAAGTAGAACAAATGTATTATTAGCTACAGTGTATAATGAGCTTAAGAAAATTTCTCATGATGGGTGAGTGTATGACACCAAGTTTTGTTAGATTGTGTGATCAGTTGAGAGGGGATACTTGTTTCAAGGGGTTTGTGTTTATGATTCAATTTAATTGTTTATGATTCAATTGTTCATATTAGGATTTATTAGACTGATCACTGTCCCTTAATTGTTATGTGATTATAAATTTGACTTGTCAATCACAGATGGGCAGCAGGTGATTGGCTTTGAGTGTGATGGACTCCGCCCAGATTTGGCCAAGACTCACTGGAGGGGACTGGAGTTTTACAATGCCACCGTCCAATTTGTCCGGGACCAGAACATAAACCGGACAGAGACCTACTCCTGGTTGGAGTACCTAGATGTCTGGTATGCGGGACGTGACACTTATCATTTGGACGGAATGCTGAAGGGTCGAGCTTCAATATCTGCTAGTCCCCACGTTCCTCTGATGAATAACGTGTCTATCATGTACGGAGCATATGATGGGCTAAACTTAACGGAGTTGAGGGGACGTGTCCACATCGCTAATAGTACAGTGTCATTCAATCGAGGTAAGGACTCGAGGCACACTTGGCTTACTGTTCAGGACCATTTTACAAATAAATCTACTTTGGACCTTCTCTCTTGGTTTTATATACATGTATGTATTTCTATCATAAAGATGTTTCATCACTTTAAAAAAATATATAACATACAATTTAATTCCAAATTTTGGTAAGAAAAAATATACACCTGTTTAATTGTGATGTGATATCATGTACTTTAAGAGCACTGATTTTATTTATTTTTTCATTCAAACATTCTTATTTTCATTATGATAGACCTGTTGAAAAACATGGAGATATATTGGATTGTCTGAGATATCAAATTAGAAACCCAATTGAATAATGAGGTCTGGGTTGTCTGATCACATTGAATCATACTGACCTTGACATACCTGTAGCTGGTGTACAACTTATTGATGTTTGAGATGCTTAAGCTCACCTACTTTCACTTTCCCTTTAGGTTATGGTGCGTTCATCCAGACAGCTGTGGGCCAGGTGTTAATTAACATGACCAACATGGACAATAACTGGGGAGATGGAGTCAAGATGTACCTGACTAATTACACTATCCATTCCTTCCAGAAAGACTACCCCACAGACCGCTCATTCTGCAGAAGTAACGCCCTCGCCTTCCCACGATTCCCCATCACGGAGTACGAGAACATTATCAATGAAAGGGGAGATAAACCAGCATTTGATGGACAAGACTGTAAAAAGGTACGGAACACTTACACTGAACAAGAACTCCTACTGGGTAGGGCTGTCACGAGTACCCGAAATAACCGAGAACCGCGGTCCAAGTTGTTCGGTTCGGTTCCGGTTCCATTTTTCTGGATTTCGGTTCGGGTCTGGTTTATATATTAGAGTCTGTTCAATATAAAAAATGGCGTCGAAATCATAGGAATGATGGCGATAACAGTGATAAATAAACATCACAACTGAAATCTACTTCGTTCAATGACAAAACACTTGTCACGGAAGTATTAGATAATTATCAAAACCAGCAGGAATGGTCAGGTTGTTGCTAATAGTAGGCCAAGTCACCGATGTCTAGACGTTCGCATGGTTAAGACTTGTTTTCAATGTAAATTTAATGTAACAAATAAAAATTTTTCAATTATATTCATGAAATTATGGTTTAAAATAGATGTAAATACCCGACCCGAAAAACCTGAAACCGAACCGAAAATTTACAGAACCGACCCGACCCGAAAAATTTTGGAACCGTGACAGCCCTACTACTGGGTCATACATTTGATTAAGTTTAATGACAATAATGGGCATCAGGCCGAGGGGCCATAAAACTTAGATGAGCGCACCTCTGATCTCAGTCTCAGTTTTCCAGAATTAATTTTTTTAGTAAAATTGAAACTTGGAACAAAAAAGCGAGTTTTATGGACCCAGAGCCTGTACTGGGTTTGAAACCACATATCAGGGATGGGGTCAATTACTTTAAAAAGTAATTAATTAAATTACAATTACTTTGACTTTTTCTTCAATTAAATTACAATTAAATTACAGGCTTTCTAAGACATGTAATTAATTAAATTACAATTACTTTGCAAAAGTAATTAAATTACAAATTACATTTTTTATTTTTTTGAAAAATTTTATTATCCTTTTCAATGAATATACAGAGCATAAGCTCAGCCTCTGCACAAACTTACAGTACAAAAAATAATATGCTATAGGCATTGTGTGTCATTGTGGTTTGATTTATAACATTTATTTACAAAACAATAAGAATCTCTTAAAGAACTATCCGAGATCAGTTTGATGCAGTTTCCACCACACAAAACCTACATGTACACAAATTGCATGGCTTATGATATTTGATTAAAAGTGAGTATTTTAACAGAGTAAAATGAGTCGCAACTGTAACCCCTCAAATTAAATATTTCCTTTGAAGGTAACCTTAACATCTTAAATTGCTATTTATGTTGAACAATTTTACTTCATAAATCAGAATTGTACAGATAGAAAAATCATTCATAAAAATCTGTTTAGATGTTAAAATAATTATCAAATTGAAAGTTTTTTTTTTCTAAAGCTAGCGGAGCATTTTAAACTGAAATAATTATCTCCATTGGCTTTGTCTTCTAAATCATGGAATGAATATCTCTGTAGAGGTGTTGATTTGTTTTGATTGCAATTTAAAGCTGTGATCTGGAGGGCTATTATCTCTTCCCAACAAGAGAGAACTCTAACTTAATTAATGACACACACCTTCTTTTTCTTTATTATTGATCAAACAACAAAGATTGAAATACATGTGTAACAAATGTGTGTTTCATAGCTGAATAGACCTAAGAAGTGTGGTTCAAAATTCATATTTATAAATAAAGATCAAAAAATTCAAAATTTACATAATGATTAGAAAGAAACTAGTTTATTATTATCAAGCCAATCATTTAATTATTTATTTGTAAGCATTAACCTAAGATTTTGTTTAATTGAAGGATTGAGGATATGTTTAACAATAAAATAAAAACCAGTAAAATGGGGAGGTAGTGGTGATGATATATCATGAATATATCATGATTGAATGTGTTTTATATAAAGTAATTGAATGTAATAATTGAAAAAGTAATTGAAATTACATGGTATTTTTTCAGTGTAATTAATTAAATTACAATTACAAGTAATTGAAAAATGTTCAATTACAAATTACTTCCAATTACTTCAAAATATGTAATTAATTACAGTCAATTACAATTAATTTTTTCAATTACCCCATCCCTGCATGATATACTGTATTTGTTCAGTTTAATGACATGGGTTTAATATATTTGTATAGACTAGAGCATAATGAGATCATATGACTCTTGCATTTTATGCCTGAACTAAAGCTGATCTGTTTGATTGGTCAGACATTATCATGATTATTGGAAAAAAATAGCAACAATATATGTTGATACATAAAGGAATACATTTTGAACTAAATTCCATCTCAAAAATATTGCTTAATTGCTTAAGGAAAGGTGAGGAAGATGGGGAAAACTTTCGGAAAAAGGGGGGAAAAAAAGTAATTTTGGTATTGTTTCTTTGTTAATCCAACATTCAGGACCACAGGTTTCCATTTATAGCAACTACATAAATATAAAGAGAATCATCCTTTTCAGAGTTATACGACAGTAGACAAGAGGAGACTGTCCCTCCACTTCTTTCTTATGGAGCGCGATGAGAAGGCAGAGGGAACAATAACGGTCTATGATGGAATCTCCACCAGTGATCGAGTCCTTGGGGTGTTTCCCGTTTCTAATGGATCATTCCCGCAATCTGTGACAACCTCAGGAAAAAGCATCACAATTCGGTTCCAGTATAAGCTTCCTCCAAAGCCAGCTAACCCTGGGGAACACCGCTGTAAGAAGTTTCGAGCCTGCCTGAGATTCTTAATGGATCTAGTTTCTTATGATGGTAAGGAAATTTTACAGTCAAAATTTAGTAGATGGGAGATTATCTCAGTCTACATCAATTAGTATAGAAATCATACTTACATTGTATAATATGAGGTTTTTATTCTAGTATGTAAAATGTGTAGACTAGCAATTTTATTTATTGACAAGTATTCCTGTTTATCAATATGCATTATGATGATTTTAAATTACAGGATTGGATGAGGAGCTGCGGTTCTTTAATTCATCAGCCAGTAACAACACAGGATACGGAGTGAATGTCCAGGACATGCGATGCAAGGTCTCGGTTAATTCTTCCATTATATCTGACAATAACTACGGAGCAGGTCTGCGGATTTACCAGGGGGCAGGAGAAATCTCCGTCAACAACTCGAGGATTGAAGGAAATCAGAGAAGCGGAGTAAATATAACATATGCGGGAGGCTATCAGCTCCTTAACAACTCTTACTTCTGTGAAAACCATGGTTACGGTGTGATAACCGAGTACGACAGACTTAACAACACACGCATACAGCACTCACAGAAAATGGAGGTGGTCAAGGCCAAATTCTTCTTCAATGAGTGGATTGCCTTCAGAGTTGGCAACTATTGTATGGAGGGGAGCATTCTGGTGAATGAGAGTCATTTCAAATATAACTATGATGAAGCTATCGAGTATCTTTCATGTAATTTTACAAAGAGTCCACAGAAAAATGTGAATTTTAGTTTAGCATACAATGAGTTCGATGGAAACAAGAGACATGGAGTTCTTATGTCTCCGGTGATAAACACAATTGGGATTATGACAAATAACACCTTTGTAAACCACAGTTTGGGAGCAGTACGCATTGACAATGGGTATGATTTGCTAGTAAGCAAGTGGTATGCAAAATTTGCTGTAAATTATCGTATTTATGAAAACACTTTTAAGGAGAATTATGGGAGATACTGTGTAAGTCTCCGATTGACCCAGAATGCACCCAATCAGCACATGGAATTCAAGTTTAACAAAGTGATAGGAAATGCTATCAATGATACATCTCAATATCTCAATCCCAGAAGTCACGCAAATGCTCCAATTATTGTGTCCTCCAGTAATATTGTAGTACAAAGAAACCACATCTTTAACCCAGACTCTGTGCGAGACATTGCGACACATCTCATTGACCCTTCAGTAATCATCAACGGCAGCATAAACTGGTGGGAGACCACTAATCATGGAATTATTTATGACCGAATCTTTGATCTTGATGATCGATATAATCTGGCACAGATCAAATATTACCCGGTACTCAAGGATGGTTGGTTGTATGGAGACAAAACCACCATCACAGAAACTGAATACAGGTGGCCTTTCAGGAGGGAAAATAAAATTGGGGGGATTCTGGATGTAGATGGATTCACCACAGACCCTACCACCAAGCTCTATTATGTGGACAGGGATATATTCATACTTCCTAACGCAGTCCTCAAAATTTTACCTGGCACAACACTGCTGTTTGAAAACTCTATCGGCATGGTGATTCATGGCACATTACAAGCAGACGGAGGAAGCTCTATGTCACCTATTGTGTTTACGCTGAATGAACCGGCCAATCAGACAGAGATCAGTAACAGGACGGATGCCATTAGGCTGGCAGATGGACGAGATGAGTTTGAAGGTCGTGTAGAGGTCAACATTAATGGACGCTGGGGAGCAGTCTGTAAACATGTAAGTTTTCCCCCCAAAGTGATTTATTGCTATATTTCTACTGCTATAAATTCTCAAATTTTAAAATTATTTTAACTAAATATAGCTTCTTAACTCCCAGAATTTGCCTCTAAATCATTTTTTTTTAATTTGTGTCCATTATTTAAGAGCAGGAGGTTTCTAAGATCTTTACAAATTTCAAAACCTTTAAGAAAAAAATATAGCCTCTTTAGATCAGGTGCAGTGTTTACTTTTGCTTTTCTATAATATAGGGGTGGATCAAAGAGAATGCCATGGTGGTATGTCAGCAGCTTGGTTTGACCTATCACCCTGACTACGGCCTTGTTTACCAGAAGGTCAGGTCTTCCTCTGTCATCGAGCTGAGCTCCGTCACCTGTACAAACCTAGACACTGACCTCCGTGAGTGTCAGTCCATTAAACGCGGAGATTTCGACTGCCAGTTTGAGAATGTTGTGTACATCAGGTGCCAGAAACCCACTTGGTCAGGTATGGACAAATAAATTTGTAAAAGTGCAATTTCATTTGTTTTTGGTGTTAATAAAAAAATGACAGATATTCTGTAAATTACTTGAATTTAATTTGTATTTGTTTATTTTTGCCATGATTTGTTTTGTATCTTGTCTTTTTGATATGTACATTATTAGAGTTACTGGCCCTTATCATTTGGGAGTATATTTTCACAACCAGGTGAACCTTATACAGTATATTTTGAAGTCATTGAAAATGAGTTACTATGTAACTGTTTACCACTCCTAATTCACTAGTTTTATAATAACTCCTTATTTCAACAAAGAATCTGAAAGTAGATGAATGTATATAGTAAAAAATGTATAGCCCATGATGTGATTTAAAATTTCCACATGCATAAAGTTTCAAAATTTTGAAGTTATTTTCTTTTTCCCCATTGTTTAACTTTGATTATCGCAGTTCTCTACAGGCATACTCTGTGTGTTATTATGAACATTTCAGTTTCAAATTATAAAAGTACATATTGGATACAGAGTGAAATGGTTTCTAAAAGTTTGTGATAAGTTTATCACAGTTTGTTATTCCTGTTACAGGCATCACAATTCCTGCTATTCCTACATTTGGTCAGTTAAGAGAGACCCAGATAAAACATGTCATCATCCAAAAGGCCGGACAGTTAGATTACCAGGCCATGACCTTCACCCCTGCCCTCCGCATTGACTACAATTTCTACAAAATCACTGCACTGCAGATCACTGACTCTGTGTCCGATGGTGTTAACATTAAATATGCCAACCCATTCACAGAAAATCTTTTCGAGAAATGTCATTTTGTCAGGAATGTTGGTCATGGTTTACTTACTAGAAGTCCATTCCTGAGGATCACAGAGTCCACTATGAATTATAATCAGAAAGGAGGATTTGTATATGACCCATTCTTTACTGAGTATGAGGGACTGAGTGTGAGAAATTTCCTTCATCAGAGTCGGATGGAGTATTTCGGAACTAAAAACTATCAGCTGGGAGTCAACTCAATGGTGTTTATTATATCCCAGCCAGGCACACAGAGTGAGAACCATACCTACACCATGGAACTGTCGGTCGTTAGATCAGATTACAGAATCACGCTCCAAGTTCTGGACTATAATCCATTGACCAGCGTGGAGAAGGTAACCATTTACAACTCACCCAGGAGTGGAATCTCAGCCACCACAATAAAATGGCAGATAGAAGAGGACCTAGTTGACTTCCCAATAACATCACAGGGAAAAAACTATCTCACAATCCAGCTGGTGGTCAGGGGGGTGAGGTCAGGGAGGCTGGCCTTCGCTGCTCACGCCAGTAAGTTTTTATAGCAGTCTTATATTAATTCATACTTAAATAATTAAATGATATTGCAGTTAATGTAACAGTATTTTACAATTAATTGACATATATTATTTTAAAAAAAAGAAGTGAAATTTTATTTTTAATTATGAAGAGTACATTACAATAAATACTGCTAATAGCAATTGATAGGTCAAGTAATCATTGAATGTGGAAATGAAGTATATATTTTCTTTTAAAAGGGCAGTTTTCCCCTGATCCTATAAAGTCTGTTATTGAAGTAAGCCATGCTGAGGTTACCAATAATTATCAAGGAATCGTGACCAAACACTATAACAATCCATCCAATGAAAAACTGGAGATTTTCCACCGTGTGGCAGAGGAAGAAATCCGCTTTACAAAAGTAGATATCAAAGACAATCAAATGGAGGCCATGTACATTCCCAGTCTCACAAAATACCACGAGCACTTGATACCTACGCAAGAAGAAATGACTCGACCGGAGAGGCTAGGACAGATAACATATAGCTTACATCAGTGTACAATACAGAACAATGGGAGGGCTGTCATAGCTGATCACAACCACGTCGACTTCTCAAATAACGTCTGGAAGTGGAACGTTTACACAACCATCATCAAGGATAATAGATATGGAGGTCTGGAGATCGAGCTTCCGAGGGTGAACGATATCAGGGAGAAAAATAAATTTCACTCCGTTCATGTTAATCAGACAGTTTTTGAGAACAATAAGAACTTTGCCTTCACTATTAATGGTTACTATGCAGATGTAGAGATCAGCAATGGAAGGTTTGTACAGAATACGTGTCGTCGAGGCCTGATTCTGCTGTCAGGGATGGAAAAAGACTTAGTCATCTACAACAATGAGATTTCAAACAATTTGGGGAAATATGCCATTGAGGTTGACATGCAGAGTCATGCAGAGTACAGTAAACCAAAGGGATTCTGTCATTTTAACAATATCAAAAGCAACAGGCCTGGGCCAGGCTGGACAATGAATACTGACTACACACCATCTTCATTTGCAGTGGCGGTGCGAGGTGTCCAGAACATTACCCTGAGAAGAAATCTCATTTACAATCCTGACTACCAGTATGAACTCATAGCAGGGGTGACTTCTCTTTCCCTCGAAAACAAGATGGATGTTGAAGAGAACTGGTGGGGAACGGCAATCCAGGCAAAAATTGTGGAGAGAATTTTTGATTTTGACGATTGGAATAACTATGCCATTGCAGATTATTTTCCACAGCTCACTGCTGACAATGTGAACAGTTTACCATCAACTGGGACACAGATAGAAAATGGCTTCAATTTCCCTTCAGTGAAGGGAAGAATAACTGGAAACAAGGCCTTGACTGGTTCTTCTAAATTCTATGTCATAGCAGATGTCACGGTCATGCCAAACGCCAAGCTGACTATTGAGCCAGGTACCACTCTGGAGTTTTATCCTAATGTTGGGATACTAGTGCTGGGCCAACTTATTGCTCAAGGTCTTCCCTATGGCAGGATATCTTTTCGTCCAGTCATCCCAGGACCAAACATTCCGATTCCTCTCCCCGAGGTTAACACTCAGACATTTTACTCCAACAGCATGAGATTGAAGAGAGACGCTGAAGGAGAAATACCAGAAAATGAAGGATTCTTGGAGTTGTTTAATTCTTCATCAAATTCCTGGAGTTTGATGTGTGACAATCAATTCAATAGGAAAACGGCAGAGGTGGTGTGTCGTGGGCTGGGGATGGAGACTCTGAATGTGGATGTCCGCTTCACACATCTTTATGACCATTTCATCTACAAAAAACCTATGTACTTTGTCAAAGAGTTCTGGACTTATTCTTACTACTGTGTGGGAGATGAGTACTCATTAGAGGAATGTCAGAAAAGAATAAATTACAAAATACAGGACTGTATACAAGGGGCTAATTACACTTACATCAGATGTGGAAAGAGAAACCTAGATTCCAAGCTCTCGTACTGGGGAAACATTCGAATCGCTTCTCCAACTTATGAGGAGGATACAACTCTATACATCCAAGATAATAAGCGATCTGTTCTGGAGAACATTGACATTTATGGAGCAGGCATGCTACATGGTGAGAGAGTAGGAGCTATCCAGGCGACATACAGGTCACCAAAGGTCAACAACATTAACATTACCAATAGTCTATGGAATGGAATGGACATCATAGCTCCACGGTACCAAATGAACATCAAAACCATGAATATTGATCACAATCTGGGGTATGGCATTAACTTTCTCATTCTGAATGGAGAATCTCGAAATGCAGAGCTTTCCTCTTTCAATCCATTGACGGTGAATACCGTGCCGTACTTCATGTCGGGGCTTGTAGACATCTGTAAAATGGAAAAGGAATTAACTGTGAAAAATCGTCTGATTATCTACTATAAATACTCTGAACTGTCGGTCGATTGCGTAAAAATCATCCGCAGTGAGAATCCCCTGCGTAAAGTGTCCCTCCGACTTCTTCAGTTCAATCTGTATTACGACGAATTTTACCGTAATTTATTGGAGATTTTTGATGGTAACACTGTATCGGAGGAGAGCAGGATCGGGGTTCTGGATGCTCACAGTAAGATGGAGGCTACTGGTAGACGCTACCTCAGTAAATCCGACACCATTGGCGTCCACATTCATGCCTCCAATGCTTACGAAGATTATGGATTTATTGCAGAGATAACGACGTCTCCGCTCTCAGACTTGGCTTATCCAGGTATTTACTTATTCAGTTCCACAAAGTCTAAAAATGTTTATATTTAGAAGAATATTGTTCTTATTGTAAATTCAAAGCAGTTGTTGAGTAGTACACTACATACCTTTACCTGTTACAGGTGTAATTTAAAAATTTTCGGTAACATTAACCATCAATAAAGTTAAATGGTACAAAACTATGTTTGAGCATTCTAGTTTAAGCAATTGATGGTGCTCTCATTTAGATGTTGTCAATATTAATATTACATGTGTTCACTGAAAACATTGATTTTCTTGCAGACAGCACAGTGATCCATCGCTTTGAGCAGATGATGGTGACAAACAACGAGGATGGCGCCATCCTGTACCAGAACGTGGGGGAAGTCTGTCCCTCCCTCTACATAGACAGCTGTATGATCGAGAACAATGGACTTGGGATCCTCAATCTCACATCTCAGCCGGTCATTAACATTGGAATTCAGAACACCAAGATCTTCAACTTCCAGCACAACTTTGTCAACCGCAACAAAGGGGGGCTATTCTGTCGGGCATTCACAACATCAACCCAGAATCTCCTCCGCGGGAACATCACAAACAATGTCTTCTCCTTTGGTAGTCATGGAGAAACTCTTAATATCAGCGGCCATCACTTCCAGAAGATGCACATTTACGAGAATTACATTTACAACAACACAGCTGGCGATTATCGAGATACCGTCCATGTTCAGACAGTGGGAATGAACTTTACGTTTAACGTCCTTGTGAACAATACGGGGCACCACATCATAAGGACCTTCAGTGAGGTGGATACTAGTGCCACTCAACAGTACATTGGAAACTGGGTCTACGAGAATAATGCCACCGCTCTGTTCCGTGCGGTGCTTGCTGTGGGCAGTGGGAATCCACAGTTTCAGAATAACTACCTTGTTAATGATGAGAGTGCATTTGAACTTCTGGCAAATGATAAACGAGAGTAAGTTCATATTCTCACTAAACACTGAAATTCATTACACTTGTTTTGGAATATATGATGTTCTTTCAAAAACAAGTTTTCAAGTTAGAAATGAAAATTTTTAAATGAGTGCATAAATCTTCTTCCTTTGGAGATCATTTAATTTGAGTTTGATTTTGGAAAATGCATTTAAGTAAAATTAATCTGTCAATTACATGTACTTTGTATAGAATCTCTTCATATATGTTGTTGACCTTTTTATTATGATAGTCAACAAATTTCCTTTGCTTTTTAAAGAGTTATCCAAGGGATCCAGATAACTGATACTCCGGTGGATGCCACTAACAATTGGTGGGGGTCAGAACGCCCGGGGTATATAAACGGAAAAATCTGGGATGGACGAGACAATGACTCTCTGGTGGAAGTCATCTACCAGCCATACAGAGTTAGTAATGTGTCACTTATCAGTGGTAAGTATTGGTAGAAGTTGTCTCCCAGTCATACAGAGTTAGTAATGTGTCACTGATCAGTGGTAAGTATTGGTAGAAGTTGTCTTCCAGTCATACAGAGTTAGCAATGTGTCACTTATCAGTGGTAAGTTTTGGTAGAAGTTGTCTCCCAGTCATACAGAGTTAGCAATGTGTCACTTATGTGTGGTAAGTTTTGGTAGAAGTTGTATCCCAGTCATACAGAGTTAGTAATGTGTCACTTATCAGAGGTAAGTTTTGGTAGAAGTTGTCTCCCAGTCATAGAGAGTTAGTAATGTGTCACTTATCAGTGGTAAGTTTTGGTAGAAGTTGTCTCCCAGTCATACAGAGTTAGCAATGTGTCTCTGATCAGTGATAAATTTTGGTAGAAGTTGTCTCCCAGTCATACAGAGTTAGCAATGTGTCACTTATCAATGGTAAGTTTTGGTAGAAGTTGTCTCCCAGTCATAGAGTTAGTAATGTGTCACTTATCAGTGGTAAGTTTTGGTAGAAGTTGTCTCCCAGTCATAGAGTTAGCAATATGTCACTCACTAGTGGTAAGTTTTGGTAGAAGTTGTCTCCCAGTCATACAGAGTTAGTAATGTGTCACTTATAAATGGTAAGTTTTGGTAGAAGTTGTCTCCCAGTCATACAGAGTTAGTAATGCGTCACTTATCAGAGGTAAGTTTTGGTAGAAGTTGTCTCCCAGTAATAGAGAGTTAGTAATGTGTCACTTATCAATGGTAAGTTTTGGTAGAAGTTGTCTCCCATTCATACAGAGTTAGTAATGCGTCACTTATCAGAGGTAAGTTTTGGTAGAAGTTGTCTCCCAGTCATACAGAGTTAGCAACGTGTCACTTATCCGTGGCAAGTTTTGGTAGAAGTTGTCTCCCAGTCATACAGAGTTAGTAATGTGTCACTTATCAGTGGTAAGTTGTTTTTTTGTTTTTTTTTGTTTTTTTTTTTTTTTATTAATACCAATTGTCACATACATGTTTATAATATGGATTACAACATTATATCATTAATAAATATAATAAACAAGTACAAAAAAAAAATGTGTCACTTATCAGAGGTAAGTTTTGGTAGAAGTTGTCTCCCAGTCATACAGAGTTAGTAATGTGTCACTTATCCGGGGTAAGTTTTGGTAGAAGTTGTCTCCCAGTCATAGAGAGTTAGTAATGTGTCACTTATCAGTGGTAAGTTTTGGTAGAAGTTGTCTCCCAGTCATACAGAGTTAGCAATGTGTGTCTGATCAGTGGTAAATTTTGGTAGAAGTTGTCTCCCAGTCATATAGAGTTAGCAATGTGTCACTCACTAGTGGTAAGTTTTGGGGAGAAGTTGTCTCCCAGTCAGTTATGGTAGGCTTTGAATGCTAGTAATATAAGTACCATTGCTGCCTTTTTGCTTATTTACATGTATGTAAGAAAATGTTATCAACATTTCCAGGAAATGTTAATCTTTATTTCATGGCAAAAAAGAGGTACTTGTAATAGAAATGAGGTAATCAAAATCTTTACTTCATGAATTTTTTTTTTTTTTTTTTTTTTTTTTTTGATTTTTACAATGTTTAATTTCATTAATCCCTTTGATAAAGGTCACGGGAAGTGCATATTAAATTTTCCCTGGCTAATGTCATTTTGTATATTTACAAACATTAAAATGATTGATTTATTTGTTATTATGTCAACAGGTAAATGTCCCCCTGGATGGACCCTAAATGCTGACCGTTGCTATAGATACATGGGGGCTGCTCTTCCCTATGCACAAGCAGGCCAATTCTGCAGGGCAAGTATCAGAGAGACAAAGTTCCTTATTAAGAAATAAGCTTTATAAGCTACCTTGATGTTTAAGAAAAATGGAAATTGAATCCACTGTTTTCTACTGACAAATCTATTTTATACATACATGTATACTGTAGTTATGAACGATATAAACCACTGACATGTTATATTGTAAATTTATGTAATAAATGTCACACTTCAATTAAAAATTTTAGAATATAAATTGGAATAAATATGTCCTGATTTTTAACAATGGTATTTATGAAATAAAAAACTTATACAGTAAAAGAGTAATAAAAAAAATTTGGTGAACAAATGAATCTTTTAATTAAATTTTGTATTAACAGGATAATCAGGGATTTTTGGCCGAGGCAGATAAGCAGGCCCCGTTCCTTCGTTATTTATTACGACTGACGGAGAACGTCTATAGTAAGGACCTGAGGGTGTGGGTATACTCGGAGGTTGCCGCCGGTTACTGCAGCGCGTTTCAGGATGACTACATCGTGGCAGAACAAGACTGTCAGAGGATCCTGCATCCATTTATTTGTGAGAAAGGTGGGTTGTCATGGCAACAATTTATAAAGAGGGATAATAGGTATTTTTAGCCTTCATGCAAGTTGTTCATAAATATTAATTTTTTTTATAAACCCAGCATAAAGATTAGAAGTGACACAAATTTAACATATGCTTGATCTAATGTTATCTTTAGCACCAGGACATTTTAAAAATGTATTGTTATAAACACTAGGTGCCTTTAAAGTACAAAAAAATTGTATCAGTTCAAAGATTTCCTTTTGTAGAAAAATTGATTTTCCACTCTCTGTTTACACTTTAAGAAATAAGATCTGAGACCTTCTGACCTTTATATCACCTTTATAGCTATATTGTTGTGTTTTGTAGATCCATACATTAACCCTCCAGGGAGTGACATCCTTGCCATCGCTATCGGAGTGTCAGCCGGAGTGTTTGGGACAGCCCTCATTATCATCATTATTCTAGCGATTCTGTGGAAAGTCAAATCCAAGGGAAGAAAGGAGCAAAGATTTGAAAGGCAAGCATCCATTCGCTCCTCTCTTAGGTCTTCAGTAAGATCCCGATCCACTGTGACAATGTTGTCCACGGCAACTGGAAAACGACGATTTGATGACAAGTATTCTGTAACTTCATCTAAAGGACATTTGATAGATGATGAAGTATCATTATCTAACATTAGTCTTGATTCTAGAAGCCGTGATAGGGGCCCCAATAGATCTCTTGAGCGGTTGGATGTACCTAATGGTCGTCTTGGTTCTCGAGATCGTTTAGACAATGTCAATTCTTCCAATGGAAGCCTTGGTATGATTTTATCAAATGGGCACACCAGACTCATGAATGGTAAAGGAAGTTTTGATCGACTGAAGGAGGATTCTCCTAAAAATTCACCACGATCTCAGAGACCAACCAGGTTTACACTGGGAAGGAATACAGGAGGCAGCAATAACAGCCTGGACCGACCCCCAGAGGTGAAACCTGTACAACCTCCACAGCCCCCCGTGATGAGGCCCATCCTGCCTCCACAGGCACCAGTGGTGAAACGACCCCCCGTAAAACCACCAGCACCACCAGACATTCCTGTGGACACAGATGGGGGTTACACTGATGATGGATTCTCGGAGCACGAGTTTGACGATTTCACTACCACTGCTGATGAAGCAGAGTACTCTCCAAACATGGCTAACAGAGTAGAGAATCAGATAGAATCACTGAGGAAGCTACCAAATATTTCAGAGAAGCCAAATTATGGAAGTGAAAGAAGTGTTAACATGGATGAAAGGAACAAGTCTAATTATTACAACCCAGACACCCCACCTACACCCCCACCCCCTCTACCAGTGGATTCTTACCCTGTAAAAACCATGAGAAATTCTCCTATCTTGTCTGAGGCTTCATCAAGGAGACCAACACCTCAACCACGAAATAAACCAGTGGCTCCCCCTCGCTCTAACTTTGGGAGTAGCAAGGAGAGCCTAAACAGAAGTTTGAACCCCTTACATCTCAGTCAGGGGGATCTCCATCTCATTGATAGGAAACCTGAATGGCTGACTGATCAAGTGAGGGAGACCAGTGCTAGTGAAAGTGACAGTGACCCAGAGAGTGTGAATGATTCGTTTCCTGATGCAGGATACAAAAATAAAGCTTTTCTGGATAATGAGAATCTCCCTCAAACTGTGAGAGCCCCTGGGTACACCCCGCCCCAGGATAAATCTGATGGGACAAATTATTCTTCTCCGTGGAGAGATAATAGGTATCCGTACACCAATCAGAGCAGCTCCAACCTCTCACGTAACTCACGCGAAATGGACAACATGGATTATCTCAGGGGGCCGTATACAAATCCCGGGTTTGATGACAGCCATGACAATATTCCCTCCTATAATGAGGCCCTGAGATCCCCCATCAGTGCCCCCTACAGCCCAGACTACACTGCAATGAGCCTCCCTCCCCCATACTCCCCCACTTCCACCCAGCCATTCTCACCAGTGGCAGAAAATGTCCGTTTCACCCCAGATAGTGCAAATAACATTCACCCTGTTTACAGAATTGGGAGTGTAAATAGTATTCCTATTTCAGGGAGTGATGGGCTGCCCCGGGATATGGCCTTCATGGACTACCGCATGGGAAGTCAGAGTACGCTTCCAAACCCAGACGGGAGCATGCCGGATCTGTCCACAGGTGAAAGCCATGCTGACCCAGAGGAGGCAGAAATTGATGACATGAATGACACTCTGTATCAGGGGGACATGGACCCATTCCCCCAAAGTCCCCAAAGAGTCCCCCAAGGGGCCCCCTACCAGCAACCTCCACCCTACAGAACCAGCAGTCATGACCAGCTCAATCAGCAGCCCCCGCCCCACAGAACCAGCAGTCGTGACCAGCTAAATCAACAGCCCCCACCCCACAGAACCAGCAGTCGTGACCAGCTTAATCAACAGCCCCCACCCCACAGAACCAGCAGTCGTGACCAGCTTAATCAACAGCCCCCGCCCCACAGAACCAGCAGTCGTGACCAGCTCAATCAAGGAAGCAGATATTCTCCATTAACTCAGAGTAGGGAGCAGTTGAACCAGAATCGTGATAAACCGGTGCTTTATTTAGATAACCAGAGACGTAATCAGAGGCGACCGGAACCAATAGAAACCGAGATCTGAATTTATTCATGTACTTAATCCATAGGCCAAAGTTTTACCTGTTAATGAGAAATAATCCATTATCAAATACTCTCAAATCATTTATTGATTATAAACAAATTGATAGTTAATAATGATTATCAATTATAAACATTTGAATTGATGGTTGATAATGTTTTTATCTAATTATACCCCCGCTCCGAAGGAGAGGGGGGTATACTGTTTTACCCTTGTGTGTCTGTCTGTCCGTCTGTCTGTCCGTAACAAACTTTGGTCGCAGTTTTCTCAGCAACTACTCATCATAGGTGCTTGAAATTTTAACACACTCTTTGTTTAGGCATGCCATATGGTGGGATTCACTTTTGTATGAATTCGATGTCTACTTTCTGTTTATCCGTGCGTTTGTCCGTACCATACATAAAAAAATTTGGTCGTAGTTTTCTCAGCAACTACTCATCGCAGATGCTTGAAATTTTAGCACAATCTTTGTTTAGGCATGCCATATGGTGGGATTCATTTTTGTACTAATCCGATGTCAACTTCCTGTTTATCCGTGCGTCTGTCCGTATCACACATAACAAACTTTGGTCGCAGTTTTCTCAGCAACTACTCATCATAGGTGCTTGAAATTTTAACACACTCTTTGTTTAGGCATGCCATATGGTGGGATTCATTTTTGTACTAATCCGATGTCAACTTCCTGTTTATCCATGCATCTGTCCGTATCACACAGAACAAACTTTGGTCGCAGTTTTCTCAGCAACTACTTATCATAGGTGCTTGAAATTTTAACACACTCTTTGTTTAGGCATGCCATATGGTGGGATTAAGTTTTGTACGAATCCGATGTCAACTTCCTGTTTATCCGTGCGTCTGTCCGTACCATACATAACAAATTTTGGTCGTAGTTTTCTCAGCAACTACTCAATGCAGATGCTTGAAATTTTAGCACAATCTTTGTTTAGGCATGCCATATAATAGGATTCATTTTTGGAACAAATCCGATGTCAACTTCCTGTTTATCCGTGCATCTGTCCATACCATACGTAATAAATTTTGGTCGTAGTTTTTTCAGCAACTACTCATCGCAGATGCTTGAAATTTTAGCACAGTCTTTGTTTAGGCATGCCATATGTTGGGATTCAGTTTTTACAAATCCGATGTCAATTTCCTGATTATCACTGTGTTTGTCCATAACCGAACTTGTGTATTCACATCAGAGCGGGGGTATTATTAGTGAGCATTGGCTCACAGACTTCTTGTTCTTTATGACCTGTGCAATATTTATGCTGAGCATAACTAAATATGATTTAAATTATCCATTGTCCACAAGGTATTGTTTATAGCAGTTGTTTGTACAGTTGTTTGTACAGTATATTATTGAATGTTTTATTACTATTCTAGTATACTCACTAATGTATTAATAAGTAATTATTTTGTATATTCAGTGCTTGTACATTTTGCATTTGTATTACATAGCAATTAATATATAACACTTTGTAAATATTTATTAACCAAGACTCTAATTAATTTAGTTGTAATTGAAAATGACAAAGGAGAATGGTTTTAACCAGAAACAAATCAATCTTTCACTTTAAACTAAAGAATTCTGTTTGACCATGTTTTATAAATCCGCACATTGTGGGCATGTAGAATATTCCATTCTTGTTTCTTTTCTTACTTTTATTCTTTCTTATTAACATCACATAGATTTATAAGAGCTCACATACCCCTGTTTAACAAGTGCAACAGACACTTCTACAAAAAAAAAATGACTTCTACAAATTTGAAAATAAGCCAAGGATAATTTGTTTAAGATAATGGAATGACTTAAGGTTTATTGACCCTCTGATAAGAGAGATAACTCTGACTGACATTAATGACTATACATAATTCCATTTTAATTTAAAAAAAATTAAGGTTAAACAGCATTTCTGTTAAAAAAAAATTCTGAAATAGCTTGCATTTCAATTATAATTTTTTTTTTGGAAATCATTATTTGATTTGCTTTTTATAATGTCAGGTGAACTGAGGGTCAGTGAACCTTAAATCTTGATAACTGAGGATTAAGGAGTGTCTGTTATTTCTCTGCTGCATGTTGTAACCTGGGTGTTGTGAATATCTTGTAGTGTGAGCTGGTCCTCCCTCCATCTGTCCACCATCCACAAAAGTCACACCTCCCTCAACCAAGGGGAAGCAACCTACACTCTCCGTAAAAGTAACACGTCACTCAACAAAGGGGAGACAATCCAGAGTAATCTACGTAAGACAGGTCATTCTAGGTCATGCCAGGACATTTTGGAGACTAGTCAATCCAAGTCTTGTTGTATCAGTTAGCACTAAATCTTTCAAAAGGTAGAATATTTAATAATTGTCTCTTAATATTTTATCTCACTTGTACGATTCAGGGAGCCATTTTCATTTCCATATATTTCATTTTCTAACCCATTGCTGAACCATTTTTTTTGTGTAATTTTAATACTACCCCTCCTACCAGTTAACATTTATTTATTTTTGGAATAAGCTTGATTACATTTCATAAGATTTTCGATTATTTTGAATGTTTATTAAATGCATGAGAAGTTTCCCCCCCCCCCCCATTTCTGGATTGTCTTCCCTTGATATCCTGACATAGTAATGTGTATAACACAGATGCATAATTTCAAGTGCTCTTTAAAGCTGTACAACAGTTTTGTTTACTTAGTTTGTATGTGAACTAGGGGTGTAATAATATGCTAGTATACCACAATACAGAAAAAAAAAATTGTGCCATATCACAGGAAACCCTATACAAGTGTATCATGATATACATGTATTATAACGTTTTAGCATATACATGTATTACATTTTAAGCAATTTAATATAATTTCTTTTAAATTCAAACCACAGGCACCTGAAGTTACTTATTTTTCTTTTAATAGAAAAAAATATATACCCCCTACCTTAAAAATTAGGTAGGGGGTATATTTTTTTTATTTAAAGAAAAATAAGTAACATCAGGTGCCTGTGATTTAAACTAATAATAGCATCTTTTTAAATTTGTTAAAGCTGCTTTTATTGTGTGCAGAGCTCATAAAATGTGTGAATTTTATTAAATAATCTACAACAAGGAGATTCTCCTTTATGAACACCGAGACATCCAAATTATATCAAAATATGAAAGGTGAAATATCACAGTATATAACACGATATAGTCCCAGTGTATCATGATATATCACGATACACTATAGCCATATCATTACACTCCTATTGATAACAGAGATTTTTACTGTGATGGTCATGCTACAAGTGTCATGATTAATTCTCTCATTTTCATTTAGGAATATAGATGTATCATCATCATCACTCAATAACATTCCTTTTATACCCATTACAGAAGTGACCAGGGTTGTCTTACATCTCCATCATTCCATTTAACACAGCACATACATGTATTGTCATTGTTATGTTACTTTTGTGCTCATTTTACTGTTAAACAGTGTTCCTTTGACTGTTTAACAGTGAATTTAATTTTCCTCTTCAGTAAATGTTTTGACATATGATGTGTTGGCATTTGATGTGTCCATTCCTGGTATTTTTGTATATTTTTTTATATACTGCACACATTATACTATACATAAAACATATCAATAAACCTCAAGTGTAATTTGTCATTTGAGGAAATGTCTAAAATTTTTCCCAATATTTGCATTGTTGTAAAACATAAGTTAATACATATTATAAATAGGTATACAAACTATTGCTAATTGCAGTCTACGTTGAATTATATTTTTACTGGATTTATGGTGATTTTTATACAATTATATATTTTAGAAAATTGAATTAAATGAATGAAATATATATTTCTTTTTGTGTTTTTCTATACATGTTTTTTTAGTCTTTCATACAGATGGAAGATAAATTACACAATTTTTTGTTGAGCCATCTTTAAAAAATTGCATGTTTGCCCTCTCCTGACAGATTTACAAATGGGTCTTACTCAAAATATTTTTTTTTAAACCTCCAGAAAAAGTTTTTTTTTCCTGATTTTTTTTCATCCCATCAACAACTAGTGAAATTTTATTAATATCTTGACTTTCAGTAAGTTTTGAAAATTGAGAAACAATGTTGAAAATTTCTTTTGAAAAAAAGTTTTGCTACCAATCTACCCGCCCGCGTGGCGCAGTGGTTAGAGCATTTGCTCTAAAGTCACGGAGTAAGGAGTTGATCATTACGCAGTGGGTTTGAATCCCACTGTGGGACGTGGAGACCGGTCCTTCGGATGAGACCGTATAAACCGAGGTCCCATGTCGCAGTAGGTGCTGGCACGAAAAAGATTCCTCACTGCTCAATAGCCCTGAGTGCCGAGTATAGGTAAAAAATTTGCAGCTCTCCACTGGCAAGTGGTGGCGTCTCCATATGAGTGAATAATTCTCGAGAGGGACGTTAAACAACAAACTAACAAATAACAAACAAATCTACCCAATTTGTTTTATCCTGAGTAGGAGGGAGGGCAAGCAAACACTTTTCTTTTAAGATGGCCTTATGGACCCCTTTCCTAATTTATAAAGTGCATGGCTACTATTTGTGTGGACTAATATTGTAAAAACCAACAAGAATAGTGCAAACTAAATAAAGAACTTTCAAAACAAAGAAATATGGTTTAAGTCTGATATGCAATATTGTTCACAGGAATTTTGTCCCATGTTTTATTTTTCATGAATGCATTAAAATTGATTTCACTTTATTTGTGTATGGCTGATGCAATATCACTCTTCTAATTGTCGAATACATCTCATGTACATGTATAGTAAGCCCATAGGAAACAATTTCAAGCAAAAAATTCCTTGATCAAAAAAGGGGGCATTAGATTATTAATTATTTAGGGGGCACATTCATGTAGTAGCTTTATTTTCAACAGTATTCTGTATACCTTTATTGGGATGTATTGGCCTCCCCTGTGCCCCCTCAGCTTCTAGGGTCACGTTAGCCTACTAATACCAATAAATTCCCCTTATTGAGGATTGATGCATGGAAAGTAAGAGAAAGTTTCCCCTTAATACATTTATACTTCCATACCTGTTATGAAAGACAAATACAGAAGAAAGGGAATTTCAGCAGCATTAGTGGAATTAAGCTTTTGAAAAAAATGAATTCAGTCTTTCTTCTCCCATTTTTTTCCCTTAAGGTTCATTCTCTATCTGATAAGAGAGACAACTGTTACTAGGATATTTAACTATTATTCCAACATAAAATTGTCAAGTTAAAAGGCTGCAGTGAGATTCTGTCATATTTTCCCTGCAATGTATGACAAAAAATGCTTGCATTTTGATAACAATTTAAAATAAGATTTCTTTTGGAAAATCACTAGCATCAAAATTGTATATGAGTGAATGAGGTATAATGATGATCGAGGGAAGGAAGCTTAACAAAATGGATCTTTCTATGAAATGGTGACAATTTACTAAAAGAAGATGGAGATAACTATAAATAATACCATTCAAAGTAAAATTTTTGACAAATTCTTGAAGAATAAAATTTGTAAAGAAATGGGGCAATTTAGAGGTTATATTTCTCTCAGTAGAATCAATTTTATTTTATTTGTTTATAAATAATTAGATGACACTTAACCTTGAACTAATATTACCTTAAAATATAAGTACTGAATATTTATCTACAATATATGGGAATTTATATATATTGAATTTCATAGGAATTCTCAAGATCTGTATTTATGTACTTGTAAACAAAAAACATTAAACAAGAACATAAAATTATAAATGATTTATTTTAGTGTAATATTTTTTCATAGTATATATAATTTGATATGTACAAGTAACGATTTGAGTTTGAAGTCTCTCACAATGAATCTCGACATTACATGAGGTCTCTTCACTGATTACCACAGTCACAATCACAAAGTCCCGCCCCCTCATAACATGAACGGCAGATCGAGGTTCTTCTCTCCATTACCGACATAACAGGATCCGTATAGACGGGTGCCGGGGACGTGATAACTAATGTAACCTAACCACAACAGACTCCGGAGAGTGACCAGTCCACTTCCGCGCTCAAACTGCAGACTCCAGGAACCTAGTAACGGGTAATATAACAAAACTATAGGTTAGAGGTGTATTTATGTTAAACATCGTGTTATTGTATCATTATTAAATTATCTGACTTAAAGTCCAAGACTGACAATTTGCCAGAGACAAGGTCAGAGAACTGAACAAATTTTCTTGTTAGGCTTTTAAGAGGTTGTGTTACTGAGATATTTAACACAGTAACTACAGTAAAAGCTGGATACGTCGAGGAAGTCACTGGGACCTCAAAGTTTGCTTCCTTACACTGAGACTCTTTAAATCCATATAAGAAAAGTCTTCTATGAGATTTGTAAAAAGTTCTTTATGGCTGACATTTCCTTATAAGTGGGTTCTTTATAGCCAAGTTTTACTGTACATCTTGACAGAATTTTTGTTGTCTGTTCACATTTTAAATCAAGGAAAAGAGGCCAGGGGGAGGTAATTCAGGTTTAGACTTTTGACTGTTTTATTGTAAAGAATATTCAGTGTTTAAGATGAAAGGAGGGGAGGTAATTTTGGCATCATTGACCCCACTGACCTTTAGGGATATCCTCCTCCAATGTATCCATGAAGTCAATGGCCTTGTCAAGGTTAGCCTTCTGGAGCAGGGTCTTCTCCTGGAGACTGATGGGTTCACGGAAGTGCATGTAGGAGCACAGCTTGGCTGATTCCGAAACGGACAATCCTGGATACAAAAAAGCATATATTAGTTGTAATGAACAAAAATCTTGATTACAAGCTATATATTGATCAACCAAAGGAAAACAAAGAATATGTACCAATAAAGGCTGAAAATAATCCTTGAAATTAAGCTGCATGGGGGCATCAATTTAATCATATCATTAGAATGACCCTACCTTCAAAACTTCTATTTGCGATGACTTTTCCTTCTGGGGTCTTGATAAAGGCTGCTCGTGGGACAATTTTCACATCTTCATCAATTTCAGCAATAACTGAGGACAACCTGTCTTCTTCTTTGATTGTTATCTACAAGAAGTTTGAGATTTTTATCTATAAAACTGTTTATAAGTTATAATTGGGATTTAAGAACAACAGAATTAAATCTGAGTTTATTTTACATAGTGATATAAGAAAGTTTTTAACCTATACAGTTTTCAAAGAAACGTGAAAAGTGGGATTTCAAATTTCTATTCACCCATGTGATAAACAAATTTTTACAGTATGCATCTTTCACATACAATTCATACATGTGTGAAAGAAGCACTATCACTGTATGATGATGCATTGGTAACATTACACCATGACCCAAACCTCAAGCATACAATTTTGTGCAATCTATATGGACCCTATATAACAAAGTAATATTGCCCAAACCAATGTGATAATAAATCATTGATATACTAGTATGCTGGACTCTAAATACATGTAATGCTTGCTGATTTTTCCTGAATCCTTCAAAAATATACCGTATTATCAGCGTGCTCTCTTAATTCTCCAGTGGTCGTCGAAAATCGCATTTTTGTTTTCTAAAAAGATTATCTAGGTAATTTGATGGAAACTTGTATTTTGTTTCAATTGTTTAACTCTAAGTTAACATCTAATGATTTCTAAAATACATGTATACTTAATATCTGATATCAACTTCATCATTGTTTATGCATCTTTCACAAGCACTAGCTAACAAGCTCAGCCAGCCGGTTTTGATGCTGAAGAGTAATAAACTAATGTAAGAATATTATTTTTTGTTTATTTCAGTCACTCACCGTCTCCTCCTCCCCAGGTTCCTCACCATCTTCTGCTTTCTTCTGTTCTGTGTGCTCAAATTCGTAGGATGGATCCCCGGTAAATCTACCTTTGGCTAGCTTGCTTTGTTCCCTCATAGCTTTAGTCGCTGGTGGCAAAAGACCCCAATGGACACAATCTTTGCTGTAGTACAACAACAAGGAATAAGTCCAAATAATTTTCTAAGTATCTTGATCATTACTGGCTTTAATTAATTAATTATCGTGATACATGTACGTACTACATCTACTTTAGATTATTCAAAAACTTACCTGTAGAAGGTTTTCCTGTCCTCCATTTCATCTCTCCCAACACCTTGTGCAATGAAGTAATCATCTTTTACACCAAGTATTTTACCCCAGAAATAAACTCTGTGAAATTTGCCAGAATTCTTTAATATAACTAGCGAAGTCTGTAAAGCAGCCTTTTGTTCTGGACTCAGAATAATTCCACTACTTCCAACGTAGTCAATGTTTAGATGAAGACCCTCTGAATCCATTTTTGTGATGTTAATTCTACTTCAGTTAAGAAGCTCCTGGGGAAATCAACAGCAAACAACACTGTGTTGTCACAGTCAGCACTGTTGCCAAGGAGAAGTAAACAATGCGCATGCTTGAGAGGATCTTGATCTTTGATACGCTTTAAATTAGTTTGACCAAAATTTGTTCGTGAATTTGTAACAAGGTAACACTTATGAATAACATAATTCATAAACAGTGTTTTATTATTCAGGAAAATTTAAGTGTCAAGTAAGATATCCCCATAATCAATCATGATGATAATAAGTCAACTTAGTAAAATTATTCTAAGAACTACTTAATGCGAAGTTGCATTTCCTGTCTGTCGTGTCAAAACAGAAAGTAAGAAACAATAGAAAAGATATGACTTTGTAGCTTCGTAAGCCCAGTTAAATCGCACTGACAACCGCCGAAATTATGGAGAACGAAAGTGTGATTCTACTTAGTGTTCCGTCCACACAGACAATAACCAATTCAAACACTCATGTTCTTATAAACAAAGAGTACAACCGGAGAAAACATAATGATTACGATAAACAAATAGATGCCAACTGGAACAAAAGAGTCTCCGACAATCCAAAGATCTTTAATGGAACTAAATTTCGCCTATCATCTGTTTCTCTGTCTAATGATACTTTTACTATGAACTTGGGACTGACATGTTATAAGGAATTTTTAGGAACAAATTGGTGTAAGAATGCCAAGTTTTTGGCCGAGGATGGTGTCAGGGATTTCCAAGACAGCCAGGCATACATGTCTGATCCACTGGGAGTCGGTACGATTGTCCTGACGACGGACGATAAAGTTATTTTCCTAACTAGGAGTGAACATTGTGCAGAAGCTCCAGGGTTATGGGATGTTCCAGGGGGTCACCCAGAGCCACAGGTAATTATTATATTGGCAGATATAACAAATATGCTGTGTAACCTTCAATTACAAAAAAAAAAAAAAAAAAAAAAAAAAAGAGAGAGAGAGAGAGAGAGAGAGAAAGAGAGAGACAACAAGGCACTTTTCAACTGCTGTGAACAATCTGTTATATATCTTCAACAAGTATTTGAAAACATATATATTAAGATATGTCAAGGGGCAACTCAGACTAACAAAAATATCCAGTACATAAGAAAATTTTATTTTCCAATTTTGGGCCCAGAAGGCATACAAGCTTTTTACAATGAAAAGATAGAAAGTTCTGAATGAAAGGTTACATACACACAAATAAACATGTAGTACATATAGGTAGAATGTTACTATAATATTGAAGATAAACTGATTACGGCTTAAGATTCTGCTTAATGATGAATCAGAGCTGTCAATAATTTTGAAGAGGTAAATTTATCCATTTGAAGAGGCTGTTTTAGAATTATTTCCAACAGTCTACTTTGTCAACTATGCAATTTGAAGCAACGGAGTCCTACTGTTGAAACAGTGATAAATCGCCTCCTGTCACCCCCTATTGAAAGCCTTGATGAATAATGACTTTTTTTTCAAAAGGGTATATTGAGTGAAATATCTGAAATGTAATATGTGAAATTTTCTCATTTCACATACTAATAATGGTTTTAACTAGTTCATAAATTTCATGCATAGATTCTTTTTTCAGGAAATTGTTGGGAAGATTCCTTTAGAGGAAATAAAGTTTTCAGACCTGAATGAAGAAAAAGTTGTGAGCGAGATTTACGATTCAATAATGAGAGAAGTTGTTGATGAGGTGAACATTCCAGCTTCCTCCCTCTCAAGACCAAACTTCATTGGTGTGGCTCAAAATATTTCTGCAGCTAAGCGTCCAAGTTCTGAGTTTATAATCAGGTATACATTACTTTTGCTGGTTTCAGTGTACAGTAAAACATGATTATGGCAAACAAGCTATAATGAATACACAGTTGTAGCAAAGTGGTTTTCAATCCCAGCCTGTGGTTTTAAAGCATAATTACTGTATGAACATAGTATGAACTATGGAATGAACTATGAAACATAGAATGAACTTAATTAATTCTGTTGATAATGAATCAAAATTGTTCATCCCTGGCACTTTGCTATAATGGTGTTTTACTGTATTATAGTGTGTGCCATTATCATAATATTGGTATCTCGAACACCAATATCTCAAATATCAGGGCATACCAAAGTGATTTTGAAATCCTTTAAGTCCCTTATTTCTTAAATATTTTACTTGGATATCTCAAATCCTCGGATATCTCGCAATATTTTCTTGGTCACATCAAGTTCAAGATAATGAGGTTTGACAGTATTATTCATCAGAATTTTAATGACCTTATTAATAATTTAAGTCTTATCAACTGTTTCAGCTGTAGTTTGTCCTCCTCAGAAGTTAGGGACCTGTACACCAAAGGAAACCAGGAGGAAGCTTACGAATCTACAAATATCCAGTTTGTACCCAAGAAAACTGTGCTTAGCTTAACACCAAGTCATGAAATATGGGCCAACCTAGCTCCATCTGCCAAAGGCTGCATCATGTTGTACAAATTATACAGTAACACAGCTGTTTTAAAATAACTTAAACTGTGGTTTATTAATTTTTGTAGAAATCAAATTTCATGTTATTGGCAAAAAATATTATTTTAATATAGATATTTTAATTCATATACAGCTATCTCCTATTCTGTCATATGTACAATTTGCAATTTTGATGACCTAATTTTGTGGTCTGGCTCAACATGAAAACAACAAAAATTGATGTTCAACAAAAACTGATGAAACTACTGTAATATTTGTGGACATATCAAAGAAGTGCCTTTAACAGATTTTTTTAAGCTTGCATAATATGGGGAAGAATAAACTACAAGTATTTTTATATCCACATTTTGTTGTTTATATTTAACATGAACTTGGCTTAAAACTGCCATGCCCTAGGCCTGGGCATTTGTCCTTAATTTTTCCTCTTTGACAAACCAAATTTAAAAGTGGCAGAAATTGCCAGGAATATATATGGGAAAAATCTTGATGATTATGAATGAAAGGATGCTTCAGCAAACAATTTTCTTGTTTAAAACATGTTTCCTATACCTCAATGGCTACCTTTATGACAATGCTGCAGATTCCGTCGGTTAACGAATGAACTCATACAGGAATCTGAGCTTGTTGACCTCCAATATGGTAGCCAATGGGAATAACTCTAACTAAATTTACACCTATTGAAAACTCTATAAAGAAGAAACTACTCAGATTGTCAGCCTATTTAAGATCAATGAAGACTTGTACATATATGGTTAAATGGAATGAAGTTAAGACACAACACTTTGAACACAGAGCCTTTTTTATTAATGGTGCATTTAATTGAATATCTTCCTAATCTGATGATTAGCAATGGCACTTCCCAGTATAAGTAAAATCATATAATTACACATTCTCTGTTCTCCAATAAATCATTATACATCTTTATTCAAAAAAGAAAAAGCTGCCAAACAGAAGTCCCACTAAAAACACATCAAACTTTTTATATGTCTATTATTTATACAAAGAGTTGTCATTGACCATGAAGTATGGAGGCTGGGCTATACAAGAGGTTTATTAGTAAAGCTGGCATGGAACAAAAAAGCAGCTACAACAAGTCACAGTGTGTTCTAGGAACATCCACATATACTTATTACTAATAATTATCTGTCACCACTAGAAACACACGGGGGGTTAGAGTCTGGCGGGTGGTCAATCCTGACAGGCAGCCATTGCCATGTTTTTCTCATCCACCAACTCCTTCATGGTGATGTCCATCTTCTCTCGGGAGAAATCGTCAATTGGCAAGTCCTTGATAATCTCGTAAGTGTGGTCAGGTTTAGTACGGACGGGGAAGCTGTAGATCAACCCCTCCTCAATGCCATAGGAACCATCAGAGGGAACAGCCATAGACACCATATTACCCTGTCATCAAAAAACATATGTGCCATCAAATTTAGCAACAAATTTAATTTTTATCAATTTTAAACATCAATTTTTAGATAATAACAGTTATAAGGAGCCACAATTATGACATCATTTCTTTTGGGGGGGGATATCACAATAAAGTTGAAGTGCCTGTAGGTATTAATTTGAAGTGGCAGTTGTGAGACATTGTCCAACATTAATTTGCTCTGGCCTTTATTTTATAGACCTCACTTCTGACAGATCAGGCACCACACTGTGTGGCACCAAAATTTATGTGACCTACTTTCTTTGAAATTTAACTACATGTAGAAACCACATACCAAATTCAATATCATTACAAAACATAACACTATGGTGATTACCTCAGGAACTCCAAACCACCAGTCATGTACATGGTCCACGATAGCTTTAGCGGCAGACATTGCGCTGGATAACTTCCTGGCTTTGATCACAGCGGCTCCTCTCTGTTGGACTGTCTGCAATAACAAGTGTGAAATGTATGTTATTTTCATAACCAGATTACTTTTTACATACATATTAAATAGTTCTTTTCTGTAGTTCTTTTATTCAAATCAAAAATATGCATTGGTTTTTAAACTATCTCTTGAATGTCACATAATATATAGAGAAAACATTATGTCTCTTGCTTTAATAGCAAGCAAAAACATATAAAGTTTTCATTAAAGTAGTTTTGTTTGATATTTATTTGATTATAACAACATAAACTTCACAAAGATTACCTTGACAAACTCGTTCTTGACCCAGTTATCATCCTTGATGGCCTCGCGAGCCTTGACTTCCTCCCCCTTTATGTTGACAACGGCGTAGGTCAGATCTGGATACTGAGTGGAGGAATGGTTCCCCCAAATCACACAATTACGTACAGCACTGTTAGGGACCCCTAAACGGGCCGCCACCTATAAATAAACACCAATGATCAGATTCTGAAAAACAATTTTTTTTTCCTTGTTCTGAACATTTACCCGAAAATTTTACTTCCAGATAAACTTGTAGTTTTTCCTCTAGTTTGTACATATACTTCATCTTGCTTTAAGAATCTGGGGGAATAAGACAAGCCATGTGCCCATGCCCATTTTTCGGCTATGCAAGAACATTTATTGGAAAAAATCTCTCAATTGTTCGAATTTACTTAAGCATTTTAATGTTTATAGTAGTTCTCAAAATGATATTTATATTCTAAACAAGCTAAACAGTTGACTTTCATCTACTGTCACAAGTGTCTAACATGGGTGGGGACTTCTATTAATTAATCTGCATATTGAGTGTTAACACTTATTGTGGAGATATTACACAAATGTTAACATTGTATATAATGATAGTGGTGATCTAGAAGCGCTTGTGGTAAAAATAAATAAAAACGGGAATAAAAGTATTCAAATATCTATTATAATTTTTATCCGGCATTTTAAATAATTTACTGTAAATGAGTTCATTACTATATATATATATATATATATATATATATATATATATATATATATATATATATATATATATATATATATATATATATATATATATATATATATATATTTTATTTCCAGTGAAAAATATGTTATTCCTATAGACATTTTTTATAAAGTAAACAAAATTTACCCCCTCCCCAAAAAATAAAAAATTTAAAAAATCATGACTCAAACACTTTCCTCAGTAAACGTCCCTTTAAAGAGCTCTTCGCTAACCACTATACCACGGAGTCACACATACATACCCATTTAAATAGCATACAGTTCTCTATATTTAGCAAGCGTATTTGGATTTAGAATTTTTTAAGACCACGGTGAAAATTTAAGTAAGTTAACTTAATTTTTTATGTAGAGTGGGTCTTCGTACCAAATTTTTGCAAGTGTAAAAAGCAACATCTTTCCATTGCCTTTCATTAATCGTTCTCAAAAAAATGGTACGATGACCCACTCTATTTAAAAAATGTAGTTATATCATCCAATTTATGTCAATTTTTGTGAAAATTGAGCGTGATGCCATTTTTTGTGTTAATCAGAATCATTTTCGCTGTTACAGTATTCAGGTTTTGTCAAAATTGTATGCAAATGGTAATCATGGTAATAAGCATTACATTAATTCAACAAAAAGTGAATTTTTAAAAAAATGAATTTACTGATTTTTTATCAATCGTTATGTAGGAATATGGCTCGGCTTATCCCCCCAGTTTCTTTAACATGATTGTGTATCTGTTGCACGATGAAACATGGAATATGCATGCATCAATCAATTTGTTGGACAGTTATAACCTTTCTCTATAGACTGCAATCTCATCTGCCTGGGAATATGCAAAACATTTTAGCGATTTTTGCAGACATGCATTTTCCCTTCTGAGTCTGTACAAGTGTATCTCACCTGTACATTGTTTTCATCTATATGTATATCTTACCTGTGCCTGAGCCCTGTTTTGGTCCAGCCTTGTTAGGGCAGTGAAGTTCTGGGGAGGGATGGAGGGGGCATACTTCTTACAGATGTAAGCATTGGTGTTGGCTGGATTTCCTACCACCACCACCTACAATGTCATTCATAAAATCACTAATATCAATGATAAGATCCACCTACAATGGCATTCATAAAATCGCTAATATCAATGATAAGATCTATGGAGGAAACCACCACCAACACTTACAATGTCATTCATAAAACCACTAACAATCATAAATCAATTGCTCAAGTGTATAGGTAAGAGTTGAAAGCCTTGATATCCTTCTTTAGATAAGGTTTAAAAAGAGATATCTACCTTGATGTTTTTTCTTGACCACTTTATCTATAGCCTGAGAGGTTCATTAGATACTTTTTAGATAGAGTTGTCTACCTTGATTTTCTTTATTAAATAGGGTTTAAACAGAGTTGTCTATCTTATTATTCTTTATTAGATAGAGTGCCTTACACAGAGTTATAGACATTGATATACTTTATTAGAGAGGGTTTTAACAGAGTTGTCTACCTTGATATTCTTCTTGGCCACTTTATCAATGGCCTGGCCCTGAGACTTAAAGATCTTAACATTGGCAGCCAGGAGGTCCTTCCTCTCCATTCCCTCTCGGCGAGGCATGGCCCCCACCAACATAGCCACATCTACGTCCTTAAATGCCTCCTTCTCATCACAGGAGGGGATCACCTCTACAAAATGTATCAAGGTCATATCTCTACATCTCAGACAAATATTTCAACCAGTGTGGTTCTCCAAGATGCTTCATTCATCAAGTAATATGGGTTACTGAATAAAAATTTGTAAATATTTTGTACAATAACTTTATCTTATTTACACAATACATTGTATTTAAACAATCCCCCACTTACAGAATCAACCTCAGCAAGTATGAATATTTCACATAGTAAATCTAAATTGTCTGCAGTATATTTCACTACAGTCATATAATCCTCGTATCTTGTATTTAAAACAAAAACATTTTCCCTGCATAGCAACAGTACACTGTGTCTCAGTGACATAAGAATTTTATATCAAGTGTAACATACACTGAAAGTATTAGTAGCATAAGAATTTTATACAGAATGAAATGTACACTGGAGGTATTTAATGACAATAAACCTACATAAAGTGTTACATATGCGCGAGTACGAAGTGTTACATACGCGCGAGAACAAAGTGTTACATACGTGCGAGAAGAGGGAGAGAACAGTCCATCAGCTCCATGACGACACCATTCAGTACCTCCATCATGGGAGCAATATCAAGCAGAACCAAAATGATTGGCTGAAAAAATAAGTTAATCATGTTAATATGGACAATTAAATATTCCAAGCAACAAAGAAGTTTTACTGTACTAAAATCTGTATTTGGAGAGTACTATATAAAGATTTTTTAATTTTCTCTGGAGCTATATTTTTTACTATTTCTATAAACTGCTTCCGATTTTTCTTCAAATCCCCACCCATTTTTTAAAAAAAAAAACAAAGAATACTAAACGAGTCCCTACCTGGTCCTTGCCAAAGACATCTCCCCTGGCTACTGAGTAAAGGAGGGAATAGGCAATCTGACCAGCAGCTCCGGTAACGAGGACTCTCAGGGGTTCAGCCTGCAACAGGTCAAAGGTCAATAGGTCACAGCAGTAAGTGTTGATACTAATACAAGTCTAGAATAAAATCCTCTAATTCACCTTCAGTGGTACTTTCTTAACTTTGTCCTCATTTTCTTTGAATGACACTTCACCAAATCATTATGATCATTTACAAACAAAATTGAGCACTGCCACTGATACAACGCACTTAAATCATCTTCTGTAGATTACTCTGCATGGTCAATGAAAATCAAATTATTATTCAAAAGAGGGTCTCCATGGATTTAAGTAAGACCAATAAGTAAGACTAGTAAGAACCCAATAAAGGTCTGCTGTATAAGGACATCATGTTCATGTTCTCATTCTTGCATCTCTAAACAAACAAGTTATTGTTACATTGCTTTGTTTAGTTTTTAAGAGTCTCCTTTTTTGTTTGTTTTATTATGTTTCTTCATAAGAGTTATAAGTCATTGAAATTTGGAAGGTTTTCTACACACAAGGAAAATGAGTCAAATTCATCTTCCTCTTGGCCAAATTGTAATGTGTGTTTAAGGGGTGGTTCCAGCTATAATATAGACTAGTTCAATGTATTCAAATTATGTATTCAAGGATCTACTATGGCTTTTGACTGAATATAGATTGTGATAGAATATAGTTCTGTCTTTTCTATCCCAATCATTTGGCAGAAGTTGAAGAAGGGGGAATTCGTTTCCTTGTGTATGTTTTGCAGAACAGACTGTCATTGATTTTCCCTCTTTCTGTTTAAGAAAATTTACAACTCTATTGGAGTGGACATCAGCAAAAAAAATACGTAATAAAAAAGTAATTCGCTTAAACTTCAGCAAAATCACAGTGATATGTGCTTAAAAAGACAAATAAAACATTGAATATATTTCCTTAAATAATATGGGAGTGTTCTTCTCGCTCAGTACAGCGACACCGGGATACTTCGATTTCTCATGTGTTTTATCGTGATCTTACTCTCAATTAAAACATTTTCGTAATTCTTACTTGTTAATTTAGCTGGTTAAAATCAAAGAAAATCGAGATCCGCCACAGTACACGAAAAGGTCACAAAGACACGCAGCAACATAATGGTTGACAGCTCGTTTCTATGAATTTGTTGTCATAATGACACCTCATTCCGCAATGACAATTATCTATATTATCGTCATAAGCAGAAAAAGACATATTACAGGCTAAAACAAGCAAGGAATTATTACTTACCATTCTGTGTGTTTACCGGTTTCTTTTTCCGTAGCCCACGAGAAGAGATGAAAGTTCAAGGTCAGAATTATTGTTGAAACCGGTATGATCACAATGTACAATTCCGGAAGAAGGAAATACGGCACATAATATCCTTTTTACGCGTGATACCTTTTTGGGATAAAGAAAATGCATTTAAATAAGAGATTAAGTTTCGAACAGGGAATAGAAAAAAATCAGAAAAATCTAAATTTAAACTGGATGCACATGTACAAACTAAAATAGCACGTTTTGTCAGACGTATTGATTAAATGAAACTGCGTAAACAATTATACCAGACGTGACTGACAACACGAAGTCGTGTTATTGTTGAAAAAATAAGGGGAAAATCAATAATATCAATATGTTTTTAACACCCAATTTTTTCTCAAGAGTTTAAGTTTTACAACTCACTGACCCTGATGATATATAGATGTCCGTTTTCAGTCTCTTGACCTAATTTAGCATCCCTCAATATATCAAAGCTGAGCGCTCACACAGCAATCTTGGGTGGACTGGGTGTTCCTGGCGATTTTTAGACTGTTTTTCCCCTGGAAGGGAATAGCTGGTGGTTTTTTTTTTTAATTTTTTTTTTGTTTTTGTTTTTTTGCTAATATAGTTTTTGGCTAGAAATATAGAAATATATAATTATATATTTTTTACAAGCGCGGATCCAGGAGTTTTTTCCACCCCAGTCAAAAAAAATTCCAACCTAGAAAATTCTTGACAAGTAAAAAAAAAAAAAAAAAACCTTTCCCAAACGTGAAAAACCTATTTCATGGGGGCGGTGGGGTCCGCGTTTTCTAGAGGAGGGAGGTTCCAAGGTTACCTTTAGTTGGTTTAGTATATACATTTAATAACTCTGCAAATTCCCCCCCCGGGGGGGGGGGTCGGACCACCACTCCCAGATCCTCGCATATATTCTAAATATTTTAATTGGACAATTTGTTGACCATCTAGCCTTCTTAAGTATAATGACCCACTGCTCTAGATTTCACCATATTTTCTTTATTCAAAACATTAATTTTAACTCACAACAATAAGACCGCAGAACATTAACTGGCAAAATTGGAAATATGCAGCTTACGTCATTTCCATCTGTTACACTACAGTCGAAATGTTTAATGATAGACAATGAAATGGGCGGGAACAATTCGACATGGACCTCCGAGAAAACATTGGATTGAAATTCTAGTTTGAAATTCATTTTCAATCCACCTAAGATGTTTTCAAACCTAAAGTGTGAATGTATGACCCAAAAGACAAATAAGTTCAATTCCCAAATACACATGTACATGTTGTTTGATCTTCATATTTATTTGTCAATGAGTTTTTTAGCCTATAATTTTAAAAGCACATAGTAAAAGTAATAGAAGGCAGAGATTATTTTTTCAGGGGACGGCCATTTGATTCTAGAAGGGGGGGGGGGTCAAAAATTGTTCAAATCAGATATCATGCCTTCACATGACAGAATACACTGTATATTTATTTCTAGGATGACAAGAGCTTTTATTTTTAGTTTTGTCTTCACTGAAAAATGTTCGACAAACAAAAACAAGGAAAGGTAGTCCAAACTAAAAGAAAACTGTCTTCTTGTTTATTTCCAAGATCCCCCCCCCCACCCCAGGACACATACATGTATACACATACCAAACAGAAATCAAATACTGGTTCCTTTATATTTCTTTAAAAACACTAGACAAAGGTTCTGATTTATATAAATTCCAAACTATTCCGAAATTGAAATTATTTGTTTTCTGGGTCAATCAGTAACCCACCGTGCTTCTAAAGTAGCTGAGGTGGATTGAAAATGAAATTCAAACTAGAATTTAAATCCAATGCTTTCTCGGAGGTCCATGTCAAATTGTACCCGCCCATTTCATTGTCTATCATTAAATATTTTGATTGTAACAGATGGAAATGACGTAAGCTGCATATTTCCAATTTTGCCAGTCAATGTTCCGCGGCCTTATATCATTAAATAAGATTCAAATAGCATTAAGTATGAAGCAGTGCTTATGTATTTTTTCAGACAATACAATTCAGTCTATATGACCATGATATTATGAAAATTTGACACAGCGAATAGAAAGTAACAATTTATTCTCACAAGTTATATTTAGAGTACGAGTTTCCTACTGTATCGGAGATACAGGGCGGGGCTTAAGGCGAGAGCGATAGCTCGAGCCGGGCCCCGTCTTGTATCTCCGATACAGTAGGAAACGAGTATTCTAAATGACTTGTGACATGACCTTTCTTATGACCTCGCTAATTTACATGTGTATTTGGGCATATATCTCTCAACCAATTGGAGGATTTTGCAGAAAGTTGATTTAGTACCCCATTTTTAGCAATCGCAACTGAAATGCCGAGTGAGGTGGACGTGCAGGTATCTATCAATTTAAATAATTATAATTCTGAGATGCATTATATAATGTGTTTTCCCAAAATTTAATTTATATTTGATTGCGTAGGTTTTTTTTCCTTTCTATTTAGCTCTTGCCGACTTTTTTTTTTTAAAATCTAAGCTACGAAGTCGAATTTTAGTGCGAAACATTTTGATACATAAGAATCATATATGGGAATGTAATTGAAGTAAAAATGTTTCGGGGAGGTTGTATTCTGAGAGAAATGTCCGACGTCATCGACCGGTCGTCATACATGCGTATACAAAATTCTTGGCTCCAAATTGAAATAAACAGATGTAAGAAAGGGGGCATATTACTTTTATGTTTGAAACAAAATGTAGAGGAACCAAAGGCAGATCCAGCACTCACTCGCGCGCGTCGGTATCCCCCCCCCCCCCTTCCGAGTTTTTTTTTTTTTTCATTTTTGGCTTTTGTAAATTATGTTTGCTAAACTTGTATATACTTTAAATTCATCAACACGAAACGATCACGCACATAAAGTGTCAGGCCTTATTATGAATCTACCCCCACAAAACCCCCGATTTTCCAGTTTGGACATATTTTTTTTCGAAGAAAACCATTTGTGCACTGCCCCCACTCCCTCCTTTCTAAATTTTTTGAATCCGCCACTGGTAACTTTACGTTGTAAAATTCTATTCTTAATTCATCTCAAATTTTGAATAAATACTAACAGCGCTATCATGCAATTTGATTGATTCCTATGTCTATATCATTTAAGATACGGATTCAGTTTTCCGTCATCGCTAAAAAATAAACCGTACTGTATCGTTGATATTTTGCAGATACAGTACAGTTTCTGCTTACATGTATTTGCATAAGAAACGCCCACTAAAAGTGTTCTGTATCGCAGTTATTGTACGGCTGATTTCAAAGGAAAAATCGCCGGGTCATGTCACAAATAATAGAGAGAAAAATACATGTGTCAAACGTTATTTTAAAATGACTATCAAAATATAGACAAAATAAAAAAGAAGTCCATGCTTGTGTCTAAATATGTGCTTTTGAATCAATTGACTATACATCCACAACGGTCTCCAATTCTAAACTCTAGACTGGACATTTTAGGACCGGATATTTTTTTTCTTGGGGAGTTGTGTATCTTATCAGGTCATTCCACTTTGAGGCAATGGTCAAACTATTATTGTGACATGACCCGGCGAGTTTTCCTTTGAAGTCAGTCGTACAATAACTGCGATACAGAACACTTTTAGTGGGCGTTTCTTATGCAAATGAACAGAAACTGTACTGTATCTGCAAAATATCAACGATACAGTACGGTTTATTTTTAGCGATGACGGAAAACTGAATCCGTATCTTAAATAATATAGACATAAGAATCAATCAAATCGCATGATAGCGCTGTTAGTATATATTCAAAATTTGAAATGAATTAAGAGAAGAATTTTACGACGTAAAGTTACCAGTGGCGGATTCAAATATTTTAGAAAGGAGGGAGTGAGGGTAGTACACAAATGGTTTTCTTCAAAAAAAAAAAAAATGTCCAAACTGGAAAATCGGGGGTTTCGTGGGGGGGGGGGGGGAATAAATTCATAATCAGGCCTGACACTTTATGTGCGTGATCGTTTCGTGTTGATAAATTAAAAGTGTATACAAGTTTAGCAAACATAAATTACGAAAGCCAAAAAGAAAAAAAAATCGAGGGGGGGGGGGGAGGGGATACCGACGCGCGCGAGTGAGTGCTGGATCTGCCTTTGGTTCCTCTCCACGAAGGTATTATGCCCCCTTTCTTGCATCTGTTTATTTCAATTTGGAGCCAAGAATTTTGTATACACATGTATGACGACCGGTTGATGACATTGTCGGACATTTATCTCAGAATACAACCTCCCCCAAACATTTTTGCTTCAAATACATTCCCATATATGATTCTTATGTATCAAAATGTTTTGCACTAAATTCGTAGGTTATATTAAAAAAAAAGCCAGCAAGAGCTAAATAGAAAGGAAAAAAACCTACGCAATCAAATATAAATTAAATTTTGGGAAAACACATTATATAATGCATCTCAGAATTATAATTATTTAAATTGATAGATACCTGCACGTCCATCTCACTCGGCATTTCAGTTGCGACTGATAAAATGGGGTACTAAATCATCTTTCTGCAAAATCACCTGATTGGTTGAGAGATATATACCCAAATACACATGTAAATTAGCGAGGTCATAAGAAAGGTTATGTCACAAGTCATTTAGAATACTCGTTTCCTACTGTATCGGAGATACAGGGCGGGGCCCGGCTCGAGCTATCGCTCTCGCCTTAAGCCCCTCCCTGTATCTCCGATACAGTAGGAAACTCGTACTCTAAATATAACTTATTGACCTTGAACCTTTAGCTTTTGATTCTGAATGACAAGTGTTTTTTCCTTTGTCAATTTTGCATCCTTTTAGTAAATTTATGTAAGTACTTGTAAGTGGCAAAATTGTATACCATAGTTATACAGTACCGGTATTTTCTACATATGTAATGTATTCAATGCGTATTATAATTTTATAGATGATATCTATTGTGAACACTTTGAAGTTAAGTGTGGATACTTTAACATTTTCTACATTCACAATCTCTTTTCATTCGATCTGTTTTAAATGTTTCCTCCATGGTCGAGGAACGGGGTTGGGGGGTGGGGCTGTGTGAGTAGGCTTTCTA